GGTTAAACACTTGAAATTACCATATTTACATTTTCCGTTGTAAAAATTCATTATAGTTTTACTTTTTGACGTTTGAATTTCAGCAACTCTTTCGATGTTTGAAGAATCTTCTTCAGGAAGAAAACAATTTAAATGTTTTATTGTAGTGAGCAATGAAAATGACTTGGGAAAAATAGAATAAGGTTCTTCACAAATGGTTTCGTCCACTAGGACAGAAATTAAATTGTATCTAAACTCTTTTCGCCGTAAATGAAAGTGACTCTTTTCATGATGTAAAATTTAACAGATGGTTAAAAGATGTGACAACAATTGGACGTCTCTTGTCAACAAAACAGTTAAATTATCGAAGTGACTGCAAATTGGAATCATCTATTATCTCAACAAGACAGCGGTGGTATTAAACAAAAAGATCTATTAACCAATATCTTTGACTCGAAGTAATGAGGACGAGATAAGATATTACTGTTTCGATGTCAAATCTGTTTCACGGCTTTGCATGAAGAAACTCTCTACACATTTTGAACCTATCAACTCTACGGATTCGTTTAAAACGACGTTAGAAAGGCTGGGTTCGGAGATCAATGTGATTTTTAGTTTTATACATTAGTTTCTGGAGGAGTCAAAGCGTGCTATAAATAAAGTTGGTTGTAATATTTTCTTCATATGAAATAGATGCTTTTGGCAATGCAAATTAAAAGGAGGTACAACCGATTAGCGTTTTACTTTGTAAATGGAAAATTCGTTTTCAAAGGATGTAAAAGTCATCCATTAGTATTGCTGTCCCCTAAGGAAGAAATAAATAGCGATTTTGTTAGGTTAAGCCAAGTCACCAGCTGCTCTGCGTATCGTGAGATAATCGTACGTCGCTCTCTGAACAGTTTAAGGTCATTCTTACATCTGCCGCGTTGTATAAGGTGTGAATTGGGACGAAATTGAAGGTGAACCGTGTTAAAGGTTTGTAAACTCTTTTGTCGACCTTTCGAATGTCGCTCCCAATAGCTGGGCCACATTTTTTTAAAATGTTTTTCTTTTACGTCCAAGAAAAAATATTCCTGATTACGATGGGTGTTTGCGATCTGATAAAAAATATCTGCCATTCGTAGTTAAAAAATGTGTTTAAATGTCAAGCTTCTGTTAATGCACCTGAAAACCGCAAGGGCCGTCAATAAAACCATTTTGTTCTGTTATTTAATTCTAAACATGCGGCAAATACATAGAACTTTAAACAATTTCCTTCCTTGATAAAGAGGTATAAGTCTTCCACGAGGGTTAACAACAACGAGGAATAGTTTTTTCCTCTACTCGAGGAAAAATTCAGTTGTGGATCTCTTAAAAGGTTTGCTTGAAGCCTATTTGGGGTTTACATCTTTCACTGAAACTCTGTTTAAGCTTTTACCGATTAGTGACTAAGAGTTTCGGGCGTAGTCCGTGACGCATGAATGAAGTTGCACGGGGTTTTCAGTTTAGAAAACCTTCCTTTTGAACAGCAAGGTTTAGGGTGTAAATAAAAGAACATAGACTGTGATTTTACAATAGTCGCGAAGATTTTGCCGGTGATCTGCTGGCGAAGACTGAGAAGTTTTTCGACGTTTCCAATTTTTTTTCATGTTACGTTTAAGAATTTCATGCTGGAAACTGAAAATGATGTCAAGTAAATTCCATGCTGAGTTCAAGCTTCCCAGCTTCTCGTGTTGACATGTAACTGAAAGCAGACTTTACAAATAGTGGACAGTGTCCAATGGTTACGCACAAAGGACTGAATGATAAAATTTTCTTTGGCTTCTTCGGCTGAGGATCTTAATTGCATAAAATGAAATATTGATGTCCTCAAATAAAGCGGTTTTCATTGCTTCTCCGCCCGTTTAACACGTTTTTTATTTCAATCATTATTGAACGAGAAGCCAGCAATGGGGAGTGATTCAATATAAATAAAAAAAATTTATGGAACGGCTCGGGAAAGGGAAACAGAATGGATACATCTCGGTTAAGTAACATTTCATTTCACTTTATGTAGAATTTTAGACAACGATGTGTTGAAAATTGCATTGATTACGGCTCTCTATGTTAACAGTTTTCTGTATCTCAACAGTTCATGTAAACACACTCACAGGGTGATCTGCCTTCAGTGGCTGATCTTCCTTTGCCCTTTACGTGAACACTTCTCCGTTGTGTGTTACTGTAGAAGAACATGAACTGGTTATTGATAATCTACGTGCTTCACTGAGAAAGTAATAGCATGTCGTATCATTTACACTCTATAAATAGATGTGGTTCACAAATATGATCAATTTTCATAAAAAGGAAAGTAATTTAAAACTTCGTAAGGTGCCCACAGCAATTTTCCAAGGTGAGAAATTTTAATTTGGAATTGTTTAGGGAAGTCTAACTCTGACAGGTGAGAAAATGGGATCACAATTGTATCATAAATTTTGGTATCAAATTGTTGGAAAAAGATTCTACTCTGTTGGAACTGAAGAAGTCACATTTATCGTATAACCTTTCCGCTGATGCACACAGGTACAGACAGCGTAAAACCAAGCGCAAAAAAGGCATGAGCATGCAGGGTCCAAATTTATTTTTTCTCACTTAGCTCAACAAAACAGAACGAAACCGCTGTTGAAGCTTTTTTTTTAGCCAAATGATTGTAAAAGAATAATATCTTCTACCGTACTCTCTAAGGGTTCTTGAGCGATACAATTCGCAGGAGAGAAAAAAGCGGTAAAACCACAAGATATTTGCGGTATGCAAATCACGTTTAATAATGTTGTACCGGAATCGGAAAAACGCCATATTATGATTTTGTACAACAATACATTAACGTGTTCAGGGTACGTACAAAGTTATTCAAAATCAAACTCGGACATGCAGCTATACAGCTATATTTCTCAGCTAAAGAACCAAGAGACAAGGAAAAGAAATTTCTGAGTAATCGGCCTAAATTTATCCTTTGAAAGGGCAAAGAACGTTTTTACATTTTTAACTATTTTAAGACTCGCTGTAGAAACTGTGGTGCTGCTTCGGTGGGAAAGTATAACAAGGTAATTTAGCATCATCAAATGAGTTGATAACTTAAATTTGCCACCATAAAGAGTTTCAAAGCTGACGTTTCGAGTGTTAGCCCTTCGTCATTTGCTTTTAAACTCTTTACGGCGGCGATTTACTCAGTTGATATTGTGTTTTACTTCATCTTGAGCTTGCTAAGTGGCTTTAATGTGTGGAAAAAAACCACAAGAAGAAAACTGACCTCTGATAGAGAAGCGGGGTGCCTCAACTAAAATCGGCTCAAAAGAGCTCATTTCTGTTAGTTCCAGTGATTATATCGTCAGGTCAAGATACAAACCAACGTGAATATTGTCATGCATGCTTAAAGTTATGAATTAAAAGGTTTATATTTAGAACAATTAATTTATAAGATGCTTTCATTTCTCTTAGATGTCTCGGTAATTTGTCAAATTAAAGCAAAAGAAGTAAGTTTTTATCTTATCAAATCATTAATTCAATAAGAGTATCCAAAATTCCTGGTTCATCTTTATTCTTAAAAGCAATAAATCCTTTGGAATGACATGTCTCAACTAAAAATCCTACTGGTGAGCCTCCTTCTTCTTAACTAAACTGTTTGAACTTATTTTAAATAGAAGAGCCAGTCTACGTTCCCGCTGGCATTCAAACCGCATTTAGATTCTGTACAATAGTGTGTTAATAAGAATGAATTCCAAATGGAAAAGCTGCGATGAAGTCTTGCGTGTAAGCATGAATTGAGATACGTTTCACAGGATCAAAGATTCCATGTTTCAAGGCTACGAAAAAACTTTAGGCGTATTTTATTGAATACGTAAATCGTCAGTTTTAGTCTAACAGGGGCATCTTTAATGTTTGCCCGTAGCATCCAATCTATCGGCTTATTCGTGGTCTTATCGCTAACAGGTAATAACACAGTAAAAAAAGCTTCTGTCATGGGACGTTCTAACCCCACGTTCTACTAAAGATCTAAAACCTTACGTCAAAATTAGGGTGATTCCGATGACCAAATTTTTATCACCAAAGTTCAGATAAAAAAAAAGAAAAAAGCGGAGAGGCAAAAGAGTGATTTATGTGAGCATTACATACAACACCTGCAGCCTTTTTAAACTCCACTGCCCGGCACTTTTGCGATGCTTTTAATTTTGAGTTTGATTTATGTCCACTTTGTAAAACAAACAGTCAATTGAAAATGCTCGCTTGAGCGGCCAATTACAGTTTCTAATTGGCAACCTCTATGCTAAAACCAAAATATTTATAATGAATCATTTCAAAACAGAGCAGCTGTCACTGTCATGGCCATTCAATTCATTTGATCAATTTTACCTCATAGACAGAGAACCTTGAAGGTATGTTGAATTTGGTCGCTCTGAATTTTCATCTATGGGTTCAATTGTCCAAATATCACTAAAAATTGGGAAATTCTTCACGGGAACCGCAAATATCTCAGTGAGTTAAAACATAACGTTCCTGGCTAAGGCAAAGTACAGTCTGATTTAATTTTCATCTCTTTACTCATAATCCTTACATCACCGTTGAAGAGAAACTATAAAAAGAAATCAGTATATTGCTAACAATTGCGCAACTATTTCAAACTTAACATTAATGTAGCTCACACAAGAAGGCAATAATCTCATTTTTTGCCGCTTGTCGTTAATTTCATGTTTCACTTCTCTTATAAGTCACGATCACCAGCAGGTATTCTGATCAAGTTTGGAGGTTTATTTGTTAATAGCGGCATTCCGGTTAGTGACTATATAGATGCTTGATTAAATACCACAGGAGACTTTCTAGGCTCGATTTCTGCTATTTTTTGGCGTCCAGTCCTTTAGGACAGATAGTTAATTTCTGCTGTTTGGCGAGTGATAAAAGGACGAAGAAGTGAAATGGCAGAAAGAAAGAAAACGTAGTTATTTTGGTAATAAAAGAATGCTGATAAATTAGTAAGCTTTGAATTGTTTCGTTTGCAGCTGCGAGTTGAAATGAAAGAAATGGAGGGCACGTTTAGCAACGAAACAAACCACACATCTTCAATGAATGGAGGTACCGCGCCATTGCCACCAACGTTTCCAGAATACCTTCACCAGCCACTGTGGGCCCATGTGTTCCAAATCACCCTGTGGTCAACTGTGGTATTCCTGGGAGTTATTGGCAACCTCTTGGTGTGCACTGTAATACTCAGACGACCCAGGATGAAGACGACGATGAATTATTACTTGCTAAGCTTGGCCGTTGCAGACTTAGGAGTTTTAATATTAATCTATCCTGTGGCTGTGCTAAAATACCTAAGACCATTTCGATGGGTGCTAGGAAAGCCGGCATGTTTATTTATGGTTCCTACACAGGAGATCTTCTTTGGATCCTCCATCTGGTCCATAACAGCAATTGCCATCGAGAGATACCGAAATATAATTGGCTCTAGGCGATACCAGCTAAATCGCGGGCCTCGAACAACAACCTGGTTGGTTATAATGGGCGTCTGGTTGGCATCATTTTTGGTCTCATGCGTTCCTCTTTACCCCATTATTACCTACGAGCCCTCTATCCCATTATGCTATCCCGATTGGTCAGATAATTATGGAGGATATGCTGTTCTTGTGTCTTATTCGGTAGCTCTTATTGTGGTTTGGTATGCCCTTCCTCTCGCTGTAATCGCATTCACGTACATAAGGATCAAGAATCGTGTACATCGTAGTGCTGTGTTCCGACAGTCGATGTCAATTGGCGATGAAAAGGAAGAAACTCTCTCGTTCCAGGCTCCAAAAAACCACGATAGATCTCGTCAAAGAATATGGCGACAGAGCAACAAAGCAAGACAGATTCTTACCCCACTTGTTGTATTATTTGCCGTGACAATGTTCCCGCTGACCGCTTTTCGACTCCTAATACTCATCAAGCCCAAGGTTTGGACCAGCCCCTACTATAACCTGTTAATGGGCCAAGTAACATTATTCGTTATGGTCAACTCCTCAGCTAATCCACTTGTGTATTACATCACAAGTAAAGAGTTCAAAGATGCACTCAAGGAATTGTTTAAAAAAAGGCGTTCCCAGTCATGGAGACAGTGCAGTGACAAAGGAGGTAAAGCATCATCTTTCTCGAGAACGACAGGCGTTTAAGGACAAAATCAAGAAGCAGCAGCAGATAAAACACAATGGTAACGACACACATTGCCAAAAGTTACGCTGCCTGTAGCTTGCTAGGAGCCTGGCTCGGGTTGTTCGAGATAACGCTATCCACTCGATAAATCTCTATCCTTTGGATAGCGAAATACCTTTTGTACTCTGGAGAGCGTTTTATCCGGTGGATAGCGTTATGTGTTCTTTGAACAACTGGGTCCTGAAGAAAATACTATATTTCGATTCAAGTGGATGGATAAAGTTGTTATGAAGGTAGAACAGCCAATGTATCGGCCATTTCAGACCAGGGAAGTGGATCTCTGATGTACACCTGCTTATGTTAACAGTCTTGGAAAAACCGTCCATATTTAATTCAAGTAGTAGGATTAAGTTGTCATTTCAAGAAAATGGAGTAGCAATAGTATCGAAGTGGCCATTCAAAACAGGTGTAAAAAGTTGAGGTGTGGACAAAACAACTTATTTATCAACTCTTTCACTAGAGGAAAGTGGCTCTCAATGTATACCAGTAGCCTGCGAAAAAACACTTCATTTACATTCAAGCTGTTTGATAAAGTTCTCACGAGGATAAAGTAACTTTCTTGTGGGAAGGGCCAATCTGAGTGCACGGTGGTTGTCTTTGGTAACAACCGTTTGCCAAGGCCTTGGAAAAAACTATATCGTGCAATTTAACTTAGTGGATTAGAGCGGCATGAGGATAACGGAGCCAACTTATTTAGCTACGATAGTGTGGCGTGCAGCGAGTGCTGGGAAGCTGCAATTGTACGAAGAATCTAACCACTCTATTTAAGCAACCGATCAATCATTTGTTACAGGCAAAGAAAGTTAAAAGCGCAGTGCAGTACTAGCTGTAGTCAATACTGCAAAAAAAGTTGAAAACGTTGGAATTAAGAGCAAAAACATTGACGTTTTCAGACGTATTTGTTTAGTTCATGAATAATATACTTTCAACATCCCTTTAGAAATACCTTTTGAAAACAACATGCATCAAACCATGCAAACCAGTAGTTCGATTTAAGAGCTGCGACGATCTGAACCTTAGCAATCACTCTAAAAGATGAATCGTTGTGCATTCTACAATACGCGACTTTACTAATACTGGGATCAGAATGAACGCTGGGATTAGCCAACCCGGCACCAGTTCCCTCAAGGGGTATGTTGTTTCGCGCAGCCTCGATACTTTTTCATAAAAATGATAAACGTGATTTCACTCTCATACTCCCCATAGAGTTAGCGTAAGTATTAGTGACAACTTGTCAACAACTGGTTCTGGGATTCTTCATAGAATTAGTGCGAGCATAAGAAAGCAGTATCTGCAAATGCTGGTGTGCAAGATTATTAGATAAACTATCCACTTCTCTTTTTAATATTGTAAATCACATGAGAGATTAGGCTACAGGACTTCTATCGCGAAGCTTCTCAGCCCATTTTCAGTAAAACTATTCATAGCTAGAGCCAAGTGAAACAACCTTTGAACCAAAGGAAATAAAAAGAAATTAAACCAGTGCGTGTCTTAAAGTTGTGTGATAAATTAACTTCAGAGGCGGGTGGCTTCTGTGACAAATAGTCACTTGGGATAGACCGTTTCCGGTTTCATGACACTCTCCGTGTTTTAGCGCGGAAAACCGTCTTAGGTTGGTTAGGTCAGTTGGTTGATCAACTTTTTCGATTGAAAACAAACCAAGTTGAATTCACAACTGTTTATATTAGAGAGAGAGAAGTAGGAATCGCACTTCAGAACATCATGCTCTCTTAGCTGAACTCGTTAACACAGAGAAGCCTAGAAATGACGACTCCTGGAGTCAATCGAAAAGGTTCGATCAAGTGGAACGAGGTTGGTGTTCCAGTAGCAGACTTCAACCTACATCGGTTGTGGTTGAAAAGGTTAAACCCAATAGCACACGATTTAGTATTATCAACCAAGTCGATAACGTAAATTGGCCACCGTAGAGTTTCACAGTTCACGTTTCTAGTGTTAGCCCTTCGTCAGAGCGAATGGAGGAATTGTGGGTTGTGTGTGTGTTTATAAGCAGAAAAATGGCGTAACGCTATTGGTGGGAACATGGTGACGAGAAAACAAGAAAAAATTCGTTGGATGAAAAGCGCTCTTTTTCCCTTTGCTTTTTTAGCTGCAAAACTCTAGAACAAAAATTTATCTTTCCAATCGGCACTCTTAATCCCCACGGTATCAACTAATTTATTCTTGTTTTCTCGTCATCACGTTCCGACTGACTTTTAATTCAAAAAAGATGTTTTATTCTCGGCTTCAAAGAGATAGGTGCGATTAATTTTTGCTCAAGTTGGTTGACGGGGAAAAAGAAAAACCTTGTTTAAAAACAAAAAACAAGCTCGCCAACCAAGTTATAGTCTTCTCATTTATAAGCCGGGTATCTTAAACACAAACTCGGCTCAGCACAACCTTCTCTAAAATGATACATTAAAGCATGCAAATACATATAGGACTCACGAAGCATAGAAAACTTCAGATTTAAGATAAACAGGAGTCGTTTCTTTCTTAAGAATTAAAGGTGCCACAGGTCACTTCTTATGCTAATTACTGTGGTTATCGTATCACTCTTCTTTGATTCCTAAGGCTCTCAGCCGTTCAATCAAAGGCGGATGTGAGAAATGGTACGCCGAGTATAATTTATCTGCCACAGGGAACCCAAGGTTGTCTTTGTGAAGCTTTATCAGGGCTGAACGTAAAAATGTGGAAAACCCAAGATTCTTTGCGAAGGCGTCGGCTTGAAATTCAAACTTTCGGCTTAGAACGGTCATCAGAAAACCTAGTAACTAAAATAAATAAAGGAAAGGAAAGTGACGTTACTTTTTCGATATCGGGGCCGCAATTGATCGCAAATTAGTCGTACGCTACAGTAAAAATTTCTCATGTTCTACGACTTTTTTAATTTGTCCAAAAAAAGTTTCAAATAACTTTGAAGCCTGTAAAGCAGGCGTAATTTTTGCGAGTGCTCGATATTTTTTTAGGCGAAATTATGTTGCCATCTTTGATTTTAATGGCAGTGGAAGGCTGTGGAGAGAAAGAAATTTGTACATGGCCGGTTGCATAAACGATCGCGAGCTTCTTAGCGTTAATTCGCCCTTATAAGACGCCTGCACTGCAGGCTACTACCTTCGTAACTACCGTAGGCAGTAAAAATTTTGCTTTTTTTACAAACCGGCTCAGGACTCAATCCATAAAATATTTTTATTGAAAAAATCTTCTATTTGGGAGATTAAATTTTGCTATTTAAAAAAGGAAGAAATTAACTGGCAATTGCATATCGTATCGTGCAATTTTGTCCCTAAATCATATTTGTGATTTCAATCGAACTCGCGCGGCGTGCTCGATCTATTTTTAATTTACACGGAAGATCTAAGACCAATTGCACTCTACCCAGTTCAGTTGCCATTATCCATAATAACTGGTAATACATACCTCATTGTAAGGTGAAAATATAAACTGAAATATGATCACCAGACCAATCAATGTGGGCTGTGAGTCGGGGAAACCAAAGCTTGCAAACAATGCCCCGTTATGCATCAGAAAACCGAACATCATGAACGAAAAAAATGTGTTCACCTACAAGGACAGAAAAACAGGTTCATCACAACATAGTCAAAAAGCCTTCCCTCTGAGAGTATCTGTGCAAAGGAATTACTTAAAACAACTTGGCAAAACGCTGCCCAGACATGTTCCCTCATGCATGCAAATGACCTGTAATGGTTTACATGTTGGAATTTACCTGTGAGATTCCAAGGTTTTTAAGGGTGTGACTAAGTTTCCAGTGGCCCAGTTCATGCCCTAGAACTGCCAGTATCTCATCATTTGAGCAACCTTTGCCCTTCTTCACTTCATCATATTCTGTTGCATCCTGCAATGGTGGACAGCAATCAGTCGGGAAAAAAAGAAAAAATAACAAAGGTCTTCAGAAGTACAACTCATTGAAAGATTTAATCATAAAAAGGCTAATCCTTTACACCCTATCATCAGTATGAATATTCTCCATATCTTTGCTATACATTTCCTAAGGTGCTGACAAGGAGAATTTGTTTAATAATCAAGAGCTCTTTAGTTTGTGATCATTTCCTTTATTCTTGTGACCTTCCTGTGTGATTCAACCCTTCAATTCCCAAGACCTGATAGTTAATTCTCTTCCAAACCAAGTAACGCTAACACAAATATTATTATTAGAACCTCCTTCTGCATATTATTTGTTAAAGGACTGAACTACAATCAAACTTGCTTAAGCTTCCAGCAAGGAAGCTTAATTAAGATAGGTTTTAGTGATTGGAGTCCAACTGCAAACCTTTCCTTTACTACTGACTTCCAAACCAAATAAGAATAGTAAAAAAAATAATGACTAGCACCTCCTTCTGCTCATTATTTGTTAAAGGGCTGAACTAAGATCAAACTTACTAAAATTTCCTGTTCGGATGTTAAATTAAGAGAGGGTTTTAGTGATTGGAGTTCAACTGCAAACCCTTTCCTTAACCAAACAAACTATTGACTTCCAAACCAAATAATAATCACACAAAAATAATGACTGGCACCTCCTTCTGCACATTATTTTCCACAGGTTCATCCACTGCCTCCTTCTCTTGCTCCTTGTTATCATCATTTTCCTTTCCACCTTCTTCACTATCCTTCTCTTCCTCTATAGGATTTTCAGCCAGTAAAGTGTCAAAAAGAACTATCCTCTTGTTCTTGAAGAATCCATAAAAATATGCATTGCTATGAGAGGATCTCTTGGATCCATCCACAATATAAATTTTGGTTAATGGAAAAGATATCCTGGCTGCTAACTGCTCAATTGCAGAGCGCAGAGTTCCTTCTGGAAGAAGAGTGAACTTGTCAAATAAAGGGGCTATGTAGTCCATGTATACTGTCACTAAAGCCTGAAACAGAACATCAGAATTTGTCAAATAGCCTTTTCAATCCCAGTAGTGATAAAAACAAAATTTCTTCTTACAGTTATTAGACATTTTAAAGCAAATAGGAACAGAGAAGAAAGAAAACATCAAATAAAGTTTATGTGCAATTCAAAACCAATTTCTTGGAGCTGAAGTCATCAGAAACAGATGGCTGACCAGGTGGAGAATTGGATCACTCATAGCTTAGAAGTCAGGGATTTGATCAGGAGAAGGTATACTGGACACTATTAGCTTCAGAAGCATTCATCCCAGTGCACTGCTAGGTTCCTTGTCAAATAATATTTAGATGCTCAAGGAAGCTAAGGTAACCTTAAACCACTTAAAAAGTCTCCAAAGAAGGTTAATAATGCCATTCAATAACAACAAATATAAGTTTATGCTTGAGAACAAAAACAGCTGTTTTTAGAGCCACAGAAGTTACAAAAGCAATAATCAATTTCTATTCTAGTTTATTTTCATTATGTTCTTATTAGTTTGCTACACAGGCATGTAAATTTTCAATGAATAGTGTCAATTAATGCAAATTTTTGCACAGGTTTTCCAGCATACAAGCTGCACCACTAATTGGTTAAGCATTCAACACCAACGAGTGACCAAGACAGAATTTTTCTCCTAACAATATTCAGTGGACATGTGACAAGAATTAGGAAAAATATCAATTAGAGGATTATAAGATGATCCAATACCAAATTCTCCAAACTAACATCATGAGAATTGTATGGCAGATAGTAAGGAGAATTACTAATGAGATCTTGGAAGTGAAAGGGTTAAAAAGGGTCGGGAAAAAAAGGACTGCTTAAACACCACTTTTTATAATACTTAATAAATTGATGATCAGGAGTAAGGAGTTATCTACATACCAGGGTAACTATAAGTGTAAATATCCAAGTATAGATGAAGAAGTACTCTCCGCCCCACTTGATGATGTAAAGTAATGCCGCAAGTAAAGGAAGTGATATCACCAGCATGACAGCCAGCTTCTTCACAGTATCCTTAAAGAAGAAGCCAAGAGTCTGTGGAGGGTGTTCCACAAAACAACTATTATTTCAACATCTTCATCAAATAGACATGTACAATAAGCTTAAGCACAATAACATTCCCGAAATTAAAATTAGCAATATTCAGTATGGCTTTCAGAACTTTTCTTGTAGCAACTAAACATCCACAGAAACTTATATACCATATGACAATATGTGTAATCAATACACTATTACACAGTTATACATATTATCACACTGGCAATAAAGTGTGCATTTCACCAAGCTGACCTGATCAATATTTTTAGGAATAAAAGAAAAATATAATGGCTGGTAGCTCAGAGATTCTATAAATTAAATCAGTTTAGAAAGAGTTTAGCCACAAGGACAGAATTTAAGTGTAACTGAATGCAAATTTTTATGCAGCTGAATGCAATTGAAAGTATAGCTACATATGTGCAAAGTCATAAGTCTTAGTAATGACTCTACACGATATCCTTGAAACCCTGACTGTTCTCATGCAACACTTTGCAACATTCTTTAACAAACCTGCTTGTTGAAGCCGTGTTTCTCTTCAATAACAAATGTACTATACAGGCTCCAAGGAAGATCTGTGATGGTACTGAAAAGCATCCCGATCAAAAGAAATGCCAATGACTGAGTGATCTGTCCCAAAAAAAGACATTAACTATCAAATAACATTAATTTTGCATCAGTTTTTGTCAAAGACTGAATCCAAATGGAAGGAAAATTGTATAGCTAAGAGTTGATCTTCATCTTGATTTGCCCAAAAGGGCTAAAGACCTCACAAGCCAGAGAGTCCATGCTGCCAAAGTATATCCTGGTTTCAGTAGCATGCTCCAATACCCTACAGTGAGTGGGCTAAGGCTAAGGCTCAAACCTTAGGATCCTGACTGAAGCACCCTTCACATTGTTCACCACATCTGTCCCCCTCCCTTCCAATGATTATAATTATACTAAATAATAATTTGATGATTTATACCCAAATGATTATAATTACACTCAATGATAATTTGACAATTCATCACTAAATGATCAATTATACAGATGTATGTGCTGTAAAGCCAGAGGAATCTAGTCACTATAATGCAGATTACATTTTCTACAAGGATAGCTAATTATATATATATTTTTCATCACCTTTATGACTTAACACACCTCATAGTCAGTTGAATAACCAAATTTGGAAATCAACAGTCCAGAAATTCTCCACAAAAAAGGTATTCCACCAAGCAGTAGGATAAGCTGAAAGGATACAATGAGTAAACAAATAAATAGATGAAAATTAACATGTACCATATTAAAGCAAGGAACTAAATATATACATTTTCAAATGACAATGTGTCCATTTTGTAAATGGCAATAATTAGGAATTTGGCACAAAATGCTCTCCTCTTCAAGCAATCTTAGTAGATTTGGTTTGACAGGAATAACTGCATGTAACTGGACTAGTTGAAATATTCACTTTTTCCATTTTTAAGTGGAAAGTACATGTATGTTTGTCCTGTTTACAGCAACATTAGTAACCCGAGAAAATTTTTCACGCCTGTCTCAAAATTTCACAACATGATCTAAAACGACTGTCTACAAAGTTTAAACCCACAGTTCTCCATCTGAGCAAAAGACAGCCACCAAATCAAAAGTTAATTTTGAGCACTTGTGAAATAAATATAGGCCCCCATTGTGGCATCTGGCTTTCTTCTTGTTCATTGCATAAAACTTTAGAATCAATGAACAGGTGAATTGAATAAATTCCTGATCAACTTTTGATGCAACATCAACTTCTACCTTTGTTTCAAAAGGAAAGAGAAGAAAATTTAAGAGGAGAATCCAGCTGCTCATCAGAGCTTCCTTAAAGCTTTCTTCCATGCAGCTCCTCAACTTAAATTAATATGATTGTAAACTCTATTGATGTATATATCTAACCGTTGTTTCTACTTGAGAATATGCTCCAGATACAAAACCAAATGAAGAGCGATCCAGCTGATAAACCCGTGCTTTCTCAAATGACTTGTGATCCAATGTATCTTTCAGCTCATCAGGAACATCCTTGGTGTACTTTAGAACTTTATGCTGAAAAAAAAAAGGAGAAAAATGAAAAAAAGATCACTAGTTGCATAATAGTTGACAATAATTTTCCAGTTATTTTCATTGCCCCTTAACAGAAACACAAAGCTTCATCATCCATTTAGGCCAACTGATCTAACAATTATAATTTTCTTTCTCTGTTCTAAATACAGATCAACTCTAGGGACTCTTAAGGAGTCTCATGAGAACAGAGTGAACCACTGGTTACAGTTTACTAAATTTCCTGCTCAAAAGTAAGTTTGGAAATTTTGGGAAGAGGGAAAATCAAGATGATTTTATCTCCTGCCAAAAATGTTGGATTTTCTTCTCGAAGATGGTTGTATTGTATGAGTATTTTTTTCATATTTTGAATTATTCATGTCTGTTTTAGTGAGTTTCACTTTTTACACAGAAACAGGGATAGAGGGGGATGTAATCTCTAGATATCCAGTGGCTTGCATTTTGTGTTCTTTTGATATTTCAGTGTGATACTTTTGAGAGTATAAATGATATAGCCGACAACGAAGTTCTTAAAAGATACTTTTGGAATTTTTCAATACAATTGCATGTGGAAATTTACTGATTATACTATCTTGATAAGTGAAAATTGGTTTTAACTGAAAGTGAAATCGTTTCATGACATATTTCAGTTTTCGAAAGCTATTGCTTTCAAAATTTTACTGGATATAATGCAAATTAGACGAAATAACAGCACTGGGGTCAGGAAAATTTTTAAATAAGGCGCTTATACAAATCTGCGGAACTAAAGCACATTGCCAAAACGAAATAGGGTACGGTTATGAAATTTAAAATATGTACAACTCTCTTCAAGTACTTCTCTCTGGAAGTACGTCCAAAGATAACCTTGTCAAATAATACCTTAGCTAAAAAGATAATTACTTTCTATGTTTATCTAATGCCTTACCTGACGGTATGAGAGATAGTTTTCCCATAAATAAGTAAGCCACAAAAATCCGACCACAGCTAGAAGTACGTCCACCATTTTGGAAAAGGAAGTTAACACCGCGATTATAGGAAACAGTGTTTTACCATTAGAAATAATGCGTGGCTGCGCAGTTTTATCCCAGACTCCCTCAGCTGATCAGTGGTCAAAGGTCAAATTGTTGTTGTTTTGATTAGTTATGGCGACGATTCGAAATGATCATTCCACCTGGACTAACTATAACTATAAGGTTTCAGCTCTTGACGCGGTTTTTGACATTCCAATGCGGTGTGTCAGCGCTTATTCTGTGTCAAAAGAAGAATTGTGGACAATTGTAGAGTAAAATATGGGTAATGGAGCTCAATCAAGGCCTGGAAACCCCACGAATATACAGCCAGCTAATAATTTCATAAGATCACAACGAAGTTGTGATATGAACGGTTATGTCGCTAATGGTGGTGAGACGAATCACGGCATATTTCAACCCTACGATGGTGTTCAATCTCAGCATTTTGCATCACCTTTCACTAGAAATGAACCTTCATCTTATCATTCCGGTCCATATGACTCAGCTGATCATTTCGACGACTACGAAGTAGACATGAGTATCGAGCGTGCGGTTGCTCCGCATTCCCGATCATGTTCCCAATCGTATAGCGGGATGGACAGACCAGACGGGCCAGTTTATCGTTCAACTTCAAAAGGAGTTTATGAACAGTCAAAAATCGGGAATAGAAATCGATTAGCCGACCAGGCAGGAGGGATTTCAAATTCAACTTCTGATGACATTGTATTCGAGGTCTTTCATTGCCTAAAGACGGGAAAAGATTACAGTGTGATAAATTTGGAAGGTCAAAGGTATTTCGTCGACTCTTGGAATTCAGGTATATATCTCCGGGTAGCAACAGTGAGCATGTGTTTTCCTATGATGTTAGTGGTGAAAGTTAAGGGAATAAAGGGGAGGTGGGGCCAGAGGGGGTAGCCGTTGGGGTATGCTACAATGTTCATGATGCTTACTTGCCCGGACTTGTTTTAGGATCACTAAATCACTTTGCAGCCTAAAATGGAGATTATATAATTTTTTCAGTTCTTGTTTCTAAATGATTTCCAAAGTAATAATAATAGAACAGATGTTCTTGGGCATAAATGTCTTTTGGGCTCTTCTCAGGGCTCATTTTAACTTTTAAATTACTCTGAGTGGGGCCCAAAACATATGTGTGCACATAAGCATAGTTTATCTTATTTTATTATACCTCTAAGACCCATGAGAATGTGGAAAATCTGATAGGATTATAGTGGAACACAATATTCCCCTCTAAGTATTGTCTGAGAAAATGATTTTGAAATTACTTAGGGTCTGTATAGATAGGCAAGTGGCCAAGTTTCTAAGAAGATCACTCACCTGACCAAACAAATATCAACATATTTATGCAAAGTGATATTTTATTAAGGTGAACATCATCAGTATGTTCATTGACCCATTGACTTTCTATGTGACACATCAGGAAATATGAACCAATTAAGAAAGTTATCAATTAATTCTTTTTATTTGTGGGGATACTCATTATAAAGGAGGATTGGAATGATCTACTGTGCTCTGTTCTGCTCTTCATTGTAGCTAAAAGGAGTATCATTTCCTGTGGAAGGGGTACCTTTTGTTCAAATGTGTTACATTCAGGGTAGAGCATCCTCATTGAAGAATTTTGTTGAGGCCTCTCTTGGCATATGATCTATCATATTCATCCAGGGTTGGTATAAACCAGGTATTGTGTGGATAAGGGGAGCCTCCAGGCAATAAACAGAGCACTAGTTTTGTTAACCCTTTAATTCCCAAGATCTGATTGTTAATTCTCCCCTGTAGCTGCTACACATTTCCTTGTAAATTAGCTATGAGAACTTGGTGCTAAATCAAGACAGTAGCTTCTACCTGATAAGTTTGAATATTCTCATTACCTGTTTGCTGAAGAATGTATGGATATTGTAAGGAGAAGTTTTGTGTTAATCACTTCTGGGAATTAAAGGGTTAATATTATGTATTCTGCTATTGCTTCTTACATATAGGTAATGAGTTGCAGCCATTTCCTGAGGAGTGGTACCAACACGGTTACATAGAGAGTGACCAAAGACTAGGGACAGGAGAGTATGGATATGATGACACAGCTCATGGTCCTGCTATGCAGTCACAAAGTGCTTGGGTACCAAGATGGAAAGATGATCGCATGGGGTTGATGGAGCATCCATCTAGAGGTGCAGTGCTCTTTATTGTGATTACATGTATTGTTATGGGGAAACTTTTTGTTGTAGTATGATTGGCTAATTTTACATGCATTACTGTGCTTTTGAGGTATCAATGGTGTTTCAAGACGAGGGGTTGGGGGGGGGGTCGGTCCAGAATCTTTCCTCACCCCTCATGCCTATCAAGCCTGTGGATCTAGTGTCCTGTTCATTTACACTCATGGCTAGTGTGAATTTAAGAAAAGGGTTAAGGAGTCATCATAACTGTCAGTTCTCACTGGTAACTTATGACTTAACTGCATTAATGTACAAATTTGTTCTGAATCTTATTCTAGGACTATTGACTACGTACTTTGAAGAAACTAAGTTGAATGTACTAAATGTTTACGACCAACATTCTGGCACATGGTTGAAGATGCCTCTGTCATGGGAGATGTATGTACCAGATGTACAATCGCGGCTGGTGACCATTCAGGAGACATTTCCATATTGGACCGATACCTCTGAGATACTTGCGTTGTTGAGACAGTGTAATTATGATCTTGATGAGGTCCTTAACACTTACATGACGCTGTTTGAGGACGCGAATCCCACAGCAGAGAAGACTCCTTTGAAGCTTGCAAATAGCTCTTCGATTAGTAAAGAGCAAGCAGTGGAGATGGAAGGCTTGACGAAAAGAATTGGACAGCTAGAGGAGCAACTCCGAGATAAAGATTCTCAGTTGCAAGAGTCTCAAAGGAAGAATTTGGACTTACAAGAAAAGCTTAAATCAGCAGAAGAACTAGCAAGAAAACTTCAGATCAAAGGGACAAGTTTACAACGGGAGATTCAGCAGCTTAAATCTGCGCAAACACAACCTCAAGAACCAGTTGTGGCAACGGTTGCCGTGGCGACTCCTAAAGAGGAGAGGGTTTCTAAGGATACTTGTCTGAATATAAAGTCCTCTATTAAATTCTTTTCTGAGAAGTTAGCGGAATTGCGGAATTGTTTTTCAAGCGAAATGGATGGACTTTATTCAGTTTTAAATCAGGCGCAAGGGTCTTTGCGTAAGATGAAACAACAAAACCAAGGCCCTAGCAAGGAACTGATAGAACTGCGCGCCTTGTACCATAAAGAGGTACTCGAAAGAAAATTTTTGTACAATATACTCCAAGAACTCCGCGGTAACATCAGAGTATTCTGTAGATGCAGATTTGATCCTAATGCAGATGATGTACTTAATTTCTCCACGGACCAAGACATAAGTTTGATATCAGCAATGGGACAGAAAAAGTCCTTCAGATTTGACCGAGTTTTTTTTCCAACCAGTACTCAGGAAGAGGTCTTTCAAGACACTCTCCCTCTTATTACGTCATGTGTTGATGGGTACAATGTTTGTATCATGGCTTACGGTCAAACAGGTACGTGTTCTTAATGCAATCTTTAAAATTATTCCTTTAAGGCCACCGTTTCTCATCTGAGTGGCACAGGAGGGAACATAAAGTGCGGCATTGAATATTATTTATCTGGTGGTCTTTGAAAAGTTTTGCCCTCTGCACATTTTAACTCCTTAGTTTTTAAATATTTTTTCTCCCTCGATATCAGCCTACAGACGTCTTTGTTGTCGGAAACGAACACCGCTATTTAGATGATAAAGATTTCTCAACTTTATTGCCCAATAATAGTCTGTTTCGTCTTTTTATCACAATGAGATTTTGGGCGACGTGACTAATTATCTCGGGCAAACCAACTAAAGTTTAGTTTCGGGCGAGATTACTTTTGGGAGACTTGACCAGATGTTGTTATATTTGCCCCTCAGTGTAAGCGGTTCTTAATTTTTGGGTGTTGCAACGGTTCTACTTTTGTGGTAAATGAGCATCGACTTTACTTTCCTTTTTAGGCTCAGGGAAAACGTACACAATGATGGGGACAAACGAAGATCCCGGAGTAAATATCAGATCGATTCTGGAACTCCTTCGGGTATGCGACGAACGAACCACCGTGGACTATACTATGTGTGTTTCTATGGTGGAAGTTTATAACGAAACAGTGAGGGATCTGCTCAGTGAGAGTGGAAGCTCACAACAACTGACCATTCAGATGAGGAACAAACAACTGGTCATTACTGATGTCACTGAAGCTAATGTCAAGTCTGCTGCAGATATCAAAGGCATCATGGAAAAGGGTAAACGTTTTTTCGATGTCTGACATTTGAGTTATCTTTACCTGTGCTATTACAAAAGGTGGTAAAAGGGAACTTTGAACGCTTGTTTCCTATTGAAATCGATTTTCACATTGAGATCCATACATGACTGAAACTAACACTTTCCATGTTGAAGTTGCTTTAAGAATAGATTGAGACTGCTTAACCCTTAACACCTAATATCAGTGTGCACATTCTCCGCACTGTCCTCGTGCATATCCCAAGCCGCTGACAGGAGAATTAGCTATTAACTTATCAATCAAGAACTTCTTGAGGTAATGATCATTTCTTCTATTTTAGTGATCGTAACGCTTAATTCAGGGTGACGCGGAAAGGAAAAATTAAATGCTAATCACTCTGAGGCGCTAATGATTGAGTTTCCGAAAAGGAGTCCTGAGGTTCTAAGAAATGGGCCGTAGTGCTTCGTATTTTCGTCAAAGGGGGGCAAAAATCAAACGTTTACGAGCAATTATCCTGTAGCAACTCTCTCTTTTTTTGAGTTCAATTTCAGGTGACTCGAACCGTTCAGTGGGTGCTACCAAAATGAACACAAACAGCTCCCGCTCCCATTTGTTACTCCTCTTGAAGCTTTATGGCACAGATCGCGTGACAAATGCCGTCACGCGCGGTACGCTGACCCTTGTAGACCTTGCTGGCTCAGAGAGGATCTCCAAAACTGAAGCCACAGGACAAAGGCTCGTGGAAGCAGCAGCTATCAACAAATCTCTTTCAGCGCTGGGTCAAGTATTTGCAGCGTTAAGAACGAATGCAATGCACGTACCTTACAGAAACTCTAAGTTGACTCAATTAATGCAGAGCTCTCTTGGGGGGGACGGCAAGGCGTGTTTGTTTGTTAATGTTAGCCCGCTCGCCAGTAACCTTAGCGAGACAGCGAGCACGTTACAGTTTGGATCAGCGGCTAAGCAAGTTGAACTTGGAAAGGCCAAACAGAACATTACCTAAGCACCAAAGAAAAACTAACCGGATAAAATTAAGAGTTTAAATCAACAAGGACTGATTGACATCCAAATATCTATCGATCCTTGAGTGTTCCTAGACCCGCTATATACCGAAGGTTTCAACGACTTCACGAGCCCTAAGCCTTCTGATAATATCTTAATATTAGAGTAGGGCAGATCTTGGCTCAAAAACCAGTCAGTTCTGTTTTGTTTCCTTTTATTTACACTTTTCAAATTTCAAAACTCTTAGGCCGGTTATTTACACGAGGTCCAACCCAAAACGCGGTTTTACGCAAGCAGTGAGTCTCAGGAATTTTCTTGAAGAGGGTTAATTTAATTTAATAAATTTCCTCTACTATTAGCTTCACAAAGATAAATATTCAGATAAAAGGTTTGGCTAAACTGAAGATGGCTTAGAACGTAGTTTTATTAAGCAACGGCTAAACTTTGTTTAAATAACAAGCCCTTAATGAGCCGATCTTGAATTTAAACACAGCAAACAAAAAGCTGAGCCTTTCAGGGTCGGTAACTCCCGCAACTTTCTAGAAACGAGTCCTTGAAGGGGAATAACTAGCCAAACAGTTTTTAAAGTTAAAAATTTATTTTCCTGCCGTTAACCCATTCACTCCCAAGATCTAAAGATAAACTCTCGCTACTGTCTGCCTTACATTTCTTATGATTTTAGCTTTGAGAATTTTATGTTGAATCTAAAAATATTCTGCAATGTATATATTTTTGATCTTATTACCCTCTGCTTGAAGACATATCGGCAGTGTAAGGGGAAATTTCTCATCGGTCACACCCAGGAGTGAAAGGGTTAATTTGGGAAGCAGGTGTAGTTTTTATTAAAAGCGTTTCGTGTTTTTATGATGTATTATTCCTTCTAAAAATTTATAGCGTGAATATTGATTTTTATAACAAACATCGAAAAGATTTGGATTCAACAATAATTTATTATTATCCGCCGCAAATATGACAAGATAAAAACTATATTTTACAACATAGAAAATGCCAGCAGGTTGAACTAAAGTAATCTTCATTACACGTAAATTTTACGTTATTCCTTTAAGGACTGAGTTGTCAACCAGTCTTGCTTGCCTCACTCTCTTCATTTCAATCACAGACGATTTCTGGTGTTGTAAAATGGCATCTGAACCATTGACAGTTTCGATCAGAACAAAGTTCAAATTCCTTTCGTCTGTAAAGGATCTTAGGGATGCGCCAAATCTTTTTGGCTTCTTGTAATGTGTTCCATTGATCTGATTGGTCATTCTGATTACTTTAGTTTTCGAAAAGCGCTCTGCTGTTTTTGCATTGGTTTTGACTTCCCTTTGTAAAAGACAGTTCGTTATTCGCTTTAAATGTAAACACGACCGCATAACCCAGCCTTTTACAACGTTTAACGCGAGATAATTATGAATAAAACGGATGATAAAGTATTAAAATCTCCCTTTTCTTTTGACTTACGATGATATTAGTAAAAATCGTATTTACACTCTAGTTACCTTTTCAAGGTAGATGGCATCTCTGTTTCACTCTAAGAAATTACAGAGATTCGGAAAGGCAATTGGTTCCGAATTAGATAGAGCCATGAAGGTAAACTGACCAGAAAATTCAACGAAAAAAAAAAAAAAAATAGATAAATAAATGTAGAAAGAAGATACCCACGGGGCATTTGGTGCCCAACAGAACCAACCTTAACTCTTTACATCCTTACATGAGGATAAATATTCTCCATTCCGCCCTCTCTACATTTCCTATTGAACTGAAGAGGGGAATTTGTTAGATCATCGGGAACTTCTGAAGCTTAGGATCATGCATTTTGTTTTTGTTTTTCTCGTGGTCTCTTTGTTTAATTCAGGGTTGATGCTAAGAGGAGAAATTAGCCGATACTCACTCTTATGGGTTAAGGGATTAATTATTCCAAAAGGACTCCTGATGTTATTTGCATGAGGAATGGAAAATAGCAAAGGAAAAAAGAGAGGCGGTCTTAAAAAAAAAAAAAAGAAAAAGAAAAAGAAAAGAAAGGAATGGAAGAATGATGGGGGATGAGAGGTAACGGTTTTTCCCCCCAGAATTCCCTGCACGCTTGCTCTTATCCACCCTGAATTTCTGTACATTTTCTATCTTCTTGTCCAATCCCATGACTTTAAAAAAGAGAGCTTCAGCGTTATAGAAACAAGTGCCCCTTTCACAAATTTTACATATGATTATTTCCCCCATATTATTGTTATTACTATTGGTCAGTTGATAAAATGTTTTCCCTGCCAAGTTTTAGGAAAGTGTTTGGTTGGTATTAACTGGCATAATACACATCCAAAGTTTCAAACAGAGGTTCTGAGAAGTCCAGTGGGGGGTCGGGTAAGGCTTTGTCAAAGCCTTCTTTACCAACCAACCAGTAAGTAGTCACCAGTCCTTGCCTCTGTCAAATAGGGACAAAGAAAAAAACACGGTGTAAAAACACGATGTGCACGTTTACGTCGGAAAACATATCGATAGGCCTTTTGTGGACGACACTATATTTAAAACAATTTGGAAACGTCGGAATACGCAATTTTGCAAACCGCTAAAATGAAATTGAAAGTACATTGAGAAGAACATTAGTTTGATTTATCAAACAAACAAAATTGCAAACCGTAATTGGAGAGGGTTCAGTTAATTCGAAAGAAAAATGCTTTATTCTTTTTACTCAGGTTTTCAAACGTTCCGAGCCTCCATCTGTGTTCGTTGCATTCGAAGCGCTGTTAGTGTGCGCCATGGATTGAAAACAAAAATTCCTTGAGCGTCATTTGTCTAACAGTTGGAGAACCGCGTCTCAGAGGGGCGGGTAGAAAAATAAATTGCCTTTTTACGTTTAACTTAATTGACTGTTAAAGTGTAATCAAGCATGGAGAATAGTCCCTTTAGTCAGTTTCTTATATCACCTCCGAGATATTTTTTTTACCTTAATCTGGACCTGTCCCCTCTCCTCTAGATAAAAACCTCCAACTTCAACCAACCTCGAATGTGACTCGCTGCTCACGTGGATGCGCAAAGCTTGAGAAATGTATGAATAAGAGAATCATCATAAGGATATACAAATATTACCAAAACTTAAATACCTACTTCAAACTTGGTCGATACGTTTCTAAGATATTCAACCAAATAAGTTCACAGAAAAAGATCATTAACTCTATCGTTAAGGGCCAAAGGTCTAATTAATGTATCAGACCTTCCACGGCCAATTAGAGCACTTAAGGGTCAGAGTGATGGAACGCATAGAGCATGCGCAGTACTTACGCAGACAGGTGCTTTCCAGCTTAGATGCGATGTTGACCGTGTGACCATAAAGGCAAAACCGTGGCATGGTCACACCAACAACTGCCGCCACCACTGGACCTGTAAATCAAATCAAAATGAAAAGCAAGTTATACGTTCAAACCTATGTTGCTACATCGCGGCGTCAGTGCAGTTGCATGCGATACGGTTCAGTATTAGAGTGCTTTTCGATTGAGTGTCGTAAAAACCAAAACCAAAGTAATCACAACGGCCAATCAGAAGAAAGGGAAATACCTTTAAGAACCAATGAGAATTCAAAGCAAACAACCTGACCGCCTATGGCGTGGGAAGACTCTGATTGGTTGAGAACGTAGCGCGAGTTTTCTAGACCAACCACATAACGAAGTAAAGCAAAACCAAAGCAATACAGGATTATTTTCGACGCTGAATTGAAAATTGCTCTAAACAGCCAAGTTCAAGGAAAAAGGGACAAGGGATCACCTATGACTTCATGAAGAAAAACAATGCAGAAAGAAAATGATGACATGAAAAGGCGAACAACTAATCAGAGGTCCAGAAATCCTACCCGTGTTGATGCCAATTCGCAGTTGCAGTTGATGGTCTGGCAGATGTCGCACACGAAATACAGTCATGTGACTGAGAAGCTCTAGTGCCATGCTCGCAATTTCACTAGCATGTTTTATCCCATTCTTCTTAGGACAACCGCTGACAACAACGTAAGCATCACCAACTGTCTCCACCTGAAAAAGATAAACTACCATTTCAATGTTTTTTAATACAGTCCCTATTTATTTTCACGAAACCCTCTAAAAGGTGGTGCTTCTTTCACGGCAAAGAAAAAACGCCGGAAAAACCTCCGGGTCTGGAGAGAGAGGCTGGGTTCGATACTACGGACTTTAAGGGAGAGAACAACAGCAAAACCACGTTTTACAAATTCCAGGTAAATTTTCTCAACGTGAGTTTACCTTGTATACGTCAAAACGACTGATAATTTCATCAAAGGACACATACAAATCATTCAAAAAGCCCACAATCTGCAAAGGGAAAAGAGAGAACTATTAGCGTATTTGTTCATAGGTCTGTGTTCATCATAAATCCAGTGATCTTACTTATTGTTTCAAAGTAAACTTTGGCAAATATCTCTTCGAAGTTTCCGCACACTGAGGAGCTGCTTCCCATAGGAGTCATAGAGAGACGCCTTAATCATCAAGACCTTCCCAAAATAGTCCATTTTACAGCTGTGTGCTTGGTTGCCAAGCCTTTGAACAGGAGTGAGGCCAAGGTTGACCTTGTCATGATACAAACCTTGCTGCTTTCCAAATGCATATTACTTTGTTATCATGCTAACTAGATGCTGGTCTCCATCACAACAAGGTCACCTTCAGCCCACAACTGTGAAATGGCCTATTGGTACATAACTATGGCTGAACGCTACACCCGACCCAAGTCCCCATGGTGTAAGTCATGTGATTTAATGCATAGAGACGTTAAGATTTATCAGCATCCATTGTGTAGTTCCATACCTCTAGCGGGGTACTCATGGAGGCCAGCTTAGTGAAGCCGACAATGTCACTGAAGAAGATGGTAACTTCCTCAAATCCCTCGGCCTGCACCGTGTTATCAGACTTCAACTGGTCCACTACCAAACTAAGAACATGAAAAGAAAACTTTCAGGGCAGTTATCAACTGAGTGTCGAGAGAAATCCGGGTTTTTTTAGCTTTGCTTCACTGCGTCATTTGACTGGATAAGAAACTTGTGTCATCTTTGTTCTGAATTAATTAGATACAAAATTTACTCCAATCGCGCTCAGTTTCTCACGTTTTTGTCGCGCTTGAGTAAGGTTTAGTGATTTCGTTTCAAGTTCTAATTGGCTGTTGGTGATAGTTGTCTTATTTCTCATTGGCTTTTGTGATATATTTGGGTTTACAAGAAAAAAGTACGACATTCAATCGTTTAAACAACACTTTTCGTCTGAAGCAACTCTGTTCCATGACTGGTCCAGAAAAGTCGCAACACTTTTTGATTTAGGAAAATCTCACTGTCCCTTCTCTGTACGAAGTTTAGGCCTCTCTCTGCTTAGAAAATTATTTGCTTTTCTCTTACGACTGTCGTCGCATACGGCAAGCTAACTTTTAGTGTTTTTTTTTTCTACTTACGGTGGGAGCAATCGGTAGAGGATTTTCTCTGTTTTTTCTTTCTCCTCATTTAACTGCCTGGTTCGTTCCTCCACCAGCTGTTCCAAGTGATTAGCATGCTTCTCCATCATAGTCACCATGTTTTCTATGATGTTGGATCCTCTGAGGAAATAAGTCGTGTCAGGTTTGATGTCAATGAAAATTATATGCGATGCAGGACTGATGCAGGGGTGTACCTAGGATTTCTGACGAAGTGGGGAAGGGGGGTCCAAACTTAATGTCCTTATGACTTGTGCAGGTATTCCAGGTCTTTTCTTTATCACAATGAATCATTTTTCTTGGCAGGGGGAGGAGTCACGTGCATATTCGTTATTCCAACCGTATGTCTTAAAACGGTAAATATGATAAAAAAATTATGTACTTCACTGAGATGTACCTGCCACTTTCTTTCTTGAGCCGCTCTACAATTCGGTAAAAATGCGGCCTTTCCTCGGGTTCGTCATTCCAGCAATCTACCATCAGCTCTATGTATTCCGGCTTCATTTCCATTGATGGAACATCAGGACGGAAAGGAGGGTCCTCATGAGCCACAACACGGTGAATTATTACTGTTTAAGGGGAGGATTGCAAAAGGTGAATACGTAAATTGGGGCAGGACAATTTTCGGTTGCGATGTCTTTCTCCATGCAAGAGTGTAGACAGATACCGGTGAAATTTTAGGGAAAATTGACAAATCGCTAATGTATTCTACAAGTGATTGACTAGCCTCCCGTCTTTGGAATGCAGCAATACTCCCAGTCACTTAATGCGACTAAAAATTGGGGTAGCTCCGGAAGAAAATCGGTAAAAATACCTCGGAAAACTTCACCATCCATTTCTATCCAACCCAGTTCACCCACCTTTAGGTTGTAGCATTTTTCTGCTGTAAGGCTCCGAACGAAAGGACATTTCTTGAAGTAGTATTCCATAGCTGTACACATCTCCTTTCTGGGAAAACCCCTCACGCTCCACCTTACTGATATTGATGTGCTCAGGTGCAGTCCACAAGAGATCTAACATGGCATAAGAAACGGTTGTACCCATAAGCTAGATTCTTAGCCAATGTCTTTTATTAGGTTAGCCAGTGTCTTTTGTTGACCTACTATTACTGACAAAAGCTCTTAACATGCTTTAATTATCAGCCATACTTATGGTCTTTGTCTTAGTCTTTGCCTCGTTTATAGAAGTTGGTTGGAGAGGTCCAGTAGGTCAAGTATCGAATATTGACTTCTCGATTCAGAGGACTTAGTAGACGAAAACCTCTGATTAAGTTTACAAAATATGTTTTCGATTTTTCTGAGTAATAAATTAGCAGCTGTCTACGACCGAAGTGAATAACGATTCATATTCATGTATTGGTTGCCTACGGGCAGGGGAAGAAAAAAACACTTCACAAGTGAAAAAATATGAGAACATTGTAGACTAGATCGCTGACTTTAATTCAAAATGATGTAAACACCAGTCGAACGCAACATATCGATTCTGTAAAAATACGTCGACAGACTCCTCCAAACTCACGAGTGTGGCATCGATGCAAAGATGAGACTTACCATAATACATCTTGTGCAAACTCTTGGTATTCTCCTGTCCAGCTTTGAATTCATGCAAACCCCAGTCTGTGATCTTGACAACCCAGTGACTGTCAATCACGCATCGAGTCGAAGTCAGGTTGCCATGGAATTTGACAGAGGTGTTGTGAAGGTATTTCATGCCCTATAACATAAAGTAAAGACGAATGATCCTTTAGAGGAAATATTTTCTTATCATTGCCACGACGACACAAAACAGTCAGCAAAATAGTGAATAATGGATGCTCTACTTAAATTATTTCGAAATCTGGATCACCTCTTAAAGTGACCTTCTGAAATTTTCAGTATTGGTTCTGAGCCTCTCCTCCAATTTGTCAATTTTGATCTCTCGTCAATAATGAAAGTGAGGCTCACATAGTTACGTCTGATGACTCAACAGAGTTTACTTTTGCTCTGATAAACTATCACAACTGGTACTGTTGCTATGATTACCCATCAAAAACAATTTTGAAAAAAAGCCTCTTAATGCCGGTTAAAGAAGAACACAACCAAGATATTAGTTTTGTTACACTTATTGACTCCTCTCTATGAGAGACCAGTCACTATTCATTACAGAACCGTAAGGGGGAGGGGGGGGTGCAGGTGACACAACCAAAATCCTCCCCCCCCCCCACCCTTCTTTTTCCTCCTTCCCCTAGGCGTTAAACAAAGACCCGCTCCAAAACTACAAAAATAGACCTCGATCGGATTACTTCGAAATGTGATGGGATCAAAATCGCAGTACAATAGTCCCTGGAGGGTGTTCCCGTGATTTTATCACCACATTTAAACTTCTTCTACAACACTTTTTTAAAATAAATATACGGTTACACATTGGCATGATAGAAAAGAAAATAAATGATCTCATTACCGCCGCGATGTCGATGGCCATGGACAGTTTGAATCCATAGTCGATCTTATACTCATCGTTAGCCAAGACGTCCTAATCAAAATAAATGAACAACATTCCATGAAAAGCATGAATTTAACAATCAAGAGCTTCTTCAGTTGGTGATTATTTCCTTTATATTGAAGGGGTTAAAGGGTTGATGCCAATAAAACTGTATAAGTACTTACCTTTAAGCTTCCCTTTTTGCAGTACGACCAAACCATCATAATGTTGGGTGACTCGATGCACGCTCCAATGAAGGGGTTCAGGTTTTCATGGCTGATGTCCCGTACCTTAAAGAAAATGTTATTCAGTTACTGTGCACTACGACACCGTCGTAATGTAACGTGACTACATGGTGATAAACTAAGGTGCATAGATCAGAATATTAATTTTCACAAAAGAAAAAATAAAAAGCTGAATAAGTCATGAGTATAAATCCCGCTTCAGGCAGAAAAGGTGTTGACCGTTGTCTGTAGCTGTAACACCCCAGTTACCATATCATGATAAACTCATCACAGAAACACCTCACAAGTCTGCGATTTTTCACTTATATCTCTGAAACGTTAAGGGAAAATACAGTTCTTTGAATCTCTATCCATGCTCTAAAACAACTTGTGCGACAGTGGATTTCTAAAGGCTTATATATTTACTAACCTGTTTGAGCTGAATAAGAATTTCTCGAGTCATGTGAACAGTTTTCTTGTTCAACCGCTTTATTGCTACAGTTCGACCCTTGAAAAAAAAAGAAAAAGGCCGAACAGATGTAAGAAAATTCAAAGCTATCAGACCCAAATGATTAAACCACATTTCGAACTTCTATTTCTAGCTAAATATGGCTCTCAAACACCTAACAGGCGCTACCTTCGCATTTTTCAATGATATCCACCGACTTTCACGTTTGCAAGGTCCCTCGTTCCTCTAATGTTCTTATGAACCACCTCCTCAGTGGCAGTTAATTGGCAGTCGATCTTCCATAGTCCCTCCCTTATACTCTTTTGGCAACGACTGATCCCTCGTTCGTTCCCCCTGGAAAACCATATGACCCCCTAAATCCTCCATTACCCCCCTTGCGAAAAATAACGACGGATCCTTTGTATCAAAAGGTCTGGCTTGATGTATTGCCTTCCCTCTCCGTCACTTTGAGTAAATAGCTACTTTACCCACGAGACCGTCCCGGCTTCGTAATTTTCTTACTTGATAGTTTCCGATTGTGGTGAAGATTTGCTCTGTGTTTGCTGATGCGTTGGAGGCGGCTGTAGTTTGCTCCTCTTGAATCAGTGGACTGGTGAAAGGCTTGACGGCTTTGATCGTGTTCACGTTCAACTCTTCCTTGGTCTCTGTTTTCTGAAAGGTCAAGTTAGTGAAATGAAAGGTTACCCCTCTTTTGAAATCGTAGAATTCCATTTCCCTGACTTAACATCGAGAATTTAGTCGCGAAATACTTTGAAAACGACCAGGTAGTAAACGCTTTTTTTGTTGTTGTTGTTTATTCAAATTTTATGACTTTCGAGGACTTACCGGTTACGGTCCTTTTCTAGACCACTCTAACTCGAAAGATCAGACTGATCGTTCAACTATTAACCTTTTTTTTCCACTTTAAGTTCTCACTGGCTCTGTATGATATTTTGCTTTATCTTGATTGACTTCTGTGATTACTTTGGTTTTCGTTCTATGACACTCAATCGGAATGCAGTCTCTACATGCACTCGTCTAGTCTTTGAAAAATTTATATGTGCTTATTTACACCAATTTGTACGAGAAATCATTAGGTTATTTGTTAATAATTTACATGAAAAACGCATCACATGAAGTCAAGACGAACGAAATTTTGCCAGCACACGTACGGTATTTGTAATTTGGACTCATGTGACACGAAAAATGCACTCGTTTTCAGCCAATCCGAAGCGCGTAATTTTTTCATGTATATTGTCAAAATGGTTACAACATGGAAACTCACTGGAAGGGGACGAACAGTCGATGGACTCCGCTTGAAAGTTGTCACTCCCTGTGACTGTGCTTCTCCTGATCCACTGTGATCTTGAATATGCAGATCATCATAACGAAGTTTCCATGACTTGTTCTGCGCCAGATCTGTTTCATAGCGAAGTTTCCTACAAGCGAATAAGTTTACTCAAATTATATTTTGTCAGAGATAAAAAAGATTCTATTCTTGAGTTAAGTTTTTAGTTATTGAAGACTTTGCCTAAGAATATAGAGTTTCTCTTGTGTGATGAATCTGGGAGTTTCGCATGTATGTTTGCTTAGTTCACTTCAGCGTCTTTCTCTACTAAGAGCATGCGTTAGTAATTCAGGCGACTTCATGAAAACAAAGGGAATATCGTGATCTTTTGTGGAAACAAATCCATAATGCTCATGGAGAACTTGCAATGGATTATCCTTCCATCTAGGTGGGAGTTTGAGGTGTGGGGTTGGAGGGGGAGGGTTGGGGAGAGGATGCAATGCCGGAAATCGCTTCCTACTTTGGATACCAGGGACAGAGGCGTCACATGTGCGTTACTAGATTTCAGGGAGTCATCGTGTTAACTGTATATGCAGCATAGGAATCGTAACGTCGTGGGTTTAGAGAATAAATTACTTACCTGATGATGAGGAAAAACATAAGTGCTAACACCACGACACCAGCGGTAGACGCTCCAATGACTACATTGACCAACTGTTGAGTTGCTAGATTGAAAAGAGAGGAAAAATGAAGAATAATGTAAAGAAGATGATGTGTTCTTAAGCCTGGTGACTAAATCGAAAGATGATGTCGTTCAGTCAGACATACTGCAGATGTACTTGAAGTCATAGAGGTTTAATGTGAGTGTCGTAAGACCAAAAGCAAAGTAATTGCAAGAGGATTTTCACGAGGAACCAAGGAGTAAATCAAGCGAACTGCTAAAAGCTCGGAAACCGGCATGAGTGACACTGTGGAGATTGCTTCCACTTTAGGATCCGATTGCTAGGTGAGAGGGTGGCACCAGTTTTCTACGACTATCGCATGGGGAAGAAAAACGAAATATATGCAATCCGAGATTTCTTACAACTCTCGCAAGAGAATTTCTTTTGACCACGCTGATACGATATCAGCAAGTGAATGCATTCTTACCTTCTCTTCCTTGCTCGAGGCACAATTCTTTCTCCCATCCACACCTTGGCTTATCAAGAGGAGGATTTGTGCGTCCTCCTGCCCAGATCACTCTCACGTCTATCAAGTGAAGTCACATCAGCACGTTTCTTACCAACAACAGGAATTTCTTAAATAGCTTCTCTCCTCCCCACCCATCATCTAAGTAGATGTATGATGAAGATTTTAAATTGAATCTCGAGCCAAAAAAACTGCATTGGCTTTGGGTTTTCATTGCTTCTTTGGGCCGTGTTGACACGACTGGCCAAAGCTCGATGTTTTAGGGAAGGAAATACTGAACACTAATTGCCTGAAGCGATTGGATTTAGTTACGTATCTGATTGGTTGAGAGGGTGGTGTGGATTACATGTGACGCTCAACTGAGAATAGATCTGTCTCGATGCGTCTGGGATTACCTCTTAAATTGAAGCCTCCAGTGGAGTGATTGTAATCAGCGATGTTCTGGAAACTTCCATTCACGTAATACTTGAGAGAATAATCTGGGTCACGATCACCCGATTCGTCGATTCGAACTGTCCCCGAGGCACCTGGTTTATCAAAAATGACCAAATTAAAAGTGTTCAAAATCATAAAGAAACAAAGGAGCAATCTTGAATGCGAACTCGAAAAAAGAACTCGGAAATTGATGTTTAAATTTTAAATTAAGCATCAAACAGTTTACAACTGTTTAAAATGACTAGTTTATAATCTTTCTTTGTTTCCGAGGAGTTTCCTTAAATAATCTCAATTTCATGCACTCGACCCAGTTTCTTTCTTCCTCAAAGAATCTCGATTTCATACACTCGACCCAGTTTCTTTCTACCTCAAAGAATCTCGATTTCATGCACTCGACCCAGTTTCTTTCTTCCTCAAAGAATCTCGATTTCATGCACTCGACCCAGTTTCTTTCTACCTCAAAGAATCTCGATTTCGTGCACAAGTTCAAGTTCTATAACGCACAAGTTCCTTATTTCATATGGAACTTGGGCTATTTCAGTGTCAAACAAACACGAACCTTCAAATTCCATGTTGAGCATTCTGTGCACAATAGCTTGTCCATCTTTTTTGTCCCCTCCAGCTGCTAAGGTCTCATTCAGCGCAATGGCGTACAAATAAATAGCATCGTATATAGCTCCAGCGTACACCTCCACCTACACCGAAAAAGAACGCAGTTAGTGGATAAACCGTAGATGGGGATCCGGTGACTGCTCACGATCAAACACTATGGACTTGGAATAACAATCTTAATAGAGTGAGAGAACAAACAACTAAGGCGACCTGAACTGTAACATTTAAGAGAAAAATTTGTGATATGGTTTTTGTTTTCCTAACCCTTGATTCCTTAAAGTGACTAACAACCAATTTCTCTTTGTAACATCACTGTTGAAGCAAACTTCTGGGTCTCGAGAATCAAAGAAACGGTCGCCATTTAAAAAAAGCTCATGATTGTTTAACAAATTCTTCTTGTTAGTCTCAGGAGGAATGTATAGCGAACAGTATGGAGAATATACATGCTGATGTCAGGTTGTAAAGGGTTAATTGAAACATTTTTAGTTTAAACGCTTATTTCAATTCGTGTTTTAGATTAATTATTTTTTATTATCATCAATATTATTGCCATCGACAGTCTCTGCAATTCAGCGGACAGCATACCTCAGTTGAGTTGAAATGGTTTTTTTAAAATATACACGAGTCGGTGATAAAATATCAACATTTTCTTTATAGTCTCTGAACACGTAAATTAATCACTTCTTCATGCTCCCGAAGCAAGTTCTCTAAGATTATCTCGTTTTCTGCCAATTTTTGACCAATCTGTACCCTTCCATAATGGACCAACTACTAAACCTCGTTAGGCCCCAATCTGCCCTAATCTCCTCATACCTTTTCACTGTGATCAAGCTGAATTTCAAAGGGGTAGTCCTCGAGTTTCTCTTTAACCTCTTTCGTGAATTGTTGCCATAGTTCTGTGGTCGGCTCTCGAACATGAATGCTCAGAATTCCCCTGAACGCCAGCGCAGCCTCGGCATCTCTGCCGTCATTACCCATGAAGGTGTTGTTTCCAATGGCGGCAGAAGGCAACAGATTGACGGTCAGGAAAGCATAGTCTCCATTGAGCATATCCAGATCATGAGCGAACAGCATTAGAGCTCTTATATCGCCTCCGTAACACAGCATTATAAAGACTATGGCAGAGTAAAATACATCATGATGGCTTTTACGACTTTGCGGTACACGATTAACTACCTTTATTTGTGATTAAAAGGAAATATTTTACGGTTAACTTAGCTCATGGCTAACAGTGAAAATTTGTTTGTCTCACTGAGGCCCTTTTCAATGTCAGAAACTGGAAAAGCTTGTTCCATGCGCCGGTGCTGTTGCTTCTTATGGTTCTTAATGGTTCCATCTATCGTAGTTAATTATCTTCTAGTTAATCATGTTATTTATGTGCTAACGCTATGTGCTATCTTATGCAACATTAGCTGGGGCCAGTTTTCCTACTCTTTCCATTTTTTTTTTTAAAATTTGTTTTTGTTTTTTTTTCCAAATTTCCGATAGTCCCCAGTTCATTTCGTCGTTCTGATTTACCCGCTGGAGTAAATTAACAGCTTTTGGTGGCATAGGTACTGGCTAAAACAAGAAAAACATATTTTGCAGAAAATAAATGGGCCACAAAAGATCTTATTTCTCGGGGACCTAAACAACTAAAAGAACGATTTCTTGTTAGCTTTTCCATCATAACAATGGATTGCTTTAAAAATTGCTGAAAAAGAGGAACAAAAAAGTAAAAAATGAGCCCTCTTCCTTTCTTTGAACCATTTTTTCACTTACTTCTGGCTGTTTCTTTAGCAAGCATCAACACGCTCTTGTACTCCTCTCGCTCGGTGACGAGTACATGCCCAGGATTGAGAGTGTGTATATAGCGAATGTCAATATCGTGCTGTAAAAACACCTTCATCAGGCCAGTCATGGCCAGTTGCCATATGCTCTCTGTAGACGCTATAATTCCAATACTTTTCCATTTGAAGTATCCAAGTACGGACATGAACAGGCCGCCCATTTTGGAGAAAGATCCCACCGTTCTGGCGAACGTCGAGTAAATGCTTTTCTCTGATAGCTTACTCGATTCACAGCCCCAGGATATCATAGGCAGATTCCACGACGCCGCTAAAATGGCAGCCGGTTCACAAATAATGTCGCATCCGTCTCCTATGATGGCGTCCACTCCAGAAATTCGAAACTCCACCGCTTGGTTCAGTCCTTCGGCGGCTAAGCACATGGAATCATTCCATAGAAACGTCATGTTGTACCCTAGGAGAAGAGTGGGATCTCTGTTGATTTTGTCCACTGCAATGGTAATAGCGGACGCAGATGTTTTGCCGATTGGCCAGTAACCGGTCATTGGTACCAAAACGCCAATTTTCACTTCTTTTACGTTCTCATCCGTGTTGTATTCACCGATGGCGCTCGATAGAAATAACCAAAACAAGCCTGCTGCGAAAACTTCAGAAAGGTAAATTCTCATTTTTTCTCGTGAATGAACAATTTTTTTTCTTCGCGAACAGAATCAATGTCGAAGAAGGCGTAAACCAGCTTTCAACTAAACGATATGGTTACTTCAAAGTTCGATCAAAAAATACGTAATTGCAGCCTTAATCAAAGCGGTCCTTTGTGATATTTTTTGACGTCACGTTGTCATGGTTTCATGCTCTAAGTTGCAGTTAGGTTTCTGTCTCATGCGTTACAAAGACCCACCGCATTTTTTTTAGCCAATCAGGTCGCTGGTACAGCTGTATTTTGACATAATCCTTACAAACTTATTTGTGTCGCATGATCCACATTATCTAAACCTGCCTTTGACATCAGGAGGAATCGAGAAAGCATAGCCTTGCGGCCCTCGTCAAGTTGTCCCGCACAAAGCAGGCTAGTTTCCTCGAAGATGAGTGGTGAGCAATATTTCTTAACAAACCCAGTGGCGGGGAGGGACCCGGAGAGCCCGAGCCCCCCTCATTTTGGGTTAAAAAAAAAAGAAAGAAAAAAAAAAAAAAAAAAAAGAATTGCAGAAGGAAGAAAAGCCGGAAGGTCAAGCGACAAACCCCCCCCCCCCCCCTCCCTTAGCTAAAGGTCTGGATCCGCCACTGAAACTGTCTATCAAATGGGAATTTTGGCGTTTTTCTTGTAACATAGCACATTGACACCCCTCTCCCCCTCTAATATTGATGTTTTTCTTGGTTGGATCATTAGACAAAAGCTCGCCGCGTTACTTCCTTTACTCGAATTAACCTTTTCACCCCTAAGATCTCATCCAGTTAGTGATTCTCCTCACTGTCTGCCAAACAATTCTTATCACGTTAGTTTGGAGAATCTGATATTGGATCAACTATTAATCCCCTATCTGATATATATACATATAAATATGTATATATATATTTTTTTTCATCACTTGTCTTCTTGATATTGTAATGATATTGTAAGGTGAAATTCTCTCTTAGTCATTCATGGCAGTTAAAATGTTAAAGAGATAATTAAGAAATTTTCATTCTGAGATGAACTCCTTCGTCAATAATAACTCCCTTCTCTTTTTGTCTCCTTCAGAGTTCCGTAGGTTTGATTAAGCTTGATTCCTTCAGTAATTCGTCTTCAGGAATATTTGTTGGAACAACTTCACCGAATCCCAAAAAAACTGAGTATGCCTCCATTTGTTATTGTCATCTCGTCCCACGTGTCTTGATTCCAGTTTTAGTCGTGCAATCCCCAAATTTTTGACAATCATGATACTTATGAAATTTATTAGAACTTTACCATTCAGATCCCACACAATTCGCCAAAAAATTCTGTGTGCAATGTTTTGTCTGATCAGAAGGACCGGCTTTCTTCGGTCGTTGACCGGCCTAACACTCAGGGTTAGTAATATGCTGCATTTGCCGCTATGACATGACAAATGGTTAGACGATCTAGTCCTTTCAGATTAGTACGTAAAATCGCCGTAGGTCCTGTCTACTGCATCTTCTCAGCAGTAATTAGTGGGTTAAGACCCCACACACTTAGTGCAAAGAGTACCGAACATAGCTCCCGATTTTGTGGTCTGGCCTTGTTTCAAAAGATTGAAAAATTGAGGGCATCTGCAAATTCACTCTCTAAAATTGTCAACTGCTTGGTGCAGTCTGGCCAAAATCATCCGCAGTGTTGTAAAGCGCATTACAGGTCAGGGTTGCCGACAGGGATAGAAAGAGGTAGAATGACACCAGTTACGGTACTTCATTATCCGGGAGATCAGAAACCGTGGTATGACATTTCTCTGGCCTTCCTATGAGACACCTTTTGTATGTACTGGGATTTATATTTAGGACGGGCACGACCCAATTGAGAGTCGATAACAGATTATTTCGTCATGATCTCTGATTGCTCCCGCAAAACAACTAGTGCCATCTAATCACCTCGACTATTTAACCACACACTTTCCTTGCGAAAGAGGCCTTTAGTCAAGTCTTCATCGACTTGTTTCAACAAATTACAAAATCTTCTGTTGTTCGCCGCTGGTAATATTCTGGGTTGGCTTCAGGACTTCACTCAGTCGAAGGGCACCCATCAACACGCTAAGCTTGTCACTCGCTGACAAGCCACACTTAGAAAGTCGTGTGGCCTCCCCTTGCGCTTGAGTTTTCACGCGCGCGAGTTTCACACATTATCAACAGAGTCCCTCGTATTCTAGTCATGATAAGGACTGGCGAGACCGAAATGTCTTTCCATTATGCTTTGTTATTGAGGTTACTAATTTGTTTTTCCATCTCGTTCAATAACTTTTTACAAACTAGAGCATGACGAGATTATTAGAGGGGGTATCGTGCGCACGTTTTGAGAGATTCACCAAGAGCTATCCTCACGTGCCGCATGTGCGTGATCTTTTCCCATGTATTTACATCACAGCATCTTCACTTCCGTTTGACTGCATGGGCAATACAGTCGATGACAGGATGACATTACTGTACTTTTTAAATAACCTATTAATATGGCTGATCTTTGAAAGAAAACAAAAGCAAAAGACAAATAATTAAGCTGAGTAGCGTCTGACTTTTTTCCACACTAGTGCGCGAGACTTCATTTAGGTATTGTTTTGGTTCAGTTTATCAAAACACGCTGTTTCCACACGCCGAGCGCAATCTGCTCTGAATATAACGCGTTTTCCCTTAATTATCATAAGTTCATCGGCCATAGGCGTATGGACTAGAACTCGCTCGCAATCATTATTCTTATGTCGAACTAACTAAAGGTGGTTTCTTTTGTTCTCTACATTGAAGGGATATTGAGACATACATTCACACTGTGATCGATAAAGGGGGCATTTTAGAAATTATTGTGCCCTATTGTGCTAGAGTTCAACTTTTGTCCCCTTAAATCTTGAACAAACAAGGCATTTCATAGCACTGGGCGCTGTGTGTCACAAAACACTGCGAGAGTTACAATGTACTTTGCTCGATGCATTTCGAAGTTTGTTATGTAAGTGAGCTTTCGTCCATAAGTGAAACCTCACAAGAACCAACTGTTATATAAGCTGACACGGGAAAAAACACGTAATTTTAATAAAAGAAATCTTTTGACTATCTTCGAGGATAATGGGAGGTTTACTTCTCTTACTAGACATAAAAATTTTTGCATAACAGTTCCACGAATTAATTTTACAAGATTACATAACCGTGAATATCGCGTGAGATGCTGCGTGCACATAATGTCCGTGGCCCCTCGCTAACGCTATCATTAATTTCTCTATTCTAAAATTTATTATCATCAGCCTAAAAAAAAAAAAAAAAAAAAAAAAAAAAAGAATTTACATGCGAACAGTAATGATTTAACGCTTGCCTTGAACGCGTTTGAGAGCGCCTGTAGGAAACATTTAACTTACTTGAATAGCATCTGATTCTTGAATTTAAAAGTAACCAGACTTTCTCTCTGTAGAACAGAACGACTATATGGAAATTCACAACCGTGAGCAAATTCTAAGCAGATCCACATAAGAGAAATGAAAGACGTACGTTGTAGTCACTATTGGAGTCAAACGCAAGCTCAGGAGATAAGTCCATGTGGACGGTGAGGAAATCGGTTCCTTGAACCAGATAAAACCCTTTAAAGTTAATTCAAATAATAAATACTTCTCTAAGTTTTTCTTCTGGTCTTCCAGGCCTCAAATAAACAGTAAAACGAGGGGCTGAGTCGTTGAAGATTCGATTCCGTAGAGAGTTATTCATAAATTATGTAATCAGTAAAGGGCCAATTTTCAGGTTCTACGGTTCCATCGGTGTTCGGTGGAAGAGCAGAGCCTTACGACAAACATCAGCTTGAATCTCCATTTTGACTAACTAAACAAAACAAGTAATTTGTCATTATGGCATCCTCTAAAACTTTTTGAGTGCGCTGTTTCGAGCAAGGAGAGGGTGCCTTGCATGAGCTTTTGTGGGAGCTTAGTACTGTTTCTACAACCTGTAGCACGGTGGGTTTTGTCTTCAAGTCTCGACCAATTCCCGAACATCTATGATCACTCCGTTCTGTACAACGATGTTCTAATTCGACAGCTTTATCATCAATCTGGACCATATCTGCGGCCGTTGATTCAAGCTTCCCAAATGGGGTTATCAACTCGACGTCTCGTAAAACTCCCATGAATTCGTCGATATCCATGTATTGATTGGCGTCGAGTTCTTGATCAATTTCTCCAATTTTCCCCGTCGTCATCTCCTCGCCGACCTTTCGAAGTTCCAAATTATTCTCCATTCCTTGAGAGATCTACAGTGCGCTCAGTACAGACATCGACATCTACAACCTGAGCATCATGCAACAATAACGTAAACACCTACCTCACCACTCCACAGACGACGTTTTGTCACGTTTTTAGGCACGATTATATAACACTGGCACGCGCACGCGACCTTGATTGATTCGGAAGCCTGGGGGTTCCACGAGCGTGCGTTTCTCGAAGGATCCGAAAACTTTAAGGAGCAGTTTTCGGGTGATTTTCACGGGTCCCTCTCTTGGCTGAGTGCGATTAACACTTCACGCACGTTGAACTCAATTGGGGAGAAGAACAGTTTGATTCGAACTTTTACAACGTGATACTTGAGAGATGGGAAATCTAGCCCCATGCCATTCTAAAACAAAGCCGTAATTTTTAAAGGCTATCCATGGTTTTTCCTAAACGTCTGCTCACTTTGCCATCGTGCCAACTCGCCGATAATTACTTGTCCGGATAATTAACTCGCCGAAGCCATTAGTCAACTTTCCGACAGCATTAGTTTTTTTTAACTCGTCAATATCTTCGGTCACTTCGCCAACATACCTTTTTTTCTGAGACTTAACCTTTAAAAAGAGCTAAATCCGAGATTGATATTCAGTCAGACTTCAGTCAATAGCTTCTTTGAACAAACAGCAAATGCAAACCTATTTTAATTTGTTAACTCAGTGAATTTCTGATAAACCATGATTTTCACGCCAGTTATCTAGAGTGAAACATAACAAATGTTTAGTGTTAGTTGTTTGATTTATTTAAAGCCATGAATTCTCATAACAAATGACAGAAAATGAAAGAAAGTTATCATTACTGAATTTCACTGGATGTTTGACTATGTAGTATGAATAATGTTTGCATAAAGCTAGGATAGCCCTGAGAAGGAATGTTGTCAGTATCAGTGATTGACGTTTTGACAACCTGAATGGAAGTCATCATCAGAATCAAGTGAAGAGTTGTTGTCAGTCAAGTGTTATAAGTTTGGTTTGTATTCACCCTTCAACCATGATCTGAAAGGTTCCTTGTTGTCTTAATTATTTAGCATTGCATATATTCACCTTGTTTACACTTATTCAAGCTGGATCCGATTTAACTTTGATTTAGAGCGCAATAATAATTAGTGTTAGCTAATTTTTTTATCAGAACATAACAAATTGTAACAAAAATTAGTGGCAGCAAGTTGATTGAAGTTCTTGCGTGTTGACATTGAAAAATTTACCAGTGGTGTCCTTGAGTTGACTATAACGGTGTTGGTTAGTTGGTTGTCTGTGAGTTGAGACGTCAGGGAAGTGAATCGCAACCATCCAAGAAATGTATGCATGATGAAGTATTGGGTTACACAGGAATCACATCTGATTATGCTCTTTATAGAGAATCATTTTTTGTTTATAACATCAGATAACAAAAAATTTGCTGGTTTTAAAAAAAGTTTGACCTTAAATTTGTAACTTAAATGAAGCTTTTCTTTAATATGTCACTTTTTTTTACTTACAACATGTACACAATACTCTGAAAAATTACAGCTACTTAGATAATGGTTAAGTAACTTCCAATAAATATAAGTGTTCATAACTCAAACTTTTATTTGTGATCAAATTACAATACTGTGACTTCTAAAGAATACCGCTACTTACAATTACTTGCAAGATGATTTGGCTTCTAATCTTTGAAATGTGTCAGTCAGTAAGAAAAAAATCTCAATTTGAATGAAATACATATAAAAACACCATGGCATGTGCTTGAACTCATTGCCATGTATCAAAAAAACTCACTCATTCGCTGTGCCCACTCAATGGTTTTTTTGATGCATTGCAACTCAAGAATAAAATCGTTCCTGTGCACTTTCTATGAAATAATCTCTATGATTAACAGGGAAAACAACAAAATCATGAAATAAATACTGCTACAATTTGCACACTACCTTTTCCTTGAAACACAAGAACACTCCATAAATATTCCTGGTGTTCATAGGTTATTAAGTTTCATGGTAAATCACTGTAAATCTTTCAAACAATAGACCACACTTTCTATTGGTTTCTATCAAGAAAAGTTTGTAAATCACTTGTTTCCACCTAGTGATTTATGAGTGTTCTCCCAAAAACCCAAGCGGATTATTACACTGCTGCAGTCTATTGTTTAAAAAAAAAACTTAAAACAGAAAACTGCATGTTTCAATTTTCTGTGGGTTAAATGGTGCAACAAACCATAGGTTTTTGACCAATCAGGGTGCTTGTTCTATCTCAGTTACCACAAAATATTTATGGTATTTGATCTACTCTAAACTAATTTAACCTAGCTCTATTCTATTTCAAATTCACCACTACATGGCTGTTAGCACTTTTTTGTAAGCTTATCATGTCTCCTCGTCACTACTCCAAGAATCCTGATAAGGATTGTCAAGTTGTTTTGTATCACAGATACCAGCTTCTGTCACCTTACTGTTTTCATCCTTAGTACTACGATTCATCTCAGGGAGCCAAACCAACACATTTGTGTCATTTGCTCCACTAAACAGAGTTTGAAAATGTGGATGAAATGCACAACAGTTAACATTGTTATAATGACCACTGAAAGTGGCAACATGTTTTCCTGTAACAAGTTGATACACTTCTATTTTGCTCCCTGAAGGAACAAATGCCACTTCATTGGAAGTCCCACTGGATAGACAAAGCTTTACAGATTTCCGACTGGGATTGTGAACTCGACCAAAGTTAACCAGTGTGTTCTTTCCTGTGAATGTATCCCACAACCTTAACCGATCATCTGTTCCAAAAGTCAATAAGTATAATCCATCTGGTGAAAAGGAAATGGCATTTACATTGCCATTATGAGCTGTGTTTATTGTTGAAGATCTGGAACCAGCTTTGCCATTGTGCTGATCCAGTGAGAGTATACTTCCAACAGCTTTGCGCACATCCCACAAGAGCACCTTGTTGTCACAGCTACCCGTAGCTAAAAGATACTCATTTCTTGGTGACCACGCTAGAGAAACAACTGCTTCTGAATGCCCCTTTAGGATATGCATTGCAGAACCAGATTTCAAATCACAAAGATAAACTCTAGAGTCCTCACACGCTGTTGCAACTAAACAATGTTTTCTAGCATTCTTTGGCATTTGGTGTTGGTACACAATGCCTTCAAGTTGAAAATTTTCGACAACTTCGAGAGCATTTGTGTCCCAAACTCGAAGCGTCGTATCGACTGAACTTGATATAAACATTCCTGTGTCATTCGGGTACCACTGTACAGTTTCCACGCTAAGTTTGTGGCTGTCTTTCAGTGTTCCGTCCACTTTGGCGACCGTCTGGCATTTAAAAACGTTTGAGTAGAAACAATCCTCTATATCATGAATAGCGATCCCGCCATTTGAACTCGAGGATAACAAGTATTTTCCCTCGCCTGCATCGATATCAATACATTTGATCCCCGTTTTGTGGACCAATTCAATCTCGCCATTTTGACTGAGTTTCAGAGATCGCACGCGTTTCGTTCGCTCAGCTTGGGAAAAGCGATAGGTAGGACACCTTGCTTGTTCTCTCTTGTAGAGAGACTGAAACATTTGATGTTGGAAAAGATCTTCAACAGGTCCTTGCCGAGTGAAAGCGAAAGTTGTTGAATAAGCAAAAATCAACCAGGCATTGTTGTGAGTATGGTGTGTGCCAGATAGGAACTGGGTGCGAAAAACAAATCACCATGGCGGACATGTGATGAACCAGCGCTTAATCTGATAGTAAGGATGCCTCTTTCTTGCAAGATCTGTGGTTATAAAGCAATTCTAAAGCGACCTAAAACGGTAAGGAAAAACGATTTTGTCAACCCAACTATGTTTCGAAATTTTAGAATGTGCCATCAACCGGCCGGTTTTCGCGACGAAAGTTGTCAGACGTGACAATGATTTTCATGCTAGCCGAATTTTTTAGTTCTGATGCGCACGATGATTACTCCGTGACGCTTTAGTTATTCTTATTCTATGATTATGTTTCCTTAAGCATTTAACCCCTAAGAGTGACCAGTATCTAATTTCTCCGTACTGTAATACTGCTGAATTACTGTATTACGGTCAAGAGAATAAAGGAAAAGTTCGCCAACCTAAGAAGATTTGAATGTCAAACGAATTTCCTTGTCAGTACCAAAGGAGATGAATACAGGAGGGTTTGAAGAATATGTATTCTGATTTCAGGGTGTAGAGGGTTAAGCTATTTCTTGCGTTGAAGTGGTAAAATTGTAACTTGAAGAAAAATGCTATTTACGTGTATACTAAACACTTGAACTAGAAATTTGCTTTGAAATTAAATGAGATACTGGGATCTGGACAAAGTCAGGCTAGGAAAGAGGGATCTATTCAACTTCCCCTTCCATCTCCAATTAAGGGCGTTTTTTTTAGTGTATTAACCCCAGAAGTGACCAACTTGTAACTTCTCTTCACTTTTTAAATATATTATCTGCAAAGAGGTCACTAAGAATTGAAAAAATAATCAGCTGAGCTTATAAACTTGATATAAGAGAGATATGATCAGAAAACAAATTTTAAATCTACCCTTGTTCTTGCGCAACTGCAGGATTATCCTGTTTCCCAATCAAGAAGGCAATTTCGTCCCAACACCTGCCAAGTCATCAGAATGACAGTGTATAATACATGGTTGTTTGTAATTCACAGTTTGTTTGTCATCCCATAACAGGGTGATGCTTTGTGCAAGGATTGTTTCTTTGTCACATTTGAGACAGAGGTCCACCACACAATAATCTCCAATAAGTTGTTTTCAAAAGGGCAAGTTGTTGCTATTGGTGCATCAGGCGGGAAAGGTACATGTAAAGCAATCAAACTCTGCAGTTTCATGTTGGTGGTATATTCTTTCAGCGGGTCTATTTCAAAGACCATAAAAAGCTGGCATAACTTAATGTCAAATGTTAAAAGTTCATGTTAAATAAACATTGGTGACAGTATGAGTAGCACTTAAATGTGAAGAGCAACACCTACTTGACTGGTTCTGTAAGATAGGCATTCTGACTGGAATAATATCCAACCATGGGAAACCAGTAATCAGTGAAAATTTGTAGTCTAAGGCTACCAGTACATAGAAGCAACAAGTCAAATACCGGTAGTTTTTGTTTTCTGATCATTGATTAAATCAAAATATTGATTTTGCCATTTTTTCCACTTGAAATGTTGCCAAGATATTACTCTCAAGATGGTTAGTTATTATGGCCAAGTTTTTTTTCCTGATTTTTTGGACAAAGACAAAGCTGAAGTCAATAACAATGCCAGAAAAAAAAAAAAACAAGCAAATAACAAAAACAAGAAAAAAATAAACATACTAACATACTGTCACCTAAAAGTTAACAAATTTGTCAACAGGCCAGAAAAAATTTTTTTTATGGTGTCAAAGTAGTTCTTGGGTTGTCATTTATACCACAGGTTAAGTACCTTTTTTTCTGGCTCAAACAGCCTGCTATGCAGTACTTAATAGTAAAGTTGAATGTAGGTTCTGTTGTGTTCTTTGCAGATTCTACTGTATTAGCATACGTGTTGAAAAAGCTCAACCACGAATATGACTATGGATTAAAATTGATTTTATTGTCTGTGGATGAAGGAATAACTGGTTACAGAGATGACTCTTTGGAGGTAAGAACACATCAAATAAATGATTTGTATGTAAAACGCTGATTAAAAGGGAATGAAAAATTAGAAAAATCGTTTACTCTTCGAAGGTGACGTGGGATACGATAATAAGTTTAACTCCTGACCTGTAAGTTGAAATTTTGTTTAGTTTATTTGAAGTTATATATTGTTTGCAATTGTAAACTTGCCTACTCTATGTGACCAGGAAAAATCTCAATTTGTTATAGTAATGATAAATTAAACCCTTAAGCTTTAAGAGTGACTATTATCAAATTTCTCCTTAAAATAATACTGCAGAATCATGTGAATGAAGGAAATGATTGCCAACCTGTAAGAAGCTTTGACGGTTACAAGAATTCTCCTTGTTGGCACCAACAGAAATGTTTAGATATCAGTATGGAGAATATCAACACTGATGTTGGAGTGTTAACCTTTACCTCTCAGTTCAAATTGATAATTCTCTTTACTGTCAACTATATATACAATTCTTATAATGTTGGTTCGGAGAATTTAGTATTGGATCAACTAATTATCCCCAAATTTATATTTTTCTTCATCCTCATCACTTATCTGGTTGATATTGTATTGATATTGTAAGGAGAATTTCTGTCTTGGTCACTCACGGGAGTTACAGGGTTAAGGGTTAAGCTTGTCAGATAATCTTACTGTTGTATGTGGGGTCCATAACTTTTTACATGCACCTGATATTAAAGATTGATTCATGACATATAATAGTTCAAAAAAGGGAGTAAACAATAGTCTTTTTAATTAAAATTTGGTTTTTATTAGACAGTCAAGAGAAATGAAATGCAGTATGAACTGCCATTGAAGATTGTCTCTTATGAGGTGAGAAGGGCTTACATTGTAATCCTTACTGGTTTTGTTTTTCTTTTCTTTTTTTTTTAATCATTACTTGTACGGTTTGCTTCACTAGTACATGTATGTTAATTAAGCTAATCAGTGCTATTTTTTTTAAGACATTGATAATATTTTCCTGACAAATAAATTAAGAATCCTTTGAACCCCTGCTAGTGACTGGCTTCTCATTTCTCCTTACATTGTCATCCTTGAATCAAATGTAAAGGTCATGAGAGTAAAGGAAATGATCCCCAGTTTAAGAAGTTTCTCATTGTTAAACAAATTCTCCTTGTCAGTACTATTGGAAATTTATTGATGACAGTATGGAGAATATGACCATAGGCAAATTAAATTAATAAAAGTCTGCTTCTTCACAGTGTGAGAGCACAGGACTTTGATTTGCAGTGGGAGAAATCTAGTACTTCCCATTTGCCATGGCATCAACCATTGATCTTATGACTTGTGTCTGTATTTCTTAGTTAATTAAGCTGCAAAAAAAAAACCCTTCACGTTCATGTGTTTATGGTTGATAAAGAACAGTAAAGGTTGTAAAGAATATTTAATGTCCATCATTGTTAGGAACTCTATGGCTGGACCATGGATGCTATTGTCAAACAGATTGGACTAAAAAATAACTGTGAGTATGGATTTCCTTTTTTGAATATTATTATCATTACTGCAGAACAATGAATCATAAAGTTGACAATATTGAAACTTAAACTCCCAAGATCTGATTTTCAACTCTCTCGTCTAGCTGCTACACATTTCCTGGTAAATTAGTTACAAGCATTTGGTGTTAGATTAAGATAACAACTTCTACCTGATCAGTTTGAGTGTTCTCATGGACAATCCTGTGGACAATCTATGGATATCATTAGAAGATATATGTTTATCACAACTGGGAGTTAAAAGGTTAAATAAATATATTTTTTTATTGTGCCATATCAGTGACTGTCACTTTAAAGCTTCTTCACTTTTTGTGGCTTGCTGCATGTTCATAGCTTGCATTTTATGTTATCTATTGAATCCTTAGATGTCAAGATTATAAGAATATGTTCTCAAAATTTTGGTTTCAAGGTTATAAATCTTTTGTGTTGTTGTTGTTGTTTTTTTTAACTTGAATTAATGCAGGTACATTTTGTGGAGTTTTTAGACGCCAGGCTCTTGACAGAGGAGCAATGGCCTTAAAGGTTGATAAAATAGTGACAGGTAAGAAGTGTCTCTTTTGTATATGTAAATTCATAACTGCAAATTACTCTGCTGAAGCCTGATGGGAAAATTTTTCTCCAAAACAATATTTATTGGCTCAGAAACCTTGATTTCTATTACATAATCTATATGTTATGTGTAGAAGTGATGTGCAGGTGACTTGTTTTTGTTCTTTTCATTTTATTAAATTGTATTCCACTACATACATGTAAGCATTTCAAACAGTGCATGCTTACATGTGTGGAACTCTTCATTTAGGCTGACTTTTAAGGGCTTCCCTGAAATGATAACAAGTTTCTTAACTTTGATTTTGCAGGTCATAATGCAGATGATATAGCAGAAACAGTTATTATGAATAGTAAGTAAGGAAAAAAATTTTGTTTAAGTGTCAGACTTGTTACTTCATTTAAACATTGTTTTGTGAATTTATTTTTGTGAAGATGAAGAGGATGGATGCTAATTGTGTAAAATTTCACTTTTATTTTAGTTTTACGAGGGGACATAGCTCGACTGAGAAGATGTACTGCTATTATCACAGTAAAACTACATGCTTCTTTATCTATTTAACTAGCATCACAATATGAATGTTTTTTTCTCTTGGTTTAATCATTATGTATGGTATTTCCTTAAATAAATGCGCAAGTGTCTTTTTGAAATTTTGGCCGAAAGGGGAAGCACTTACTGGAAGGAGGGGGTTAATCAATGGGTGCACTTATTATTCTCCTGATTTCACTGTTGTTGAAGCTTAAAAAATGATAGTTAAAGTGGCAATGGAAACAGGTTTTCCTTGTATCTCCACTATTTAAGAAAGTGAGGGGGATGCTAGTTTGAAATTATGGCCTAGGGGGTGGATGCTTATTCAGAGTGTGGGTGCCTATTTGAGGAAATACAGCATGTGTATAAGTCTAAAAAAGCTTTCTATTCTATTGAACTTAGGGTACAGAAGGCTTATTACCACGCTGCAAACCATTCAAGTATACTTATGAGAAGGAAATAGTAATGTTAGTATGACGCTTTTTAAGTGTGTCTTTGCACAATGTTACTGAAGAAGGAAAAGGAGATGCACACTTTGATATTGATATTGACCACAAACATCAGGAACTGAACATGCAAACTATTTACATCTTTGATGCTAATTATGCTCTCTTTGAAAGATTAAAAAAGTCTGCACTTGAGCCAAGTGGCCCACCTAGCCAGAGCTTATCCCAGCTTATCATCAGGCTTCCCTTACAATTTGCTAGTACCCATTTATACGCCTGACTCTCCTGGGAGGAGGGATTTACTATGAAAGTTAAGAGTTTTGCCCAAGAACACAACACAATGACCCAGCCATGTCATGAACCTAGACCTCTGGACCTGGAGTCCAGCACACAAACAATGTAGGCCACAGCATCTCTCACATTCTGTATAATAGGGAGCAAACATTCCAACAACACTGTACTTAATGGCTAGACTTGCTCTGGTCAGTGGAGATGAGTGTATGAGCAGCAGAGAGGAAATTGGCTTTTTTTTTTTTTTTTTTTTTAAATGAGTGTTCCCCTCATTGTCTCTCTCACTTGCCAACTTCAAAGTGAACTCAATAATTAACTGATGAGTATTTTATCCTTTGTGTTAACTGCAAGTTCCTATTAACTTTCTACTTTAATGACATTTTTGTAGGTATGCATACTTCAAAAAGCTGGATTACTTTTCTACAGAGTGTATTTATTCTCCAAATGCCTACAGGTAAGCATGTGCTGTCATATTCTCTGTGAGTGATGTACGGTAAGAAGTACTGTCAGTTAAGTTAATTTTTAGTAGACAGACTCAAGTTGTAAGCAGATTGTTACAATTTAAGGCTGTTATGGAATGTTCCCCCAAGAGCTTTCATGCACTTGACCCTTTCCTTGTGATTAAAACCTGAATTTGACTCCTAACTATTTTTTTGTTTCAAGAAGAAATGTTATCAATAAGAGGGTCATTCTAGTTAATTACTGTATTCATGAGAGTTTTTGGGCTGAAATGTTTTGGACACAATAAGCCCCAATCTAGATTTAACGGCCATCAATGGTAATGAACCAATTTGTAATTAGCTATTATCTTAAGTAAGGCTTTGAAAACATGGTGATGTTTTTGTGGGGAGGAGGGGAATTATTTGCCAGACCTGTGTACCAACTAAATGTGGATCATTTATTACAGGGGTCATGCCAGAACATATCTTAAAGATCTGGAGAAAATACGTCCAAGTTCAATCTTGGGTGAGTTAGTAATGAATTTGAGTTCAGTAATTTATGCAAACATTTTAAATGGCCTCGAAATGGGAAATAAATCACCATCAAAATGTGTATATCAAAATGATTGTGTTTGGCTGCAAGCATGTCATGAAACTAGGAGTAGATCTTCCAAGAGAGATAATAATTGGGTATTAGTAGGCTGAGAGTGAATTCTGGGATATTCAAGGGCATTGGACAAATAGGATATGTAATACTTTCAAACTGAATGAAATACCAAGAAGACACAACCAAATGAGATAGAGTATTTAATTCGTACTTTGGGATCCATTCAAAACAATACTACATGGACTTCACCAAATGTACAGAACAGTGTTTCTGCCTTATTTTCAGCACAACAGGTAAAAAAAATGTTCAAATTTGAAGAGCAATTCTTTTACCTGTTAATTATCAAGAATTATGAGCAATTTTAAATTGTAATAAGAGGTACTACAGGAAGTAAATTTTACCAGATATGGCCTGAAAAGGAGAACACTGACAGAGCGGGGAGGCAAAGTTGAGTAATTTGATGATTGTGAACATTGGACTATTGTTAGGAATTCTTTGGATTAAGAATACATCAGACTCTCTTGATGTCATCTTATTTATTTTTATCAGACATAATTCACTCTGGAGAGAGCTTGTATGTGAAAAAAGATGTAAAGATGCCAGTACAAGGTATTACTTTTATGACAGAAATTGTGATTTTACATTCTGGTACAGAACAAAACAGCACTGACCAGTGTGATACTGTACTCAATTTTATACCACCAGTAGACTCAAGGTAACAAAACCAGGATGAGCTCTAACAGCATCAGTTATTTAGGATGTTTAAAGACTTCACTCTTTTAGGTGTCCTTAGGGAGGTATTGTGTGTTGGAGCTTTATCTAATAAGGCTACCACTGCACATAAATTTTATTTATACCTGGTGGTACATGTTGGTTTCTGTTTGTGTGAGCAAGCACCAGAAAAAGTTAAATCCATTGGATAACTTTCATTTGTTTTAGGTTTTTGTAAGAGATGTGGATATATATCAAGTCAACCATTGTGCAAAGCATGTGTGCTGCTAGAAGGACTCAACAAGGGATTACCTAAGTAAAGAGTACTAGTCACATTACTTGAAGAAAGGTTTAGCAGGAAAAAAGTTATTGGAGGGTTAATACTACGTCAGGATTTGTTTTTAGAGGAGTTTTCCCAAAAATGTCCTGTTTTCTGACAATACAGCCAAGGTGTTGAATTAACCTACACAGCAGTGGAGATAAGGCTTATTCATTTGGTAAATTAATAGCACCTTACAGTCATGTGAAATCTAATATCTTAACAAGCAATGTTAATGCAAGATGGAGGTAGAGGCAGTATGATTCTCACATTCTGCATAGACCAAGATCTTCAGAAAACATGCAGAATACCTATTATTTCTCAAATGTGTTCAAAATCTGTTGAGGGCTTTGGAGGCCTCAGTAAAATTTTTAACTTTGCAAAACATAAGAACACCCCCCTTTCTAATGTCCAATGTATATATTTCACCTCCCTTTCTAATGTCCAATATATATATATTTCTTCTTAGGCTGGGAATTGGAAAAACAACCAAAGCTCAGGTAACTGTGATGATTTTTCAGTATTTCATAATTTAACTGACTCCTGTTGATAATGTTAAAGTGATGAACTAAACTACTGGTAAAAGTATACTTTTAGACCAAAAGTGTCAGGTGAGACTGAAATTGATTTCATCATCAGCTACCACTTTAATTTGGATTTTAATCTGTTTTTGTTGTTGTTGTGTTTTTTTACTTTCAGTTAATTTACTTGTACTTTATTCAGATTGAGGTCTTAAGCAGTGCTGATTGTGGGGCAGATTCAAACTCTGGAAGAGAAGACAGCAGCACAAGCACATCTCTGGAATTTTGATCTGACTTTCATAATAAATTATACTTGAATTCAAAGCTTGCAGTGAGTTCTTGTTTCTTTATTGTACATGGGGCACTTGGTAAAACAAAAAGTTTTTCGTTTTGATAGTTTTTGACAAGTCGAAACCAAAATACATTGATCCAAGTGATTATTTTTATCTGCAGCAGAGGTATTGCAGTTGGTATTACCTGATACTGTATCACCAAGGTTCTGCTGGCTATCACCCTCCAAGGTTTTTGATGTTTACTTTTTTAACATTTTCAGTCTAAGATAGACCGAGGAGCTTATTCACCTAAAAAATAAGTTCAATTTTTCTCATTTCTAACACCACCATGCATGCAAAACTGAAGCTATAGACAGCCTCAGCTTTCAAGAATCATCCTTTTGTATCCAATTCGAAACGGACTTTTCTCCACCAAACGCTAGAATCAGTGAATTGACCACAGGGTATCCATTATCACATTGATAAAGCAAGTTTGACAGAAACTGTCGAGGAATAGGCTTTTCCAACCATAACTCTTGTACGAAAAGAGACACCAGTTCATGGACAACAAGGTCTGTGGGAAAAAAATATTATCAAACATGAAGTGACTAATGACTCTAATTCACCGTTTTGCAGGGAGACGTTTACTTTTAATCAGGTGCGATTTTAAATATTCACGAAATCGTGATACAAAACCAGTTACACTTTTGAGAGGCCAATCGCGCATCATCTTAGCTGGGTTGCTTAGTCGGCGTGAAAAACGTAGGAGACAGAGGAGGCTTAGGCAAATGCGAAGTATGATCGTTTTTCCTCACGATCGTGTTTGGCGCTGAAGTTTCTCAACTTTTACCTCATACTGAAGTCGTTAATGACCCATTGAAAAACAGACGCATGACAACACGGAACTTCTGTGTTTTAAGTTGAGTAAAGGGAGTCAAGTTTCGGGGAGGTTCGTTAAGCCTAGGCCACGAATAGTTAAACAGCTCGGGAGAACCAGAAATAAGGTATTTTATACATATTCAACACAATTAATAGGTAATATTGACCCGAAAGTCAGGTACATATATATCTTGAATCTAGTTTGTCGTAAGCTTAGAACAGAGGTCGTACTCCGACCCAGAGGCTGTTTTGTAAAACAACCTGATATCTTCACCGTAGATTGTTTTTTAACAAAAGCTTGATGATAGGTCTCAATATCAAATAATAAACATAACCTTTAGAGTAGTGCTGGTAACGATAACAAGCTAGAGGCAATCAAGTCGTTTGTGACTTTGTAATCGGTCGACTTACGGCATTCTTTATGTTAACAAAGAGTGGACGGTTGTAGTAGGTCTGTTATCCCACAGTGCTACAATCTAAGTACCAACATGTCAACTCTTTTCATCCAAATTGCAAAATCAGTTTTCTGACGAAAACAGATATCTGTTTCAGAAACCAAAAGAACTGGACGTCACTTGACACCCATACTTGACCGGAAGAGCAATGCACAGGTATCAAAGAGGTCATGGGTTCAAATCCCGAACAAACCTGAATTTTTTTCCAGGCCTTATTTTCAATACTGCTTATGTAGTGTTCATTTCTGCGAAGATCGCTTTCATATTCAATACACCACTCGTTACTTTATGAGATAACGGGTGTTAGATAAATATCATACCTTGATCTTGATGATCACGGTCCTCCAAGTCACTGCAAGGATCCGGAAGCAAAGGAAAAATCACTTCTTTGAGCTCTTTAATTATGTTATTGTAAGGCTCTTTGGATACAAGCTGGAAAACTGTCGGCTGTGGTGAACTTTCTTCCTTACCCTGTAGTTTGACTCGCTGCACAGCAGCAAGCAGAACGAGACAAATCATGTTGAGTTCCTTCATCACTGTCAAAAGAGAGCTCTTAGGATCATCCCGTCTGAGATCACCTATTTGTACGGAGCTCTTTGTGTTTTTGGGTGGAACTACTCTAAAAAGCTGCAAGATAAGCTTGACTTCCGATTTCTCTGTCACCAATAGATCTTGAAGCGTAAGGTCTTCCACAAGGCATTTTTTAAACCAACGCAGCAGCGAAGGAATGCAATTTATTCTTTGGTCCTCGCCTACCAGAGGAGTTTCAAAGTTCAAGACTTTTCTTTGACATTGCGCTAATCCAAAGTGCCAGATTAGACGAACAGTGAGATGTGTTTCCACGCCAGCCGGTTTCCATGTTAAGAGCACTGCTAGCAATGAAGAGAGACTTTCTGTTTTGAGATTAGCACGCCCTTGCTCGGGAGGTGCATTTGTAGTTTTTAGAACCCCGTCACACTTTCCAGACAGGTTCAAAGTTGTAAGCAATTGATTCAGCATCACCGTTTCTTGAAATGTTTCACACCACAAGCGCAACAAGCTAATAATACGGTCATATGACAAGCCAGAAGGTTTCCCATTGGTTTCCAGGCAGGTCAAAACGGACGCCAGAAGGCGTAAATAACGACAGATACAATTCACACTTGAACACGATCTGAAAATTGAGCCAAATATGAGTTACGAAATAAATTAAAATGTTGCTGGTTAGATTACGAATGTCACTAGAGGTTCTTATTAGGCCCTTCTCTATTTTCATGATTTTATAGAGGTCGCCGTTTTAAGAGTTTTATTTGCTCAAACCTTTTGGCATTTTTATCAGCGCAAGGTTCGCATTTGTGAGTGTTTCCTGATTATACGAAGTCATCTTTGATTACAAGCCTTAGTTCTTTCAGTTTGATTGTCATATGCTCTTTACTGTAAATAAAAGGAAGGGAATGACTGTAGAGAGAAAAGGCCGCGATGATTTCGCGTTATTTCTGCGTGCTTTTGCAGAAGAAGCCAAAGGCATTTTGAACGATCCTCAGCTTTTGAACCATTTTAAGCCTTTTTTGGAACAACAAGAAACGAATGGCTTCTAAAAGACGCATGGGCAATGATTGATATTTAGTTTACGATGAAGATAGTATTACCCTTCTGCAGGCCGGGTAATTTATGGAGTGATCATAAAACCTTCGATTTCAGTTTTGTGATACGAGTTAATAAATAGTCTCAATCAGTCACAATTTTTGTCTTTACCTGAGTTGCTCGAGAAGGGTCCAGCACACTAATGAGCATTCTGGAGCCAAGTTTGGAGGCCGTCGAGGTTTCTCCTCCTCGGCCACATGTCCACTCTCTTTGTAAGGAGACTGTAATGTAAACCAAAGGGTGTGTAACAAGTCCAGACTTGTCTGAAGTCTTGCAGAGCTATTAAGGGAAACAGAATATTTTTCGTTAAAAAGATAAAAAAAGAAGATGAAAACCGTCAAAGTCTTATGAGCGATGTAATCCATCGTATGTTTTCTACATGCATGGTTGCGGGTATCTACAGAATCGAAGGAGAATGGCAAAGGTTAACAAAAATCTGGAGTATATGACTTTCGTTCCAAATGTCCTTTAAATTGCTGCGATTAAAACAAAGAAAGATTCGCAATAAATTGACTCCAGCGGCCTTGACTTCACTGGCAAAGACGTTGATCTTAAACGAAAACAAACTTAGCTTTAAACGGCTAAGTAACTTAGCTTTGTCCGGCATACCTTCTTGTTAAAACTCAGTTCTCACTGCCGAGTTTGTAACCACGACGCACCACTTCCTACCTAAGACTCCATGTCCACGACCCACGGTAATTTGAGTTACTCCTTTCTCCCGGACAAAGAGTTGAGTCTCAACCACTGTAACACCGTATCTCCCACAAATATCAAAGAGCTTTTCAAATTGCATAGTTCACGTACTTTCGACAAGTTTTCTCGAAGTTTTCACAAAAAAAAAAAACACATAACCCCATCAGTTCTGTTTCGTCTTCCCTCTGTTCAAAGTGTTAAATCAGAATTGAAGGCTGAGGAAATGAGCCATTTCGGAAGATAAAGCGATCTCCTTTCTCAAAACAACAAACTATAAATTCTCCCAACCGTCTGCCATTCGTTTCTCACAATTTTAGATCGGGGTATTTGGTGCTAAAGCAAACATTGCTGTTTTATATATTTTTTTCCTTTTTCATTAGCTTTCTGCTAAAAAAATGCAATAGAAGGCAAACCGTAAACTAAAGATAGGAATACCTCTTATAACACAGAGAGTGAATCCAGGCGACGATGCCATAGTTTTTGGTGAGATCATATGCAGCCGGTTGTATCTTCAGAGCTGAGAGCAACAACTGAGTGACCAACGTCTACACGAATAAACGACAACATTCCATTCAAAAATTTTTACCATCCATATTCCGAGTTTACAAATTTTGTGACGCGTTTGTCCTTAGCTTATGTGATAAACATGTCCCAGATTCTCTAGCCACTCATCTCCGTTATTTAAAAATGAGTTCAAATATGGGGTAAATTACATATTTGTAGATATGTCCAAAGTTCGCTGAGTAAAAAACTTAAATAAGCATTCCCTACCATTCTACTACACAAAGGTGGTAGAAAATGGAAAGCTATCAATTTCATAGTAGAGCTTTTAAACCTGGGCTTAAGATTTACATTCATTTTTTCAAATCCAGCAAGTCTTTTGATGTCTCTTTACACGAAAATTCTCACCTGTGAGCGATGATCACTGACCGGTGAATCGTGATAGCTCAGTGCCAGCTCTATCACGTGACGCCGTTTGTAAAGATAGTAATCAGGGCTGTCCTTCATACCATCCACCAGGAGCTGTAGCATCCAGGATCGCTCGGTCGCGTGCTAGAGAACGAAGAATGGATACTCCCTTAATAAGAAAGCGACTATTTACATGTGGTACTCAGCTTAGTCCGTTTGCAGCCATCGTTTTGTGAAAGCTGAGCGAAGAAGCGCGAAGCGAGCATGCGAGAACGAGTGTAGAGAGCCAGAAACCACACCTGTTCCGTGGTTTTCGATTTCTTTAAATACACTCTTATTTAGCCTGCTCTTGACTATGATCTCAGGGAAATATGTTTAAATCTACCAGCGTTCTATCTCAAATGCTTGGCAGGGGGCGTAACCTTTTTGAAAGTTATTCAATAAAAACTCAAACCTGCCATCTTGTTTAGTTTTGAACATCTACTGGACTTATATCGAAAAAATGAGATCATAATCCCCCGATTTTTATGCGTGATAGTTGACTCGGGCTCCGCTCTCATCAATTGTAACGCGATAGAAATCTCCTACCAAAACTCTGATTGTTAATTGTTGATGCAGCTTCAGGAGTGTTGCTTGCTCCTCAGAAAATTAATGAAGACGATATGCTAACACTCATTCGTACAAACGAGGGAGAAGGACATTATAAGAGGCAAAGTTCTTTCTTAAGGACAGAATACAATTGAACGATGAGGACCGTCAAAGATGGATGTTCCCATCCGGAGTCCGGCTCTCTGACTTCTTAGATACCGCTCCCTCCATATTTTAATTTCTCATGCAATACCCTCTCGTGAAATCGTAAGGCTTTTTGTGACAGTTCTAGTCTTATTACATATTTTCCGCAAGGGGAGTCTATTCTGTTATTTCTTTGGAATTCGGGTCACTGTTGTAGCTAAAAGTGTTCCTACCTGCATAGTACTGCTGTTGAACATGTTGTAAAACAACGGTAAATCCTTCAAATCCAAAGCAGGTCTCTGGAGCAAAAAGCTGTTCATCATAATGTAGAAGGGATGCTCTGTGCAATACAAATGAAACAAAATAAGCCAATCATTTTTTAGCGTAAGAAAAGCTAATACGTCAACAATGCCTAGTAAATTAGAGATTTTGGGGGTGCACATTTAATGCAGGTCAAGGAAGTCAAATTCTAAACTTTTTGAGAAAGCGTTTCCCAATGTCATTGTCGAGAGGAAGGAAGCAGTAAAGGGCTACGGTGCGAGAATAGTGTAATGTCCAAAACAAGTATTGAAACCAGCAACAAGTAATAGAACTAGCAAGAGATGTCATATTGATGAAACGTTTGAGTTATATCATTCTGTCATGGTTACAAAAAAACTATCTTAAATCATCTGCGGAAGCTCATATCGTTATGAACATTTTCTAATATATTTTGCTTGATACTTGTAGTCAGGTTTCGTACTCCGGTCGATCGACACGTGTTAGAATCTCAAGGTCCCTTTGTCAGACGGTTTTGATAGAAGTTTACAAAAGACTGACCTGGTTTTAGTAGAATGAAAGCCACACGAGCCAAAAAGCATGTCATTAACGAGGACAAGCGGCAATACTCTTCAGTAATACTGTTCTTCAAATACGTCAATAGATGAAAAATCTGAGGAAACAGATGTTCATCACACTTAGTACACTTCTCTTTGAACATACCGGTATTTATTCTTTGGGTGCGTTAATTAGAAAGTATGTATGTATGTATTTCCTTTTTTAGCCTGTAGCGTAATTTCTCGTATTCTCTTTCGAAATAACTTTCAGTCTTGGGAAAGTCAACTCTTGAATCTCTCTTTGTGTCTGTCTATCTGTCTGGCTGCTTGCTTGCCTTTCTGTTTCTCTGTCTGTCTGCCTGTCTAGCTCACTGTCTGTCTCTTTCTGACTGTCCATCTAAGTGAGAGAGTACCAACCTGTTTTTTCTCCCTGAATCTTACGCCGTCAAGATGCATCATATATCTGCTGAGCACATGATACCCCGCTTTCCTCATGTTTCCATCACGTGAGGACAGGGCAGCCACTGATAAACCTAAGCATCCTTGCTCCACAAACTTCCGACAGTCGACTTGAAAATCTAGCAAACAGAACCAAAGATCATTAAGAAAGTTAGTGAAGCTCGATAACAAAATGCTTCGATGGCACTCTTCAACGCTCACTACTGAACAGTTATCGCTCGCTAAAACCGCGTTGCTTGTGATTCTTTTGTGCTTGGGTATCACACGTATCATCGGTAGCTTGAATTACTGAAGAGCATTCGCGAAGGAAATATCGAGTGTCGTAAAACCAAAACCAAAACCAAAACCAAAGTAATAACAGCAACTATACACATGAAAGTAACAAATCACAAAGAGCCCCGAAGAACTCAAAGTAACAGCAAGCAACCTGCTTCAAGCGAAGAAGAACTCGAGCGTAGCGATTGGTTTTAGTTGTTAATCTAAATGCTTGAGAGACTGGCACGAATTTTCTGGATCAATCACAGAGCGAAGCGACGCAAAGCCAAAACAATCCCGGATTCCTTACGAAACACAACATAGAAATTTCTTTACTTGGCAATACCCAAAACAACTTTACTTACTTGGAGCAAGAAGACAGCTGAATAACGGAAGAAGGAAACAAGGGTCATAAAGATCTCGGAGTCCTTCACAAGCAACTTCCATCTGGACTTGAGGCTGGCAAAGAATGAAAAGAAATGGATGAAGACAACCTGACCTTCCGATTTAAAAACGATTTCAGTGCAATGTGTAGATCAGGGGTTCGCATTTTTCGGCCGCTTAAGCTTGTGCCAGGCTATCGGTCACCGTCGCTCTCCTTAACCTTTCCCCTCCACTTCCCACGTTTTTTCCTCGTTCTCTTAAGGTGATTGCCTAAAACAAGACTAGGGTGGATTTGGAACAGGGGACTTCCGAAACTGCGGGAGGGGGGAGAGGGGAAGGGATCCCAATCTGTCAAAATACCGGGTTTACAATACGCTATTCGCCTAACTAGTCGCAAGTTTTCGTATAGTTGGATTAAATATGATTGCACATCACAACCAGGTACTGTGAAGTCACAGCCATGGATAACGTTCAGGCTAGAAACCTTTCTAGAGGAAAAATTGGGACAATATTGTTAGCCGTAGTAAAGAACTACAACTGTAATAAAAAGATCTAGAGATTCAAGTATGGTAGATATTTCTATGTCGTAACCGAAAGCCATCATGTAAGTCATGCTATGCCATGCTGACGAGGTTTCGTACAGCGGTCTTTCATTTAGTGTTGTGAATGAAACTTGGATGTTCACAACAGCCAATCAGAATGATTGATCAGAATCAGCCAATGAGAAGTCAAAGTAAAGACAAACAAATCAACCGAGGCGCAGGAAACTGACGCCAGTGAACAAGTTGTCAGTACTTTCGTTGCCTCACTGGCCACTCTGTAGCTTTCACATACCATTTACCTTCCCAAAATTTCATGAAAAAGAGTTCAATTTGCCAAAAAAATCCTACCTGTAAAAGCCTGCCCTGAGGAAAGGACAGCGCTGACTGGAACATTTTGCTGGCAGCCATTTGTTCCATCACTTCAGTGACAGTTGGTTGTTGCAGTAGGGATGGACCCAGGCTCTTGGAGACTTGATGATGGCGCGCAGCAGCTGGGCCCCAGAGAAAAGGTCTGTCAAGAAAAAGGTGCCTAAAGTAATCGTTATTTTAAAGAATTACATTGTCAATGTGTCGAATCCGAAAAGTCTCCTGCTTCACGTAGTTGCTACTATTTCCATTTCCCAATAATCGTTTTCACCGGTCACTTAGTATAAGACCAGGTTTCAAGGAACTGGAGTTAGCATTCTGTTTAAAGAACACGCCTTGGATGCTTATTCTTACAGATATATTGTCTTTGAATTTTTAATCTGGAACAGAAAATGTACTGTGGTGGCACATTTGCGTTATCTGTAATCACCTTTAACGCGCTAGACTTTGGATCGAGAGGTCTGGGCTCGAGCCCTGGCCGGGTCACTGCGCTTTCTTATAATTCTAACAGTGCGGCTCTCCATCTTGGAGTACAGATGGGTACCAGCAGACTTTGAGGGAAACGTCACCAGGAGTGGGTCCAGCAATCCCAAACTTCGATTCCGAAAATGCAGATTTTTACCCTTATCTCAAATAAACCAAGATATGTTTTAGGACAAGTAACTCTTAGATACTTCATAATGAGTGGTAATATAAGACCCTGTGTTCAGCAAGAAGTAAAAAAATGCCCATGGGTCTGATGAGGAGGGCAACAGAGTATTGAATCTTTGACTATAATCGAAAGCTCATAGCGGATCCGTTAATTTACATTACGATAAACTGTGGCGATAGCGTATTGAATCTTTGACTAAAAGCAAAAGCTCATAGCGGATCCGTCAGTTTACATTACGATAAAATGTGGCTACAGTGTATTGAATCTTTGACTATAATGTATTCGTATTTATTCGCAGTTACACGAGGATTACCTGTAGTTCCTAAAGGATATGTGGTTTTTCTCATACAAATTCATCAGATACAAAATAGACTGATCTGGAAACAAAAAGCAGACTCATGCTAAACTACGGTGATACAAACCCATTTTCCTCACTCAAAAATGAGCTCTATAGCGTCGGTGACAGTCATGTACACTGTACACTAAGGCATGACTGGGCAAAAAAATGAAAATCTATTTCTAGAATATGTCTTTGAAAGCTTGCTTGCCTATTAAGAAACATTATCTGGAAATGGGAAAAAAAGGAACTCTACGACAAGGCAAGAGATACGACGAAAATAAATATCATTTTTTTGTTTTTTTAACCAGTTTGAATTTATTTGAACAAAAGTGGAACGGGTCTGTAACACCGACATAAAAGAAAAGTAATCTGGCAACTACTGGTTGGACAAAACGAGACCAAAGAGGTCAATGAAATCGGTGAGGTAAAATTATCATTCCTTTCAGTAAAATTCTTGAATTTCCACCAAACACTTGAATTTCCAAGATTTGATTGCTAATTCTCCCTTCTAGCTGCCACACATTTCCTTGTATATTAGCTATGAGAGTTTGGTGTTAAGGTCAAGATAACAACTTCTACTTGACGAGTTTGAGAATTCCCCTTGCATGTTTGCTGGATAATGTAGGTACATTATAGGGAGAAGTTACATGTTAATCACTTCTGGAAGTTAAAGTGCTAAGACGCCTGGTCATTGTGTGAGTTAAACAGCGCTAAACTAGTTTCCAGGTGTTTCTTAGTCAAACCAGTACACAGTACGTCACTTTGTATTACGGTCTCATGACCTGATTTGGTACAATGACATCACTGAAGGAACGGTAAATATAAAAAAGACAAAGTGTGTGCACCTGTGGCTGACAAGGTCGCCGAATATGCTGCAAACAGCACAGGAAGGTGTGAAGACTCGCAGCAACTAGGACTTAGTTCTACAATCGTGACCATCAGATCTGCCAGCTTTTCTGTGAAAAGCAAAAAAAAGGAATTACGGCCCATCGATCCATCAATTAATCATTCACTCAATTGTTTAAACAATCCGTCAATTCGCCCGTTCATCAGTCAATCTCTTAGACATATTTAGGCGAATACATGGGTGCAAATCAATTTAAGGAGCTACACGATGGTTTATGCCTAGAAAGTACTTTTTCCAGATATGCACAAAAGAAAAGAAAAAAAATTTAGTAAGATATGTAACTTAAACGCAACATGCAAATAAACTAGAAAAATCCCCTAAAAAGAAAAATAAAGAAAAGACTTTGAGATAAACCCTTTCTACTTCCAGCAAATCACTAACTCACTTATCCCAGTCTTTACCTTTCGCATCCATGTTCTTGTCAGTACTAAGGAGGATGTTCAAGAACCGAGAATGACTCAACACCATTTCATACAAAGTTTCCAGGGACAAAAGTCCATAAGGGAGACTCTCTCCCTTGTCTTGTTTCTTGTAGATGGCCTTAATAATGCAACTAAAAATTCGAAGAACTTCGGAACTTTCAAATTTATACCTGAAAAGCAACCAAAAGAGTTAAAAGACTTGACTCAAGTTTCTTTTACGTGCAGAGAGCGGTCATCATGCTTGATAGCGTGCTCCGTTTCCCTACAAAAAGACAACCTCTGGGACAAAGATAGGCATAGGTTATGTCTTCTTTCGATTCATGTAATAAAACTTTGTAATTCTTCTCAGCAAAGTCGTCTTGCTTGTTTATTTGTGCACGTCTTGATCTGTATTCCTCCCGGCCGTTTGCGCCATTTTGTTCAGATTGTTCAGAATAAGACAGTAAAAGCCCGCTTCTTCGGTACGACGATCTCGTGCCGCATCTAAAGATCGCCCAATCTGTGCACCCTTTTGAAATGGTATTCTAGAACTACATGTTCCCAATGGCTACTGTAACCTTTTCTTAAATACAATGAGATCCACAGAAAACAATAACAGGGTGGGGGTGGGGGAAGAAGGGAGTTTAAATGCTATTGTTGTCATCGCAATGTAAATACGCACATGTAACTATGACAACAATTTCGACAACTTAAGTAAAACAGGCAAGGACCAACATGGTGAAATCAGGTATACTCTTTATGACTTTTAGCATTACCTTAACGAGTTAGTTACAAAGTTCTTCCAGGTTGTCAAGTAATCTTCATTCACGATACTGATGCTGACTGTATTCTGAATAACAAGATAAAAAAAACAAAAACTTATGACTTCAACTATTTCTGTTGCTCTCTCTCACAATCTACACTGCTTAACTCCAACAACTTGTTCTTTTTTCTCTTTTAAAATCCTCAACGAAAACATACCTCGCAAATCCATCCCAGAGAATCCAGAGACTCCTCCATAACTTGTTCATTGTCGCTGTTTGTATCTAATTGAACCGATAATCTTCATGTTAATAAACCTTCACTAGCAATTTGCTGATAAGTAAACTGGAAAATCTGACAATTTGCGATGAGGAAATAATAGCTTTTTACCTGTTTTAATTAGATTGCTGGACAAGAATTCCAAACAGGCAAAACAAAATTTGCTGATAATATTCACTCCATCTTCATTGGTAGAAAAGTTGCGATATTGGCTTGTTAAAAGTTGGCGACAAATTCTCAGCTGGTATCTGGAAAAAAAATGAAACCTTAAACTCTTATGAAAAGATTGAGAACAAAACCTTCCGCGTTTATCCTTTCAATTCTCGTTAGCCGCAGAATAGGCCATTTTACAGTTGTGTGCTTGGTTGCCAAGTCTTTGATTTGGAGTTGGGCCGAAGGCGACCTTTTTGTGATAAAGACCAGTATCTAGTTAACATGATCACAAAGTAATTTACATTTGAAAAGCAGCAAGGTTTGTATCATAACAAGGTCAACCTTAGCCTCACTTCTGTTCAAAGGCTTGGCAACCAAGCACACTATTGCGACTTCACACGCCTGTTTTAAAAATTGAAACACTCTTTAAGTCAATCAAACATTCATTAATTTAAAGAACTGCAAACACACCAATTACTTCTTCATACGAGCAACAATACCTAGAGTTTTTTTAAACTTACACCAATTCGTTTGAAATCAATTTTGCAATCTTACTTATTGTAAGACAAAAGGGGATGAGTGATTATAAGTGACAGAGTTACATGTCAACTTACGGCTAATTTAAGATAAAAAATTTAATTATTGCTCCTATTTTTGTAAGCAAAACAAGGTCACATCGTTTCCATCTCAAAATTATATAATGTTCATTATAATTTGAAGTGGTGTGCTGTAAAAGCGCGAAGTTGAACTAAGTATCTAAAATAAGAAAAATGCTGAATTAAATTTCTGTACCTGTCCCACAAAGAAGCTCTTATCAAAAGTCCGTTGAGCTGTTTCAAAAGATTGTTATCTAAAGGAGAAATCAAAACAGGACATTTTTTATCACATAGTAACAACGGGCGAATGTCGTTTAACAACAATATTACTTTGCCTTAAACTTGTACCCAGAAAGTTGAAAGGAAATAAGTGTCTTTCACTTTAGCAATGTTGACTTTGTTGGTTCATGAAATATTTAATTTGTACGGCGCGCGCATGTGGCAGCCGTCACAACAATTTGGTTAGTCAAGATATAGAGATATGGAACATTCGCACTACTAACGTGCACGACTGAACGTAAGAGCGTCGACAAAAGACACGACACGAATTAAGAGGGAAAGTAAGGCCTCAGTGAAAATGACGAGATTTAGTACAGCTATAAAAAGTTCGGGAGAGCATCGACGAAAATCGCCAAATTTCTTCGTTTGTATATAAGGCCTTGCACGGAATTCGAAAGTCTGGGGTTTGATTCTTCTTGGAAACTCAGAATTTATCGCTGTCTTACGTTACTACGTTGATGCTGTTGCGGAAATAAGAAAACTTTGTCGTTTTCGTAGCTGCGTTCAATCCTAAATATAACATTCGCGTCAGATACTAACCTTTTGGCATGTGAAGTATTAGAGCAGTCAGCACGTCTATGCTTAATTCCTGTTGTGAAAAACAGAATATTACATTTGCGTGTTTCATCGTTCTTGTTTGTTGGAACGTTTGAAATAATAAGAATAAAAAAATGATGTCAGCATCTGCATTTCTGCAAGAGGTATTGACTGGGAAGTGAAAAGAATCTATTTCTAATTCCCAGAAGCGATTATCAGGTAACTTTTCCAAACATTGTCCATACATTATTCAGTAAACAAGTATTGAGAATTCTCAAACTTATTAGGTAGAAGTTGTTATCTTGATTTAACACTAAATTCTCGTAACTGATTTTCAAGTAAATGCGTCGTAGCTAGAGGGGGAAATTAACGATCAGATCTTGGGAGTTATAGTGTCAAGTAAGAGATTCTCAGAAACCATCGGCTAACTTAATTTTGTGAAATTTTAGTATGCTATCCTCAACTTTAAGATTCAGCACACTCTCCATCTGGAACCCTCAGTCATCCATTAACGAGACTTTAAAAACACCGTTAGTGTCCCACAAGTGTAAAAACTCCAACAGGCAAACCCTTGACAAGGAACGATTCACAACTTGGCAGTATTTTAAAAAGCTGTGATTGGCTTTATGATCATATCTTCTTGGTAAATCGAAGAACCTCTTAAACCCCTGTGTTCTTCCGCTTTTGATTTTGCTTTAACTCATCATTTATGGTTGTGCATTGGTGATGGCGACTCGATAATTGTTCCTAGGTTTTGACAATAAGCTAAAAACCACTGAGTTCCGGTATTATATTTTAAATCACCTCTGATCCTTTGAAAATTCCTTCCCTATCACTAGCTAGCCACGCCCACAACGATGCCCAATACAACTCAACCAAATGGGACACAACTGCCTGTGTTCTGCGACCTACAACAAAAACAGAACTTGCTAAGATAACAGTGCAAGATGGAATAAGCCCAGTCAACAAGTTGAGCTCTTATATTTTCCTTTACTGACCTCATTTTAATCGAGTTTAGGTGAGAACATCATTGTACATAAAATTTGCGAAGGATGAAAGGGGGGTCATCAAAAGTTCAAGTAAGACGAATGCATGTTTATTTTAAAAAACAACTTGGGCCCGATTCAATCATCTGAAAAACGCTTGTGACCAAGGCAAGATTGGTCTTATTTTTGTTTATAATTAGTTGCAAAATGCTCCATCAGCATACACATGAAGTTTAACTTACCTAACTTTTCTGCGCTTATTCCTCGCATACAAAACAGGTATGATGACACCACAGGGAGGAACTCTGCCGGATGTTCCTTGAGCGCCACTGGAAACATTGTACAGGTAATGTCAAGTGCTTTTGGCTTCTTCCTCGGCTTTGGTTTATCCAAACAGCGAAGTTCAAAATGCGACCTCAAGGAAGGACAATATTTGACTAAGTGTGCTGCTATAGCAATTTTGGCTTTAGTCGATTGGTTGAGACAGATGTCTAAGAAAGTGGCCGTTGAACCCATTACATACAACATAGACTTTTGCAAAAGTTTTAAAATTGTGTAATCTAGCTGTGGGCAGTTCACATCTTGCGATATCTTGACCAACTGCCTGAAGTGCGACAATAAAAGTGGTTCTTCTGTCTTTAATGGATTTCGCCCAGATAACAAAGGCGAAAGATGATCTTCACAAAATGATTCACCCTCCAACAAAGTCAACAGAGTCGTGAGACACACGGATGGAACTTTGTCTCTTGACACCGCATCAGTTGTTACCAGCATGTCGGAGGGAAGCTGAGATAAATGTGATATGAACTTCACTTGGTTCTCTTCGTCACAGTACTCGTGAAAAAGACCAAGAAGGTACAGAGTTTGGGAAGATGAAATCACTACGGATGACACAAACCGTTTGATAAGTTGCAAATAAAGTGGAGTACAGTGTAGGTATAATTATCGTTAGTGATACTTATTTAGCAGTATGCTGCAAATCTCAGACTTTACCCCTTAACCTCTACGAGTGTCTAGCATCTAATTTCTCCTTACAATATAACCCTGAGTCACACATTAAGGTCATGAGAATAAAGAAATTGATCACTTCTTAGCAAATATATAGAGAACAGTATGGAGAGTATGCATACTGATGTTAGGACGTAAAGGATGAAATATAAATGTGTTTTCGTTTTTTTTTTAATACTTTTTTTGTTTTATCTTTTTTTCTTTGCCAAAGCTCGAGACAAGACGAGAAAATATCTTTTCCTGTTCACTTGTTATTTTATTGACTTCCATGACACTTTCGATGTTAATGATCATAGCAGTTTGTAGGATATGTATCACTAATGCTGACCTGGCTAACAACAGGGTTCTCTAAGGCTCAGTGATGGGCATCAGAGCGCACATAGGCTGCACGTGTCAACTGCGACTCCGTACATTTAAGTTAGGTAAGTAACTTAAATACTTTATTCATAAATGCTTATGAGGAATCAAGCCAGGAGGTAGTACCTAGGAGGGTATCTTTGGTTTCTGATTTGCTGACTGAGCATGCCAAACATAAACTTCATCCAAAGGGGAAGCCGAAATTAAGATTCTTCTGAACAAGAATGTGAAGTTCAGGCAAGACATGGGAGAGCGAGGCGAAATCACCATTAACAGGTAACTACCAAACTTAGCTGCCAAAGGATCGGTCACATGGCCACCAAAGGGCGTGCCAACAGAGCTTAATTTAAATTATTTGTTTGATTAATTCTTAATTACCGTTTCCACTGTTGGCAGATTCAATCTCCAGCATACCCTCCTTGCAGATCTTGGTGACAAAAGGAGCCATCAGAATCCTCTTCTGATGAACTGTTAGACTTGGCAGCACTGCTAGCAACACGTTGGTAACATTATACGTCAACTGTGTACCAATATTCCAGGGAACATGACCAACAAAAGAATGTTCTGGCCTCCAAAGAAAGCAGTCAAAGATCACTGGATGATGGAGAATCGTTTGGTAAATGTTGTCCACATTTGAAAATCTTTGGCATCTAGGTTCGCAGGAATTTTGTGGAGAGTCAAAACTTTGTAAAGAAAAAAGCATTTCTCCCTGATTGTGTGTCTCGTGCGAGGCATTTGCCTTGCCTTCTGACATCTTATCTTGAAGTGACGCTAACCGTTGCAACAGACACTGAAGAAGCTCAAAGCACAATTGCATTGCAGAACGAAGCATGCAGTTTTCAGGTGAAGTACGAATCACGACAAGTTTTGCTTTAAGCGAACGCAGATACAAGAGGACGTGGCAGCAAAGTGGAATGGTCTTGACTAAAGGCTCCTTTTCTAAGGCCTTCACCAAAAGGCTCTGGATCCATGAATTGTCTAGAAGGCTGGAAGTTTCATTCTCAAAGGATGACAAATCTGTTGTTGAAGTATTCCATTGATTTACAGTTTTCTTTACACCTTGTATAGCCTCTCCGAGCACTTGCCAAACAAGGACACCAAACGGAAGGGCTTGCAATAAAGGGGCAATGTCTTCTGTAGCACTAGAACCTTTAGAATACAAGCAGACATGTGACAAAGGTGACACGAGAAAAGAGAATTAACGTATTTTGACACTCGAGTGTTGAATTGACGATGTAGTGTGATCGTCTCAGTGTGGATGCTACTGAAAATGGCCTTCGTTGGTGACAGTGACTACTGAAAATCATTAAGCATTAAAGTCAGGTTTTTAGAAACGTCACACACTCGACACCAAAGACAATCCTCTTCAACACAATCATTTCTCGGACAACAAATACAACATACACTACTTGAATAACTATTGCTGTGAAAACTTTCATAAAAACGTGAAAGAGCCATTTTGAAATTTTTGCAGGGATTCTCGTGTATTTTTTTCAAACAAAATTACCATCGAAAAGAGAAAATCTCCTCATACAGTTATTGGTTGATAACTGCAAAACAAAAGCAATGAGGTTCAAGTACTGTTATCTTCAACAGGAAAGAATGAACGTAGAGCAGACGAAAGGAAAGATTTGAAATCGAAAGAAAACACTCGGTGGAGGGTCTACTGATATTTTTCAAGATTTTTTTTTGCAGTCCATTCTAATCTCTCCTATCCTTAACTACATTCTTGTTCCTGTTTGTCTGGTTTTGTTTTGAATTAATCTTGGAAACTTTTTATTTTGAAGTTCCTTTGCATCTGAGATTCATTTTAGTATAGAAATGCCCTCCATGCATTTGCTCACCTGTGATTCTGTAGTTTGTGACTTGCAGAACTTTAATAAGGGGAGAAAACTGTCCACTAAGCTGGTTCTTACAGAAGTCAACACAGTCAGTAATGACTGTACCCAGCTGTTCTTCATCCAAGAGCTCAAGATGACGGTTCAATTCAGCCGACACTGTCGCTTTTTCTGCAAATGAAACGAAATCAAATGTTCATGTTATTTTGAGTCTTTGCACATGATCTTCTTCTGCTCGGCTGGCTCTGTATCCCACCTCACTACTCTTTCCGTTAGGAAATTGTAATTGAAAAATAATCACACCATTAATTGCAGATGTGAAAAATAAACCTTCAAATGTATCATGGTGCTTTTAAATGTCAGAGATAAATCGCTCATCATTGTTGTTACTTCCACAATGACGACTCATACATCTCATATTTATTTCTGAGGCTACTGCATGCCGACAGAACTCACCTGTGGGCATATTGAAACACCTCAGACCTACCACATATTAACATTTAACCCCGGAAGTGACCAATGCGTGATTTCTCCTTACAATGTCAATACATTTTCAACCAGAATGGTGACAAGAAAAAAAAAAAAGCTACGGGGGTAACTCTTTGCTTTTGTTTCTCCGCGCTACAGAAACAAAAATTTGAATCTGAAACAGAGAGGTGAATCTATATTTAGATCTTCGAAGTGAACGGATTAATCCCACATAGACCGCGAAAAAGGCGTCATTTTTGTGTTTTCAGGCGGGAACACAAGGCGTGCACCCCTTATGCCTTTGCTTGTCTTGGCTTGCCTCCACCTGCAAGAACTAACGCAGACGACGGCTGTCAAAGGCTGCAGGCTAATCCCGCTGGGCATCATCACCTCTAAGTATCATCTACTGTATAAGTTGGCAAATAGAACCATACACAATCAACGCGGGGGGGGCACAAAGCCCTTTTACTCCGAGGATGTGAAAGCCAGTCCTCCTAAATAACATCCTACAATGTACACTTCTTCACAAATTATTCTCGAGAATTTAGCGTCGTTGTAATAACATCCTCTTGTGAATAATCTTCTTAACTCTCAGGGTTTCCTACCTGATAAAGTGTCACTTCTATAAGAATAATTCATGTATTGATTACTCAAGGAAGTTAAAGAGCTAAAGGGTTTTTCTTACCTTGCTCGTTTTGCAGCATTGTTCTGCTCAAGAAGCTTTGTAGCTGCTTTAAACTGTTGTTGCTGGTCTTTGACGGTACCTAGCGGATATGAAATTATTTGAAATGGAGAAATGCACATGCATTAAGAAGATATTGACACATCCACAGAAGATGTGGTTTTGATTTCATACATCAACATCTTAAGCCTCCTTTATGATAGTTAGTATAATTAAAAAGGACTAGGTACACATAATACTGCATCTATGAGTAGAATACGTGGAACACAATGCTTCCTTTGCAACTAAAATGTAACTTCTTTTCATAACATGAGAATACAAGAATTTTAAGTTCTCATGGTCAGGTCCTTGCATAATAATCTACCTCATGTTTAAAGGAAGGAAGATTCCAGACCATACAAAGCCCAGAACTCTTCCCACCCTTACTGCGGCCTATTTCAGTTAGTGCTAAATGTTTTCTACCTATTGCCACTATGTTTGATGTCAAGGTCACCTCTTTTATTTTGATAAAAATACTCTGTTTTCTTATCACAGTTTCAGTTTTTTTTTCAGTGACATCTCATTCAGTAACAAAGGACACAGTGCAAAGGAAGTCATATCAGCAATACCTTTAGATAATCAATCTTGTCCTGTAGTTGAGTGAAGCTGGGCATCCAGTAACTTAGATAATGCAGCAAAGCTTTATGTGCATTCCTTACTGTAGCCATATGTTGTGATACTTCAGTGTTGCTTACATAATGGCATACCACAAAGCACAAAATGGTTGGATTCATTGCACTGTGAATCATATCTGAGATGACACAATTCATGTACTTTGCTATACAACCTGAGGAAAAAGAGAGGGACATTTAAGAAGAGAAATATTAAAGCAGCAGCAGAAATAGACCTGTTACAATTTCATATAAAATAATCAGGTAAAAAAGCTAAAAAAGAAGTGAGCATTTGGGACTAAAATTTAGCATCAAGAGGTACTGGTTCAATCCCTGTCCAAACCTAAATAATTATTTAAACATATTTCTTACTGTTGAATGAATTACTAACAGTTAAACTGTGAAGATCAATTAGTACCTTGTTATCATATCTAGAGGTCAAAATTATGATTTTTTTCATATTAATTAACTTAATTTTTATGACTGTTCATACTAGGACCTACCTAAAGGGAGCTCCTCTGCTTTTTCACCTGGTTCAGTGGCATTTGAGATCATCTCACAATATCGCTTCAAAGCTCCAACAAGTAAAAGACTTACAGGAAGACTGAAAAAAAATGAGTTTGAATTACTGAGAAACTCAGAAAACCATAAAAACCAGAAATGTTCCTGGAAGGTGATTCTGTTGATGGAAATAAGCCAATCAGGGTTGAGAAATCTTAACAGCATACAGAAGTCCTAATAACAGGTGCAGTTAAAGGTTTTGTGGTTTGCTGATGTGTATATAAATTTATGCTACATGTATCTTTAATCATTTTGATTTTCCATTCCTTGCTTTTGGCCCCAATCAAAAGGACAGAAGGCTGATAGAGCCAAGATATTAACAATCTTTTCAGGTGCATCTCCCTACTCCTAAATGGTATTCATATTGATCGCACACCTCCTTCTAAGCCAAGCTACATGTGAGAAATAGGATGATCTTGGAAACATTTAATGTGGTTCTTTTTTCTTTTTATCCATGGTTCACATTTAAATTTCCTGGTTCATTTCAAAGTTATTATAATCATGAAATCCATAGCAAATGCTTCATATGTACCTTGAAAAAACAACAAAACCAAACAGACCTCAATAAGAGCCAATGAATAAACTGTTTGAATATAATTTTAAACTGTTTTTATCAGAGAAACTTAGGTCAAACCTTGTATTTGAAGGCTGGGTCCAATCTGTTGGGTCCAAACCAAACTGCAGAGCACTAGCTTCATGTGAAACTGCTTCAGCTTGCAGGTCGATCACAATGTCTGTGTACAGGTATGGCTCAGAGGCTACAGCCATAAAGACTTCATCCAAAAACCTAAGAAGTGTCTCCGTGTGTCCTTCAAACTGACTGTGACACAGATGACTCAACCACATTTCTACCTCATTTGCATGTGGAAGGCTGTTCAGTAGTCCTGTTTCACTAAGGAGCTTCAAGAAAGGCAAAAACACTGTTAATCATAACTATTACAATTTCCTCAAACGTGATTGGTGCTTTAGCTGATTTATTTTTCACTATATATTCTGTACTCAGACCGTTGGCTGTAATCAGACACCTGCAATCAGACAGTTGAAGCAGCAAATCATACAACATGTAAGTCCATTCAGCCAAATCCATTAATTGCAGAATTGATCACAATAACCATAGCAACAACCATATTAAAAAAAATGAGAAATTTCCACACTGGAGGAATTTTTTACTTTACACATTTTCTCTAAAATGTTTTTCCTAAATGTATTTTTTTTCCAGAAATTGTAACAGTTATGATTAATTGGTAACAGGACTTTGTGTTGCCCAATTCTGTCTGTTATCATACTCAGGACTGCTTCACAGTTGTCCGATAATCACTCTGACTTATGATTACAGATTGAATTGGACCCCACTTGCTCCTATTACATTATTAATCTCTGAATGTGTCAAATTTTCAACTTCATTTAATCCCATCTCAGAAGTAAATTACCTGTTTCTATCAATTCTGTCAAAGCACCATTTCATTATTTTCAATCAATGACAGACAGTGAGTCAGTCTAGCTATTAGTCATCAGACAGTCAGTCTACCTCTACATTGTATCTCAGCTATTGAAAGTATTACAGTGACTATACTTCTCACTTCAGCTAATAGCATGTACATGTACCCATAGTACATGAATACTTTTCAAAAAGCACCCCGTCCCATTTTTTTCCTTTATTCCACCCTCCTTAACAATAGAGTTTGTCCATCAGAGGATCTTATTTTCTGAATTTTTCACCCTTTTTTGTATTCACATGCTTACCTTCTGCACAAGCTGCTGGGCATCTGTCTTTATCTTTTCATTCCTTGCTGATGTGTACACGTTTAGTATTGAGTACAGAAAGGATGCTGAGCTTTTTCCCTTCTGATAAGACAAAATCAAAAAGCATACAATGTAATATAAAGAAACAAACTAAAAACAAAAGTTAATGACATTTACCATTTACAAATCAAACCCTTGAAACACTCAAGTCGCAAACTCTGCTGCATGCAGCCCCTTCTCCTACAGAGAAATTAACTTGCTTGTGTTTTATTTTCTCTCTACACAGCAATGGAATCTAAATGAGAAATTGCACTGCTTCAGGATTGTTGCTAAATGACTTTTTGTTGCTTCACATAGTTCTAACACTCAAGTCACAAACTGTGCCACACACAGCCCTTCTCCGTCAGATAAATTAATTCCCATGTATTTTAAGCTCTCTTGACACTGCAATGGAATTTAAATGGGAAATTGCACTGCTTCAGGATCCATGCTAGATAGCATTTTGTTGCTTCACAATAAGTTCAAATGTTTTTTAAACAATCCAATATTACAATGTACATGTGGAGTGAGGAACACAACCCACTAACCCTAACCTGACAGAACCTACAAAAATACTGGTAGATTGGGGTTGGGTTGCTTGAAACAGTATAATCCTAACCCAAGCTATGAGTAAATTTTTTCCTTTTGTTTTGAGCTTTGGAGCATTAAAAGAGAAATCTAACTCAATTTTAATCCTGAATTAGTGCTAAATACCCTTCAATTTAACAAGCTGCTGTATCAAGATTAAATTGACACAATTTGGCCATTTATATTGACACTTGTAGAGAGGGTAAATGGATAGAGACAGGAGGAAGGAAGAGGAAAAATAATTGAGCACAGCAGCTACATGTACAAAACAAGTTCAAGTAAAAGAGTTAATGTTTTGCCTAAAATCACCAACCTGTTGAAACCACTTTAAGCTGCCAGGTGGTGCATGGAGTAAGATCTGTAAAGTTAACTGCTGTGCAATAACTGGCAATTTTGCTTCCTGTTGTCCTGACAACAACTTTCTGAGGTCAAAGTTGATATGGGAAAGGAGTGAAGGACTTAGAAGCTGAAAGCCATGGATTATTTTCAGGCTTTCTGCAAGGAAGATTGTTGGGCTTGCCAAGTCTGAAAATTAAAAGCACAATATTGAAATGACAAACCTATTGTTGTCTTAACCTTTTAACTCCCAAAATCTCACAGCTTATTCTCCCCTCTAGTTGTGAAACATTTTCTTGCAAATTAGTTATGAGAATTTGGTCTTAGATCAAGATAACAACTTCTGACTAATAAGTTTGAGAATTCTCATTACCTATTTGCAAGATGATGTATGGATATCTTAATGAGAAGATACATGTTAATCACATCTGGAAGTTAAAAGGTTAAATCTCATGGTAGGCAGCGTTCAACCAGGCCTGAGAATAAATTCTTGTTTTCCTTTTGTGATAATAAATTATCAGGAGAACCTGAGAAGATGCTACCATGGGTTGGGGTGAAGGGAAATTGTCATGCACTAACATTTCATTCAGGTGGGGAAAAGTAATACTTCTAGACTCTTCATTGTGGGTAAACCGAGACACATTTCAGCTGTATGAGCCTGTACCCTTGCAGGTACAACTTAGATGTATATACTGCTCCAGCCATATTGGAAAAACAAATTCCAAACTTGAATGACTTGCACACTTTGAACAACAGGTCATGTACTTTTTGCCTTACAGCTGGATCAGAGGTCTGTTCCTTACTGTTATTTTCTTCTGTATCTTCTTCTGTACTGATAAAGATTTGCCAGTTGTGAGAGGGTATGGGGGATGAAGAACTGCACAAAGATAAACAAACAAAAACTCAACTCAAACCTTCTCCTTGTGACTCTCCCTTTGTTTTACCACTAACAAGGTTCTGCCTCAGTGAGATGAAAGTGTTTACATCGGGTAATGCCTTAACAACCTCTTCTCTGAACTGTTGCACTAATGGTGCATCTGTAGTGTTTGCCAGGTCCTCTGAAATATCCTCACTGGAGGCCAAACACTGCACAGCATTCTGTGCTCTGTTCAAGATTACTATTACCAGTGACAATGTTGTGTGTTTCACTAGATAACTTGCATGCTGTTGACAAATAAATGTCAAAAACATTGAAATCAGAACACAACACCAAATTAAAGGGAATCAACACAGTTTTGATCAACTGCTGGCAAATAAATGTTGAGATGGGCAGGAAGGTTAGCTTACCTGAACATACACACTGCTCAGTAAAAATACTTATCACAACCCACAATGTGAGAAGTAATTGTTTAAAGGATCATGTCAACAAGACATGTAAAGGAAAAATCTGCCAGATATAAAGCTGTGGGGCACACTTTGCACTCAAGCATATATTTTTTAACTTTCAACCTTTCAACTCATGTAAATGTCAGTACTAACTCCAAATATTGGATATCCTTGGCCTTCAATTTAAATTCCACACTTTCTATTCCTGCCATCAATGTCATAGTAACACCATTTTTTTCTAAATTGGTTAAGCCAAGAGCTGTTTATGGCATTTGCAAATATTCCACCAGTAGGTGGGTGGGAAACTTGGAAAATCTCATGAAAAACGCAAAACAACAAACTTACCTGAACACCACGGCTTAAACTTGTGCGGCTTAATCCAACAGGAACTACTATGTTTACCAAGGTTGGCAAAATTTCTTTTGTCATCTTCACACCATACTTTTCCACCATTATTGATGGCTGTGGCAGTGCTATGTAAACCTAACATGGAAGGAAACAGTAACATTCAGAAGTCTTTCACCATTGCTCAAGCAAAAAAGCTGGCAGCAGCAGTATAATGTATCAAATCCAAATGGAAAACCAGATGGCTCATCACCTTGACTGTGTTTCTGAAACTCTTAGCTACTTGTTAAACAGGTAAAGTAAGTAATAGCTGTACTTGAGTCATATTGGCCCACTCAGCTAGAGCTTATTCCAATTTCCAAGTAGCATGAAGCAACTAGGAGTATAACTACTCCCCTTGGATGGCTTCTCCATTGCAAGGTTACCCTCACAGCATTTCATCAGGCTTCCCTGAAAAATTCACTAGTACCCATTTATACTCCTGGGTGGAGAGAGACACTGTGAGAGGTAAGTGTCTTTCCCACGAACACATCACATTGACCCTGCCAGGCCTTGAACCCAGACCTCTTGACTCAGAGTTGAGTGCCCTGACCATTGAGCCACTGCACCTCTATCTCTACTTGTTAGAAAGCATAGTTGAAAATGGTTAAGGAAGAGAGGAATGCAGCTGGGTCAAGCAGTCATGGGTGACTGTCAAAGCCCTGATTTCTAATCAAATTGGATGAAAAGAAAATGTAAAAACATTCATGCGCCTTAGCTTATGTCAAGAACAGAGGCACCTATAGATGAAGATATACATGATTTTTGTATTGATCATCGGTAGGACTGTTTCTCACCTTTGTCAACAGGTTCATGTTTGCAATCCAATGCATAGAAAGCCTTGGTTCGTATGTTGCTGTCAAACTGGATAAAAAGGGCCTCACAACATCATGGCAACAGCACAACACAGTGATCACAAGTTCCTGGACAAGCACATCTGTTGTTGCTGAAGATAAGGTTTGAAGGAACCTTAGCAACACTGGATTATTACTCCTGTAAAAATAAATATCATCTTCAGACATTATTGAAAGCAAATTATCATTGCTGAGTGAGCATCAAAACTGGTTGTTGATTGGGAAAAACCAAAAAGCCACAGGATATCCATACTCAGAAAACTTTAATCCTTTGACCCCTAAGAGTGACTAACATCTAATTTCTCCTTATAATATCACCCCTGATTCAAACATTAAGACCACAGGAATACAAGAAATGATCACCAACTTAGTTTGAGAGCTTTTGATTGGGAAATATGTTCTCCTTGTCAGCACCTTAGGAAATGTATGAAGAATAATATGGAGAATGTGCATACTGATGTTAGGATGGAAAAGGTTAAGAGAAAGAAAAGGTGATCTCTGTCAAGGAATTACATGCATCCAACATATCATAGAAATGTTAGTCAGTAAATTAAATTGCTCATGATAAAAATGCTATCTCTACTAACCAGTACTGGTTATGCAGTATGTTTAAGGCTGATTTCTGTTCCTACAGATTTGACATGTACATCTCTATGTTAAAGGGCAGTATTATCAACATTAAGCCTTAAATTCACTCCTTTTCAAAGCATGAGCCACTGGCAAGGGTTCTTAAATTCCCCTTTTCTCTAGCAAAGCATTTTATCCGCATTCATAAAAGTTAGAAAGTATACCCTACCTAGTGGAAAATGCCCCAGCCACATTGAAAAAACAAATTCCAAATTTGAAAGACCCACACACTTTCAACAATAGGTCATGTACTTTTTGCCGCACTGCTGGATCAGAGGTCTGTTCCTCACTGTTATTTTCTCCCATATCTTTTGTGTACTGATAAAGATTTGCCAGTTGTGAGAGGACATGAGAGTTAAAGAACTGCACTTTGGTTTTCTTTGTAATCCCAGAATTGTGCACCACCTTCAAAGGTAGAGAAAAACAACTATTTAAAAACCATGACTATTTAAATGTATGGCTGTGTATGAGTCAGTTATGCTGCTCCTTCTGTAAACAAATCTTATTTCATATAACAGAAAGGGACTATGGAGGAGCACCACACCTAAAGTGGCCTGCTACTCCTCATAAATGCAGTCATGTAACACCCAGACTATTAACAAACAACTATTTAAAAACCATGACTATTTAAATGTATGGCTGTGTATGAGTCAGTTATGCTGCTCCTTCTGTAAACAAATCTTATTTCATATAACAGAAAGGGACTATGGAGGAGCACCACACCTAAAGTGGCCTGCTACTCCTCATAAATGCAGTCATGTAACACCCAGACAAGTCCTTCTATTTCTGTGGGTACCCATTCAAACTCACAAGTGGGGAGAGAAGATGTCAAGGCTGTCACAAAGTTTTGAAGCAGCCATTACTTGGAAAATATCACATGTACTGCTGTAACTTATGGTCAAGTGTAACATGACAGCAATCTGCTTGGTTGAAACAGGCTGTGACCCCTATTGACAGCTCTAGATGTTGGAGTTAAGTGTCTTGCCTTGTAAAAACATGGCATAATGATCTACCAAGACTCAAACATGAACCTAGCTCTTATCCAAAAAGGAACTGGATGCTTTAATTCACATTTTCAACTTAAGATAATGACTGTTTTTCCACATTAAATGAGCACTCTAATAAGCACCCTGCTCTGAATAAGCACCCATCCCCTGGGCAATTATATCAAACAAGCACCCCACTTGAATAACTGCCCCCCTCTTCCTTCCTCACTTTCTTAAATAATGGGGATATAAGGAAAAATTGTTTCTACTGCCACTTTATTTATAACTTTTTAAGCTTCAAGTACAGCAAGATCAGTACAGGATAATGGTTTCTTATAACTGCCTCCTTTATTAAGTGCCCTCCTTTCAATAACCCCCCCCCCTTTTTTTAGCCAACTATCTAGTGATAGGTGCCACTTACTCTTCCTTGCAGGGTAGATAACACCATATGAACTATCTCTGGTTTATCAAGAGACAAACCTTTCAATACTGACTGAAGAAATCCTGTATTTGAAGATGAAAAAGAGAAAAATTAGTGTTAATAAAACATAGAATGGACTTTATTAAAAGATGCAATAGTGTTCAACCAGTAAAATGAACAGTACACGATGATTTATTGGAGTCAGTCACAAAAATAATTTTTCAACTCTTAACTCTCTAGATAGTTTTAAGATTATTTTGTAATCTCCCTTCAAGCTGCATACATTTCCTTGTAAAATATATTAGGTAATTTGCTTTAAGTATTAATGTCTTACTTTAAAGACTTTTATCTCTTCTTTTTCAAAATACCTTCCTCCTCTTTAAAGTGAATACTGGTAGACACTTAAACACCACCACACAGAAACAATGAAAACATCAAGAATACATGTACAATACAATTACAGGTAAATACCTTTTAGTTCTAATATCTGTTTCATAACCACCAAGTCACCAAACATTAGAAATGAGAGACAAAAGTATATAAAACAAGTCCTCACATCTTGCGCCGACTAAAAAAAACAAAAGTAAATAGTTCAAACTATTATACACCATAGCAAAGACAAGTTAGAGAGAAATGTGGAAAGGACAAATAAAAACCCAAAGGAGGTAACTGGTTATAATTTCATAATGCTTATCATGTATGCCTATTATAGAGGCAGGGATGTCATTAACAGCTGAACTCCAGGCAAATTACTGAGTGACCAGTTGTGAAGCTGACTTTTCACTACTGCTTCCAAAATCTCAACCAAAAGAATACCACTGACAATGTTTACTTTCCCATATTTTTTTTCATGTGTCTTCTTAAAGTCAAAATGTATCATTTTGTACTTACAAAATGTAGAGATCTTATGAGGAGTACACTTCTGAAGCACTTAAGGGGGCAGGGGGCCTCAGTTTGCAGTTGCTTTTCATGGTAGTTGTTGGGTGTCAAATATCATTTTTGCATGTCAAATATCATTTTTGGTTAATAATTAAGTTTGCTTATCATTTGAGACCTCTAATTTTTGTAACCTTGAGAGAACACAGTTGTCATCAGCTACTGAGATATCAATTAATTGGGATTGCCACAGTATGAAGGGGTTACTTCTTTTTTGTCTTGTTGTTTTCCCTTTTGTCTGCACCATTTATTGGTTAATCATTTAAAACACTGTGCATAAAGTATGTTACCATGCCAAATCCAGATGTCCCATGCTCTAAGCCAGTAAATGAAACCCAAGTGAAAGTTGTGGTACTCTGCACATGTACAACCTGTATACTAATTTCAACTGTACAATGACTTACATTACTATCGCGTTTGTTTGGCAGTGCCCCAAGAGACTTCAAAGTGAAGTCAAACGAGCTTTGAACTTCTCTTGCAGCAGATGATCCTCGTGTGATCATGGCAGTGAGTAGTTTTAATGCAGCCTTTATAACTTCAGGAGGATTCCCTGGGTTCAGGCATGAGTACAACAACTTCATGTGACCTTGTAGAACACGTTGTACTATTGACACTCCCAGTCTATTGGCAAGTTGGCTTTCCTCTGCAGTGTACAGCAAAATGCTCTCCAAGATCTCCATACATGTTTGGATCTGCAATGAAAATGGTCTTAATATAATGATATTATAACTTAAGACATTAACCTTGTATTGGACATCAAGTGACTTTCAAGTACTATCATTGAATTGAATCCTCCTTGGGAGGTAACCCAAACAGTTGATTGACATGTATGCATTTTCAGACAACACAAATTCTCATCTTTGGGTCATGCAGATGATAAAACTGAAAACCCCACTGATGTTAGCAAGCAGTTTCTCCAATAATTTCCTGTCCCAGGCCTCTGTGGCTTTGCACAAACAAAACTGCCAGCTTCACTACCAATCACATTTCAAGAGGCTAGCAACTCTCTAAACTTAGGTTATACACTCTGTAAAACATATATGCTGATGAACATTGATCAAGTGTTACAATTGGCTGGACTTAAAGCAAAATTTTAGTGCACCTTATAATAGGCTAGTGAATGTTCCACATACCTCAAGCTTAGAAAGACCCTGTTGGCCTATCTCTAAAATGGTGAAAATTTCTCGAAACTCTCCACCTTCCTTAATGATATCTCCAATAGATTCTTTGGCTTGTAATTCTTTGAGTACACTCAGAAGTTGTTTCAGACCTTACAAGTCAATAGATATATTATATCACTGGTTGTAAAGGTAAGTCTGTACTCGAGTCTATTGGCTCACCCAGAGAGAGCTTATCCCAGTTTCCATGTAGCATGAAGTGACCAGGAGTATTACTTCTCTCCTCTGGATGGGATGCTAATCCATTGCAAGGTTACCCCAATAGAATTTTGATGGCTTCCCTGACAATTATTCAGTACCCATTTATACCCCTGGGTGGAAAGAGGCAGTCTGTAAGATTTAAGTGTCTTTCCAAAGAACACAAAATATTGACCAGGCCATGTCTTGAAGTTGCACCTTTCAATCCAGTGTCCAGTGCACGTGCAGTACCACTAGGCCACTGGGTCTCCCCTAGCACTCATGTTAAGGGTGACATTTTCAGTATGTCATTCACAGTGCATCTCTACCTCAAGGGGCTCCCTCCCTTTCCCCCTTTCAACTTTTAAATTCAAGATCACAATATTTGCAGATTCACATTATTTGCAGAATCACAATAACTGCCTGGTTAATGACGGGTAAAATATCATTTGCATGTTTTATAGACGAAATGACAGAGGAATAAAGCTAACGAGAGTCTAGCCTTAATTAGCCAAGCTGCGTGGAATAGTAGATGCCAGTCGGCAGTGATCTTCAGGTGAAAACGAATGCAGGCAAGATTGATCTGTGTTTTCTTTGATTAAGGACTGTAGAAATGCAACTCAAACAATATAAGTTCGAAACCATTTTGTCCTAATACTTATTTATAACTTTTCAACGTTTAATTCAAATCAGTTCTTGCCTAATTTTGCTCAAAGGTTCACCTTTTGGAATAACGGTAAAACCACGAAGAAGGCCAATAACCATTTGAGGTGTCAGCATTCTACTCACCGGAAAGCCTTGTGTGTTCTTTCTGTAGCAAACCCTTCAACGATCGTGCGAATTCGCCCGACTTATGGTTGCTTTGCTTCTCGTCACGCGCCTTTCTCTTTCTTTCAGGAGTTCCTTCGTCAACGACGAGTTCACCTTTTCGTTTCTTCATTTCAGTCTTGTTATAATTTTATCCTGTAAGCGTTCTCAACGCTATGGGTGCGAAGACTAAGAGAGGTAACGAAGGAAACTCAAATGTATCGAGACGTCCGCCATGTTGCTAATTCGCACGTGGTTAAGTAACTACTTCATTTAAAAACCTTTACTTTGCGTGACAAAGAGATATCGTGACGCATAAGAGATTGAGTTTTTTTTTCTTTTCTTAAAATGTTTCCCATAAATGAATAAAACTGCGGGAATCTCCTTGACTAAAATAATAACCTTGAGTTGTAAAAGCACGTATAATCAAACTTTTCACGTAATCATGAATACCTGAAATATTCCTGCATTGTTCATTGTATTATCAAGCATTCACCAGTCTGCATAAAATGCACAGAACAACGTTTGAATCATGCCAGGAAACTCAGAAAAATACCATACAATCCTAAAAACTGCAAAACTTTACTAAAGATCACTGCAAAATACAATATCGTTTTATGTCTTTGCTACCAAAAAGTAACCTAAACATGCTTTGATGTGTATCAATTACCTTGGCTAAACCTTGAGAAAGTTTGATACAGAGAGAAACATGGTGTATGAATCATAAAATAATTTCTTTGCTTAAGAATAACATGAGTGAAGGAATCACACAATAGGACTTCTCAGAGATGACAGAAATGTGTACTTCTTGATACAAGATAATTAATTGCATTAAAACTGATCCAAATATTCCTTATGGGTGAGGGGAACTGTATCAAGAACTAGATTGTTTGTGTGTATGCAATTTGTGAGAGTGTTGATGGGGAGGGGGAGGGGATAAAGGGGGGGGGGGAAGGGAACGATTGAGGTAGGATGTTCATCCTAAAACAAGAAATTATCTAAAATACAATGCAAATTCTCCTAATAAATACAGTTTACTGAGAAATTTGGAATTCCAAAAGACTCTAATTTTTACAGTGTAAATTTAAAAAGTTAAATTACGAAGCCTTGTGATGATATGTACCATCTGAATGTTGAATGCTTAGCAGATCAAACACTACACTCATTCCCTCTTTTGTGGGGGAACAACAGTACAGTCCAATCTTCACTGCTTTGCCACCTGACTCAAGGTGAGCAATGCGGACAAATTTCCAGTCATCAGGGTTTCCATCTGGTAATTTGCTCTCAACCTAGGTAATAAACATACATAATTATGATAATTACAGTATTGTGCAAAAGTAATGCAAACAAACTTCAACAAATTTCCTGGCTTTTCATGGCTTTTCGAGGAAATTTCACTGCGTAACAGAGAGATAGTTACAAAATAATTGCATTTATTGTTCATCGTCAGTTGTTTAAGTAAATAATTACCCTATCTATAATTTGTCTCATAATTTGGAGTCACTATCAATATGATAAACACTCTCTGCAAAATTTTAATTACAATACAGCTTATTTTCGTCAGCGCTTGTGGCAAGTTGATAAAAACTGCAATTGCTTTTCTGTTATAGGTGCATTTTGATTTTCATTGCTTTACTGATCTGTCAAGCCCAACTGATATACAAGTAGGGTTACAGAAGCCATCCATACTAATGCTACATTCAAATACATGTAATTTAGGTAGAGACAGCAGATTCAAAATTCCTGAACTGGACAAGCCTCAGTTGTGGTTAATTACTTTTCTTTGCTTCAACCTTTTTCAAGCCATTCCAAACTTTATTTTTTTTTATTTCTTATAATCATGGCAATAAGTACGCAACAGAGTGTCGCAAAAATCAAACTGGATTGGAAAATTTTAAACCAAAATCAACAACATTAACCAATAGAGAAGAACTTTTCAGCAATATATATATTGCAATAACAAAAAACTACAAGGGGAACAGGGGTCATATAATAATCTTTTGGGATCAGAAAAGGTAAGATGAGAAGAATGTAACAATCCTGTCACTTACAACATAATCATCATTTATCTTGTGAACCCTAAGAGCCAGTTTGTTGCTACTCCATGACTGCGTTGACCAATCACTCCACCTGTTTGTTACAACACAGCTCATGGAGCACTCTCCATCCACATATTCCAGACCCTGTCATGAAAAAATTCAAAATGAAAATGAAAATTTTCTTGTATTGTGAAATAGTTACTTTCTAGCAAGACAGAATTATAACAAGTTAACTAGGCAGAGAAAATTAAGATATAATTGTAGTACTCACAGTTTTTATCCAGTGATCACCATCCACTCTGACCATAATACCAGCCTATTAAATGAACAAAATCAATACAGAACTTTTTTCAAAAATAGAGAATAAAATGGAAAGTATTAAACCATAAAAATTCAGAAGGAAGTTCGTGTGCCTTATCTACAAGGTGTTTCTACCAAAATTCAAGTAACCAACTCTGACACTTGAACAGACCCCATTTTAGCAAACCTCAAGGCTGTTCCATAAGATGAGTAAATTATTTTCTTTGTTCATACACCTTTATTTTTCAAAAGAAATTTTACATGACTGTTGTTCCTATAATTGTAAATCATTGCCAACTATTTATTCTTTGAATTTGATTATCAAGACATGTCATTAATAAAATGTCATGCGTTGGTGCATGTATCTGTTATTTTTTTTCTCACAATACAATAAGTACAAATAAAAGTCAGAACACATTCACAGGTAGTAGTTGTACTGAACATGGCTCAATAGCATCTGGTCAATTTCTGTACAATTTGTAATAGTAATAGGACTGAGTGGAGTCCAATTTGGTCCATTATCATATGAGTGATTAACAAAATTGACTAGCCACAAAGCGGGAGTCCATTTGTTAATCACGAGTGATGGTAATAGGAATGAGTGGAGTCCAATTAGGTCTGTAATCATACAAGTGACTGACAAAATTGGACTACAATGAAGTGGGAGTCTGATTTGTTAACCAAAAGTATGATTACAGAGAGAATTGGATGACACTAAGTCTTTTTATCAATTAATCAAAACTGTGTCAAAATTTGAGGAAAAAACTAGCCATCGGTTGTACATTTTCATAAGAAAAAAACAGTTCATTCGGAAAAATGCAAGACCACAGCACATGCACACAACACATTCTGTCCACTTACACAGACATGACATGTTAACTGTGCTATTACACTGTCCAATTACAAGTATAATGGGCACACTGTCCTATTAGTGCTCAAATGGGCTGGTGATAATCAATCACGTTTGAGAATTTTTTATAGTTTTGATTAGACAGGTTACAGGCTAATTATGTCAAATACGATCCAACAAATTACAGGATATTTCAAAATATTACCATATGAGCTCACCTGATCAAACTGGTTTAAAGCTTTGAGTTCAAACGATGTTTCAATGACACTGTTCATCTGTTTTACCACAAGATGAAGCAAGTGACCATCATCTTTAATAATTTGAGGATTGTAATAAGTTCTGGAGAAAGAAATTATGTAAAACACTTTGAACAAAAGAATACAACGCATTCTGTAGTGATAATCAAGTATCTGACAGATTGTTCCAATTGGTGTTATGTTTGTTCTCAAAATAAAATCTACATTACACCATGGAACCTTCCTCATATTATACTGATTGCAATTTGGTAGCCTCTTAGAGTGACTGATGAGACCATCAAGCTACAGTGTTTTAAAGTTCATTGTTACATAACACTATCTACATCTAGTAACTAAAAAATTGGGTCACAAACCTCTTCCAAAAATCCGTTTGTCCTTTCTAAAATAAAGGGAATATTTCATACACATTTAATAAAGTAATCAATGCAGTAAGTTCATCACATTAATATGCTAGTTGGCAGAGCTATGTATTGCTTTTATTAATAGCTTAAGTACCTTACTTAAATGTGACAAGTGTAACAAGGCAATATTCAGAAATTCTGTCAATTGCTAGTTTAAAGAGTGACCCTGCTAAAAAGCCACGATCCACCCTTCCATGAGAAAAATCTTTTGAACCCCAAATTAATTGAAAGTCCAATAATTAATTGCTTTATTTACCAAAATTACCGGTAACTCCCTCCATTATAAAATAACATATTCTGCACCCAAAGACACCATGGTTCCATTAATTAACAGTTGATATAGGTTTCTGCTTCGTCAAAAGTTAGTACGTCAATTTTCCCACTTAAAGAAGTTTTCATTTATTATATAGACATCCCACTTCGTCCGTGTTTGGAAATCTAGGACTCGCACTACGGGTACCTGTTGCTAAGATTTGACAAGCAACATGAAAAGAAGAACGTACCGAAAAAACTTTTAAACCTGTGTCACCATTGCAACGTAGTTTATACTGCTGTGGTGGATTATACCAGAGAATGTCAGGACCGAGCTTTTCTGAGCTAAAATCTAAAGATAAGGAAAACCGGTCCACAACTGCCGCCATAATCAGCGGCTCAAGTACTGCGGGCGCATATAAGATGTTTACACTTAGAAGCTTTCAATGGCAGACAGTGAGGAGTTTGGGAAGCCAAATGATTTCCCACTCAGTCATGAGAAAATTGTAACTATTTGGTTTATTCCTACTTAGACTTGTACAAGGGTGAGTTCAAATCAGATTCTTTGACTGCCAAGATTCTTTCCTTTACGTACAGGTATGTTCCTTGACCTATCCTGATCGTTATCAATAATCGGTATTACGCAGCCCGCACTCTCTCTTTTCTTTGAGAGACTAATGCACAACTACGTTTTTTATACAACAGACTTCTCGAAGGATAATCGGGTTTACAAAGCGCACAAACTAAGTAGGAAGAATCTGATTGTCGACAAAGTACTTCATCATTTTATAGTCACGAAACACCTGGTCACGCAACAATTAATGGTAACGTTGTTCTCGGTGACGTGCTTCCTTGGCAAGCCACGAATTGTTACAAGTTCACATGCGTTAGAAACCAGTGATCAAGAGTTTCATTTTTTATCGCTGTAATTGTTAAAAGCTGCTGCGAATGGCGGCTGGTAGGAGATTAATTGCAACCCGCTGCTGCACCCCATTTTACTGGATTGCCTGACGGAAGATTGGGTGTCACGCGCCTTTCGTGTCATACACGATGGGCAATAGGGAGTAAATGGGGAGAAACATCAGCACATTCGAACGATGGAATAAGTCAAGAAGTTAACAAAATTTGGACACTTAACCTTTTTTTTATTTCTTGTCATTGACCTTGTGTAAGACTAAACAGACACACATCTAAATACAAAATTAAGGTTATAATCCAATCTCGCATGCACTTTTTCAACAAGAAGAATACCCATGATCTTATCGCTTTAAGTAAATAAGCATAATAGGCAATTGCTTTATAGCTATTGCTTACTACTGCTTTTACTATGCCAGCTCAAGATCAACTACCATTGTAACATTTTTGAGATGTGTTGTCTGATTGCCGTTGGTCCACGTTGAAAAATTTACGAAAATCAGACAAAAGGGGCTTCCTTATTTTTTGAAACTGGTTATCTACGAATCATATTTATATATTGTCTACTTCTTTAACCCTTTAAAGAAACATCTCTGCTTAAGATAAAGTCGCAAAAACCTAGCGAAGAGCTCTTGAAATTTCAAATTGAAATTTTTCAAATTTCTAATTAGATACTAGGACCAGAACTCCTAGGTCACGGGCACAGCTTAAAGTGTTGAAAGTCAGTACACTTCACGGGATTATGTCTCATAGAACATAAAAATTTGGAGAAATTAACACGAAAATTGTAAGTTTTTTTCCTCATATGACAGTTCTTGCTCCCGAAACGCGTGGTTTTCTGTTTGGGAGCAAGTCTGAAGAGTTCCCTATCATTCATTTGGTTTTATGTACATAAATTTGGTTCAGCCATTTTACAGCTAACATTACCTTCGCTCTAGTCTATTCATGAGTCTCCACCGAAGGTCCTTTCCACATAAATTGCCAACTATTTTCTTATTTTCTTGTGCCTGACAAACATAATTGGCTTTCCGTTTACAACACAATAAATTTTACGGCTCTCCTTTAAGATACTTAAGTTTGTGTAGTGTAGTCCGCCTCGCGAGCGAAAAAAAATACGGTACTTTGAGAAAACTAGCTTTCCGGCGTCAAGTGTTTTAGTGGCGTTGGCCTTTATATACTCCCATCAAAAATTATCTCATATCGCACAGCTACTGCAAGGATTGATTTTATCCCCCTCCCTAAATTCATATAACTTATTGTCAGTAAATGTTCATAAGATGCCGTATATGGAGCCGACTCTCCGCACAACCTCACACACCAATTGCTTCACCTTAGTGTCGGCGCCGGTAGAAATAAGGCATGTCACAGCGGGAAAAACCGCTGGTAGAACGGCTTTGAACTGCAGCGTAGGTAAACTAAGAAGCAGCTCTAGCATGGTTATAACCAGATTTGTCCAAATGTTTACTTGAAGCAGTTCGTCTTCTTTTCGCTTCAAGAATTGTCTTTCAAGTTCTATCATGCGGATGTCTTCCTCTAGGAGTTGTTGATAATGTTTCGATTTGGGATCACGAGGGAATTTCTCCGAGGAGGAGGAGGAGGAGGAGAGTTTCCACTTTCCGAGGGGAGAGTGCAACGGTTCATCCGGATAACCATTGCTCCAACTGGAGATATCACGAGCATGCGCAGGGGAAGATGTTGACGAGAATGAGATACTTCTCTCCAGATCAACCTCGAATGACATGTTGCTTTGAGCTTCGCTCTTATACTGATTGTACAGACGCACATACACGCTGCTCAATTGATCACAAGCCTCGTTTAAGCGCCTCACAATCCAATCTACGTTGCGATCTCCCTTGAGCAAGTCATTGTGGCGCGCGGGGCTATTCCCTGCCTCCTCTTTGATGCCATCGTCTTCTTTATCCTGCTGGTTGTTTGTGACCCGGTCTCCCGTCAGAATGCGCTTAATATGAGAGCTGGAGAAGTGCTCTCCACTGTGTCTACAAATTTGGAATAGAGTGTGGAGGTAACACGTGAATGCTGTCGTAGATTGCCGCAGGAGGTTTGCGGGCGCGTCAAGCTTGGCTAGCTTTTGAATTAACGACCTTAAACCAGGTCGCGCGTTGAACTCGTAGGCCACTGTGTGAGACTCCATGAGGCAATCAAATAACACTGATAAATTAGCCGGTGAGAGGTACGAAAGGAGACCAGGAAGATTCGCTTCGGAGCTCTCATTACTGAAACCTTCCAGAGAGGCAGGAGGGTTGACTGGGTTCGAACTTTGTGCCATGACGCTCTCCGCATTGTCGAGGAGAATGGAACCAAGAGTTTGCAGCAAGAGCTGATGGGAAAGCAAACTCACCAACAAACCGCGAAGAGGGACCCTGGGAACAATTAAAGTACAATGCCACAACAGTTACTTTTACATGACAACTCAAACTCTAATCTGACAGCATATTAAAAAAAAAATCATGATTCCTTTACAGTGAAGACATTATATTCAAACTGAGTAATGCTTTGTAGCTCGAATGTTTCCATGAACGAAGAGAATTTAACGGAGGATCATTGCAACATACAAAGTATGTTTCATCCATAAAGGTAAAATTTTGTTTAAACAAGATCGTTCATTCTCTCACCTATCTGCATTCTCAGGTTTTTCTTTATTTTCCACTGATGACAACACAAATACATAAGACCGCTGATCATCTTCCTCGTTCGCAGGCCTAGGCGTTTCCTGTTTATGGTTGGCAGACTTATCAACTTGATTGTCCAGTAGGAACACCTAACGAAGGAAATAAAACGAGGAAAAAAAATTTCAACAATTATTAGTAGATGTCCCTCTTCCTCAGAAGATTCCTTTTGCTCAGAAGATCTGCACCTTGGGAAAGAGGGCCGGTACAAAAAGTGAAAAACTGGCAAGAATTTAGACCTGAATCATTTCAGAGACGATATTTCTCAATTATAGTTAGACATAACTTATCTTGTCTCCCGGCGATGATGCGAATTTCATCTGGCGTGCTGCTGTAATGATTTGGTGAGAACAAATAGAAATTCGCAATATTTGCAAGATTGGTTTTGCCCTATTAAGTGTGTGAATAAGAAACCACGCGCTACCCTTTCAACCAATCAGATTCAAAAAGCAAAACTAGTCGCGACTTGGTCACTCGCGCTTTCCCGCGCTTGAGGCAGTTAACTTGTTTTCACTTCGAGTCCTCATTGACTTCTTGTGATATTTCCCATTCTTCTGATAAACCACTGCGGTTACTTTGATTTTAGTTTTACGACACTCAGTACGCTATGGTAGTGCTCCTCATAGCTTATTCCTCTCTTAAATCTTACTTGCTCTGCCACTTGCTGCAGTCGAATCATATCTGCTGTTATAACATCTCGCCGTGCAACAACCCTGACCGTCATTCCCTCGTCGCCATTTACGCTGAATGACCCTGGTTGGAAGCACGCAACCATGTCCCTCAGGTTTGACAGGGTCGTATGTACCGCCTCTCTAAGCCCCTCACTAACAATGAGCCATAGGTCCTCTGTAAAGACTGGTCCTCCCGAAAGTAATAGGTGCCTGAAAGGTCATAGAAGAAAGGAAACATTAGGCTGGTGTAATTGTGACTTGTCCTGGTGAAAAGTTTCGTGACAATTTCCCTCTGCTAAAAATTCGACGATATATAGAATAACAAGTGGAGAGGCATGAACTGATTGATTTTAAAAAACAGAGCTCTTTATTACTTTCACGATCATATTAGGAATGTACTGGGTATTTTACAATACGATCAAACATTTTACTTGACATGAAGCCATGCGTCTGCTCAGTAAGAGATCACAGATAACGTAAATTGTGGTAAGAACAAGAAAGTGGCACACCAAGTGCAGCAATAGATCATAGGTATGAACCAATCAAAAGAAGTGTACAGTTTTGTTGCAAAAGCTCAAACGCGAAATCGTCCGATAAATAAAAGCGGTATCTTAAAGGTACATTACCTGAGACAAGAACACCCAAGCCTGGCAATTCCTTCCACAGGTTGGGAAACACACTCCAACAGTAGATCCAAAGTTTGTTTAATCATTCCAGGAACGCACTCAGCAGCTCCTAAAATACATAAGCAATACTGGATTTGAATAGACTATTGGAACGGTCATTTTCGCTGGTTACAGTAAGATTTTGAAAATTCGGGTTGCTGAAATGAGAGCATTGATTTTGGAAAAATAGAATTTAGCAGATGGGAAATAGTTGGATTTTTTTCTCACACCTTTTAAAGTGATAGCTAAAGCACACCTTTAGTCTCTGTCATTTTGAGAACTCTTTACTGCACCGTGCGAGGTGTTCGATTTGCGTCCTATAAGTAGGGTTAGGTTGTGCCGGGTTAAATTTCACAAAGGTGCAGCTAGCCAACTGAGCCCTTTTCTTCTCCTAAGTCATCACGTGTTCTGAATTTGTTTGCTACAGTGTTTGCTATAACAACTTTAATTAAGTTACCTTGGACGCTTAAGAATTGACCAAGTTCCTCCACCACAAGTTCAGTCACGAGACCGCATGCTTGCTTGAAATTTGCCGCTGTATTCTCCCAATAGCTTCCATCCCTGTTTCCTCGCTCAACCCAGGACTCAAGCACTGGGAGTAGGAGATTCGTGACTACATAGATAGAGAAGTGAGGGCCTGGTACTGTGGTGATCGAGCGCAAAATATCAAACAAGACTTCTAAAGTTTGGGGCTGAAATTTACAGGGGCATTGAGCGACTACCTTAGTGAGCCCCTCTAATAATAGGAACCAAACGCGTAGAACTCCAGTGTCGTCGATTGAAGCAATTGAAGCTGCCGACGTCATAGTTGGGATTGGATTCTTCTCTTTCCGGTTGTTAGAATCGTTTTGTTTTATAGGACTTAGAGAAGGACTGGGAGTGCCTGGAAATTCCGAAGAATATTCCACCAAACGAATTGCGTGTGATCCATGGAAGACTAAACTTGAAGGCATGATATAAATGGAAGCCAACTTCTTTGACATGTTCAGCAGGAATTCCAAAGCTGGAGGACACATCTCGTTGACTATCTCTGAGTCACTCTTCCCGTTGTTATCGGAATCACTTCGACCACCTTCATAGTTGCCATCGGCTTCAGAACCACGTACGAGGAGGAGAAGTATTTGGATACACTGCACGGCAGCGGATGCGAACACCGACGAGTTCTTGTTTGTTAAGAAAGCCGAGAGAATGTCAAGGATTTGATGATGCTTGCGTTCTGGGTCTGAGTCGTTCGAAGCCTTACAAGAAACTTCTGGCATCTTTCTCAAGGAAGAAAATATTGGCCTCCAGCCAGACTTGATGCTGGTCATATGAGTTTCCACTAGTTGAGAAAGGGTTGCTAATATCTGGTGAGAATATAAAAATTCTTTAGATACTTGGATTTAAAGTCGAGAAACTGTGGTTTATGCATCTGTTTAGAGCAAAAATAATGTAACCATTACACAAGTAAGAGCAATTTTCAATTAAGTATCGAGAGCAACCCGGCATAGCTTTAGTTTTACTCAACTTTGCTCTGTGACTGATCAAAAAAATTCACGCCATTCTCGCAACCAATCAGAAGCAAATCTTAAAACAATCCCGACTTTTTCATTCGCGTTTTCCCGCACCTTAGGCAGTTTTCTTGTTTTCACTTTGAAGTCTCATTGGCTAATGACAACGTAAACCGTTGTTCTGATTGATCGTCGGAATTAATTTTGTTTGCTCAATTAAAAACTGCTCTATCATACTTACTTGTTCTTGATCGTCTAAACTGCATGACGTCGAAGACAGGATGCCGTCAAATGGTCTCAAAAGGGACTCGTGGAACCAGAAATGAGGGAGTTCAGTGCGGTTGCTCAAAAGCTCCGTCATGATGTCATGAAGAGACGTAATTGCAAGCTTGGAAATGTGCCTGTCCTTGTGAGTCGCTGCCTGTAGAGATGAATAATGAAAGTAAAGCGACAAACTGAAGGAAGCTCACAGTAATCCAGATCTTCAGTCAAGCCAAAATTTGTTGCGTTAGGGAGCTTGACGCGGTTTTAGTATCATTAAGATACTTAGGAAAATTCTTCCCGCAGGTACGGATAGGATACTAGTCTATTGCAGTAGACGCATGCGGGCTATACTTACCTAAAGAGGAAATACCATGACCTCACCAAGATACTATTAAAGAATTAACACAATCCGGAGTCCAGCTTATAGAAACTTAACCTTCTACATCCTGACGAGTGGCTTGCTTCAGTATCTTGAGTGTTACAAATGGGACGTTTTTGAGAAATGATATCATTTTCTTAATAATTAAAGAGCAGTACGTAACCAAATTGATACATGCACACCATGTTATTCACAAAGAAGTAGGCTATATGCAATACTATATTTTCGTGGTAAAGAGAGTAATTTGTTTCGTCGCGACAGCAAAACTACGCTTTCTTCCACTCGTCCCCCCTTTCCAAGCATACATAGTGTTTGAAATATTAGGCAATACTAGGCAAAAAACAAAAAAAACAACAACAACAACAAATCTAGTGGTCATTCGGCCATTCTCCTATTTTTGCGCACTAACCTCCTCAAAATGGGGTGCTATCACCGCCCATGCTCTCATGAGATGCAACAGTGGTCTGCTAGTATTGCGGGCGCTCCTGAGTATCACATCCGCCAGTCGATACAGATGAAGAGTTGTGCTCAAAGATGGCGATTGGCCATTCGAAGCAACGGGTGCTCCCCCTCCGGGTGAATTTGAACTTTTTTCCACCACTGAACCAAACAGCTGAGTCTTGGAAGCAGAGACCAAAGCTTCTAGGAAAGACAAAAGCCCTTCTAGGTGCAACGTATTGGCAGCGTGCTCAAAAAGACGATCTACCGCGGCTGAGAGAGCATAAATGGCGCGGGAGGCGTCCGCGGGAGTTAGCAGTCCGCCGTTGGAGGGTGCGTGTTCCGAACCGTTTTCGGAACTTTGTGGAATTACACTAGAACCATTCGGAGAGAGTTCTCCAGAGAGGTAGTCTGAAATGCTTGAAGATTCTGACATGGGCGAGGGTATGTCGGGGTTTATTCGGAGAGAGTTCGGCGGAATTGTGTGTGACGAAAAGTCTCCAATGCCGTTACTGAAATGCATGCGTTCCAGTTGCGATATGTACGTACAGCATCTATAGAAACAAAGCTGTGGTTAATTCTATTTGTTTATGTGCAATAATCATCCATTGCTAATGACAGATGTTATCTGCGTTGTCAAAAATAAACTATTGGAACAAAAATTGAAAGGGTATGTGCTAGTGTTGGTCTTAAATTGTAAACGTTTCCAGAAACACCTTGCAAAAGGATTAAAGCATTGTGAGAGTTTCTCAAAGTGTTTTCAAGTACCTGAACACGTGTTTCCAACACTTTGGCGCATGACTGCCCAGTTCTACTCCAACAGCCAGCAGTCCATCCATACTTAAGACATGCGCGGCGTGTAGCTTGATAGTTCCTGGTGAAGAATGTGACCTTGTTCTTTTTGCTTCCAGACCCTCTCCTCCACAAGAGGCATTTGCTAACTGGGCTAGAACCAGTTCACAACGAGTTTGGATTCCCAGCGTGCAGCACAGACGTGCTGCTCGGCGCAGGCCATCCAGGCTGAGGCAGATGGTGTCCCTCTCACGATTTAGATCCCTCTTGGATTCACCTCCAAGCATTGCGGCAACGCTATTTGCAGTACCTACGATTTTAACACGGAAAGGTTGTACATTTGTATATTTGCATTTGTAGTGGCTTGGTAAACTGACGCTTTACTCTGTTTCCATGACAGCATCATTTATTATTCACTACTTATATCACTCTTTCTCAAAGAATAGACTGAAATCGATCAGTTTGAATCCTTCAAGAAAGGTTTTAGTTTCTTATTCAACGTTATTAAGTAATGCCCCAAACACAATGACAGCAATAACGACTTTCAATATCAAATCATCACTACTGTGGTTGAATAGAAGTTCAGTTTTCCTTGTTTACCACTGTGGAAGGACCATATAGAATACTGTCACTGGAATATAGCTATATCTCTTTGCCACTGGGAAAGAGGTTTGAGGAAAAAAAACTGGCACAGTACACGGGCTTTGAATGTGAGCTTCGTAACTCGCACCTCAACACCTCCAAATTATCAACTACAACTTGTGTCTAGGAAAGTGTTTTTCTTTTAAACGTGAAAGGTCGTGCGTGTTATACATGACCCTCTGGCTTGGATGTAAGGGCAACTTTGTCCCACGTCATGATATTAATTAATAAACTGATTCGATTTGATTAATTAATTGATAATGGAAGGATGCAGGTCACAAACCTGAGGTGGAAGTCTCTAAAGGTGCCGACAGAATCTCCAACACTGAGTCCCACGTAGCCAGCAGCAGTCTCCGAGCAAATTTCATCCCTTCTCTCTTGGCAGGCGGCAGGGTGCTTGGGGTCTTGTGGTGAAGGAAGGGACTGTCTTCCTCGTCAGACAACATGTTGTCATTTAGCGTGTTGATCAAAGCACGGTTGCCATCCGGTGAATCCAGTGTGAAACCGGCTTTTCCTAATATGTTATAGGTGGTAACCAGGCGGTACAGCTCAGCCAGCCAGACCGAGGAGAGACCGATAGGCATGCCGCTGTTCAGAATATTATCGATGAAGTCGTCCTTAAATGTCAAGAGAAAATTGCAAGAATTAGCTCATTGAGTAGTTGTGGTACTTGATTGGTTCACCGAGACAAACAGAAATTCCTGAACTAAACGAACTTCCCTCTGTCTTGTCTTGCACCTTGGCCACGCACACGGACGAAGACAAAATCCTCTAGTATTTTGAATCCCTCGTTCATCGTTCATCCCTCGGTCTCTTGAACCCCCCCCCCTTTGTTGTTTGAGCCATATTTGGTTAATCACCAGAGAGAGGGGTGGGGGGGGGAGAGTGAGGAGGTAGCATTAAATGGCTCCCTTTGTGCCTATACAAGCACATTTACTTTGAATTTATCTTTCTTTGTGTCCTTCACAGCTATCTTCTTAAGCGATGCTTTCAAAATCCTAACAATTAGATCAAGTTGATGGTTCTATAGATTTGCGTAAATTTCCCACGTCTCGAAGAAGACATTATGGAATTTCACAGATTTATTCCTCAAAATGTAACTCTTTCTTGTCAACGTGAAAGCTGTTTCTGACGATTATTTTTCATGGAACCCTGAAACTGAAGGAATCCTGCAAGCATTAAGAATATGGCTGTTTTCTTTCTTACCTGTGCTAATCCTGGCGTTGGTTGCTTCTTCTGATAGTAACCACTCTTTAACAGTTTTAAATTCAGTGTCAACGTAGCGTATACGGTAACATAAACACCATCTGCGTTAAGAATAGGAAAACTAGGATCCGAAGTCGCTCCTTCTCCCGACTTTTCATCGACCAAATCCGATCGTCCACGAAGTGTACCGAAGTTTGGAACGTTCTTTCGCTTGAGTGCCATGCAGGTAACCGCTTCGCAGACATCGGAAGCGAATTGCTGCAAGGCCTCGTCAACAGCTACTGGATCAGACAGACCTAACACAGATGGAAGAATGCCAAGCAAACAACGAGCGAAGTTCCGTGCACCTTCTTTCTCGTTTTCCTCAACACTCTTCTTGACATCTCTTACTTTCTTTTTATCCGGTGACTTGACCGACGAGGAGTTTTCGTTTCCTTTCTTAACATAAACACCGTTGATTTTTACGCCTTGTGATGAATTTTTCTTGAGCGTGTTAGTGGTCGACGGATTAGGTTCGTCTATACTCTGGCTTTTCAGTAGAATTCCCTTCGGCTTATCACCGTTGCCATTCTGTAGTCTACGATCGTATTCCGAAGTCGAACGCGTTCTCCGAAGTGTCGGCCGAGAGCCTTTTGTTGGCGATCGGTCTTTTTCTCTTTCTCTCTCCTCCCTCAAAGCCTTTTCTCTTGCTTCTATTTTATTTGCTTTGGATTCAACATATTTTCTGTGTGTCGGTGATGTTTGTTCCAAGGGTTTTTTGTTCATTGGCTCGACTGTTTTCCCATCATTTGATAAACGCCTTAGGCCGGGCTTAGCATTGAATGACGAATCACTGGAAGACTGCGTGCGTGGCCTCGGTATCCCACCTCTAATGTTACGTTTTTGTTGACTGCTTTTCCTTTTCTCATTATCAGCTGAAGAAATTTCAAAGTTGTCAGTAGTAAGCGCCGCCCAAGAATTTGATTTTCTCAAGGGAAACCGCTGTAAATTAGAAGTGGAACTCTTACTAACTGAAATTTCATTGTCAGAGAAGCATCTTCGTAAAGCAAACTTGCCCACTCTTATAGAGCTGTTTTGCGCATCTGATGCCAAAAGGTTTGTTTTTCTTTCCTGCAGTGCGCCATTATCGGAACCAGCGCGTTCCCGTTGATGCGCATGCCCATTCATGGTTCGTTTTTGCACGGTCGGTTTCTGTCGCGTTTTACTATCAAAAGATGAGGATCGTTTCACAATTGTGCGCATGTTACCTTGGGGACTGGAACCAACTCTTTTAGGGAGGCTGCTCTTACGAGGAATCCCTGATCGCGATGCATTACTAAACCGTGAGTTTTTGATATTCTCGAATTCGTGTGTTTCAAACATGGCGATTTCGTCTTCGGAGGCGAAGTGGACGCTCTTAGGAGTAAGGGGTCTGATTTCAGGTTCTTCATCTGAAACTTAGGAAATTTAAGCTTATTTGTTAACATGTAATATTTTACGTCTTCAGCTGCCCTCAGATTAGAGATGAAATCATACATGAGCGTGCTGTGTATGACATCCTATCAGTGGCACCTCCTCCAACCTCATTCTCCTCCACAGCCGTTGTCATACACATCGTCTCGCAAATCGTTTTCGATTGTGTCGAGACCAAACAACGGCTGTCAAGGAGACTACTGATCGAGCTCCCAAATACATGAAAGAGACCAGACTACCGCATTTAGAATTGTTTCCTTCGGTTTTCTTTCGAACAGGATGTAATGTTCGAGCAGAACCGTTTTCATTGGTTTTCCTTCGAACAGGATGCGAATTCGTGTTTCTCAACTTTGGTTTGATTTAAATTTTAAATTGTTGAACATCAATGATTACGCTAACCCTGGATAAACCTAGCCATTTTTTCGAATATCTCGGCCGAAATGTAAAGAAATGTCCTGAAATTAGAAAAAAAAAACCTCTCAAGTGGCTCACCATCATTCCTGAGTTCTCCATCCGTAAGGCTGTCCCAGGCCCCTCCGTTTTCCTCAAACCGCTCGGTTAGAGATTCGATATCCCCGTCCGGAGATCTCTGGGAATTAATTTCCCATCGGTTACCACGTCTATAGGCACTCCTTTCTCCATTTACTTTTCCATTAAGAGAATTTCCTGTTTCCCGTGCAGAAGCGGCATTATCGTATTGCTCCTTGAGTAACTCCCAATTATCAGTTTCTTTCATTTTACTTAAAAATTCAATGTGTTCGTCACTCAAGCCTCGTCCTTGACTCAAGTCCTCTAAGGACCCCAGCAACGCTACCACGCATGCTACACTACAGCTGGCCACTGTACTGTCGGTGCAGCGAGCGGATTCCACAATGCCATCCATTAAACTAAGAAAAAATTGAATACATTGCTTAGCGTTTTCTTTGAAAGAAGTTAACCTTTCTTAGTAATCATAAATAAACTATCATTCCCAATTTCATTCACCCTGGAGAGAGTGAATAAAGAGCCAATTTACGTGTCACGGTAAAACGGCTAATTTAGTCCATGAATGTACTGATTTGTCACAAGAGGCTTAGCATGGATTGTTCGAGTGCATAAATTAGATTGCCTCAACCGTTAAAGACAACGACCATCTGCTTGTTTCCCTTTATCATTTGAAGCTCGAAAGCTATAGCTGCACAAAATTTCCCTCAGTGTTAACAGTAATGATGCTAAAAAAACCAAATAAATTGACATTTAGCAGTGGCACCCGTAAGAAGTAGCTGTTGGTCCACTTTTTTTCCATGCCCAAATTAGAATTTGGATTTTAAACGTTAACGTTTGTTTTCAATCTCTGATCTCAAATGAAACATTGTTCTTTGGAATAATCAGAAATTGCTCTATCAAACACTTACAGTCGCAGCAAATCCAGTTCCGTTTTCTTCTGCTCAGTCGGTGAGTCTGGTGACGGGGGATTGTCTTTGTCGATAATCGTTGGACCAGCGGCATCCAGCAGCCGTTGAGGACTGGAAAGGAACTGGAGATGAAAAGGAAATTAGATTTGATATTCAAAAATTCCGTAGTACCTTCACATTTGCTACGCGCAAGTGAACTAAGAGGGGAATGGTAGAGGGAGAGTGGTTCGTCTCGAGACTGAATAAATTATGTGCCGCTCGCGCTTTGAGACTTATCACACTTGTGACTAACAGGAGCCAAGAACCTTTGCGGCTTCTTCATCTCAAGGACATGATGCGAATTGATATGAGAAAGAGGAAAAATTAATTAACTCTTTAACCCCCAAGATCTCATTAGTAATTCTCCTTATTGTCTGCCATACAGTTCTTGTGATATTAGGTTGAAGAATTTGGTATTGAATCAGCTTTTAATCCCCTAACAGATTTTTTTCTACACTCTCATCACCTGTCTGCTTGATATTTCATTGATATTGTAAGGAGAAATTCTGTCTTGGTCACTTATGACCAACTTATGGGAGTTAAAGGGTTAAAGGAACGAGGATTTTTTTTAGGAAGAGTCTGTTCCATTAGGGTTAACGCAAAACCAATCTTCACTTAATAGCCCGCATGCTCGAGGCGGCACACATATGACGTACGTCCTCTTCTTAAATTGTCAACTTTGCCATAATAGCCAGGTATGATCTCACAAACTAATTCACTTTACCTCCTTCAATGCTTTCAGTGCCTCTGCTCTCTGCTGAGCTGGAGGATACAGAATGATGCGATGAAACAGCGACTCCAACACAGGCCTCATGGCGGCTAAAGGACCCACAAGGCGTAGGAGCTCTGTGGCTATGTTGTAAATGGTCCTTGGTATGGGTCCCACAACCGACGACGACTTGGCAAAGTTCCCCGTTCCACGCCCTCCTCGGTTGATTTCCTCAGGGAAAGGAGTCACAGTTTTTGGTCGTTTGTTCAGGTCGGTAAGAGGGCTCCCCAACAACTGAATCAGGGCGGGGCATAGGAGTTGCCTGAAACGTGAAGAAAAAATGTGTGAGACTTAAGTCATGTAGGACGTATAGCAATCAGGAAAAAGATGCTATCCATGCATGAGGTAGTACTTCACTCGAGAGAATTTGTGCTTCGGAATTTTAGTGGATATCCAATCCCTTTTCCCTTGCAATTGTCAATCATCCTTACTACTTGCTAGGTTCCTGTGAATATGGCCATGATCCTGTGATCTAAATTTCGAAGGGAAAATTTTTGAAATAAGGTAGGAAAAGACTGTCCATTTGTCAGCTTTAAGTATTTATGAACTCACCAGATAACGTTTATAAACTCTTTTTCCTGTTGTAAGGCTGTGGATAGACTGCTAAGCATAACCAAGATGGCTTCCAGGTACAATGGAATGGCCTGGCCGCCTTGCACCGGTACGCTGTGGAAAAAAAGGACACAGGTAAGTATGTAATCGTATGTCCCACGATGCAGTCATTTTCAATGTGAATCGCGACGTTTCGACTGCATACAACGCTAAGTCTTTTTCAGGTGATGAAGAAAACTTGTTTGGTTGAGAATCGCTAACGAGATTTCCAAAGAAGCAAAGGAGAGTTGAATTGTGTTAAAATCGACTTCAAAAGAATGAAGGCATCGATCAATTGTGAGAAGATTGTCGAGATGAACTTCAAATAACACTTGCTGAAGATATTCTTAAAGTGTCTATGCAAACATGTCGCCAGTAAAATTATTCAGCGTTTTCCGAACAAAACCACAAAACATCCTCAGATTTTCACAGAAAACCCCAATAGTTACCAAAATCTCAAAGATGAACCGATACCTGAAAAAAGACAATGCTTTCGAAATCTTTAAACGTCACCACCTCAGAGAGTATTCTTAAGATTGTGCGACGATCTTTAAAGGTGCAAATAAACGAATCTTTTCAGGTGTATTTGGAAGCTGTTTCCGCCATCATTTCACGATTTAGAGCCATTTTTAGATGTAAAACAAGGCCTTTCAATATCAAAGTTAATCTGCTTTACTTTTCTTGGTACTTATAATTGTTAAAGTAAGTACTTCTCTCCGTTTCTTAGTTAAGCAGCCCATCCAAGAAACCTGAAGCGCATTTTTTATGCACTCTGTCATTTTCACGGGTATTTAAAATCTTAAGGGCAACGAAAGGCGAAAAGATTGCGAAAAGAACCAAGATTTCTCGGTTACTTGATCACATCATTTTGGGCTGCTCGTTAACTGTATTAAGTGTCTCATGGTGATATTTACAAGCTAGAATTCATCAGTGATGGAATATTCGATAAACTATCAACAACACGTGTCTTCAAGTATTATCTCCGTCAATAATCCCATGCTGTGTAGGGCAAAACAAGAAAGAACTGGATGAAATTCCTCATATAAGCCTTTTAACAAGACCCACGAGGTAATAAAAATGAAAATTTGTGCCTACTTTGTCAGTGCAACTGTTATATCCGCATTTTCACCGTTTTCTAACGAAAAAAATTTATCTGATGGTAATAACTTGAAACACGCACAAACGAAATAGTTTTAAAATATTGTTTTTGCTTCTTATTTGTGTTACGCCCAAATAATTTGTATGTAGACAAAACAACAAGTAAAATAACTTGGTTTTTAGGAAGCTGTTACAAACTGCTGCATTTTAAGACCAGAGTCGTGCGTTCAAAAACCACGAATCGTGCTATTTTAAGAGCTAAAATTTTAATGTTCTCTACGGGAGAATAACACTGGCTCTTTGTAGGGTGCATGGAGGACAAGTGATTTTCTTTTAAATTAGAAAGATTCTGTGCCTAAGAAAAACAAATTAAGTTGGATAAATATTGGATGTTTTATTTCAAAGAGAACTAAAGAGGCAAGAAAAGTTTCATTAAAAATTTTTAATTTTCACTGCAGATTCTTTGACACGATGCAGTCTTACTTTAGAAATTCCGAAGCGAATATCGTAATTCCCAACTGTGATTTAAGAAACTTATAAAAAAGATTAGAAAATAGCTACTACAAATTTTACTTTGTATGCCAAGGGAAAATCGACTCTGTAGCCTAATTATAGTGCTTTTTGGTTTTCATTTGAAAGTTCCCACACTTGACCCCTTTGCACTGATTTTAAGGGATATGAAACCACATCACTTCTTTGGATATCATGGGGGTTAAAAGTATTCTATTTGTTTTTGTGTAATTTTATCCGGGGATCAGTTCTTCTTGACCTGTAAAGGGAAAATCTCCTTACCTAGGTCCTGCGGTCAGTCGGAAGCAAAAGTGTTTCAGTAACAGCACCACATCTTGGCTCAACAACTTGGCATGGTCCGTGGAAAAAAGATTCGTGTCTGCACGTAAAAAGTTAAAGATAAGCAGGTTACCCGGGTCCCTGTCGATTTACGCCAGCTGCAGCTAAAGACATGCGCAATTGAATAATTCTAACGTGGTTCGAGTTTCTTTTTTTTTGAAACCCTTTGCTACTAAAGAGTGACCAGCACTTGATTTCTTTAAACTGCATCACTGCCGAATCAAACGCTTACGTCATTATAATAAAGGAACTGATCACCAACTTACTTGTTTGATTCTCTTTATGATAGGAAATGTTACGGAGAGGAATATGATGTTCCGTATAAACAAGTGAATAGTTTAGAAACTTAAAGTTTTGTTTAGCCATTTATGGTAGAACAATTATCATGACTTACGTTTGATGATCTTGGAGTCCGACGAGGAAGTTTTGGATGTCTAAAAAAGATTTATAATACACTGTTATACGCATTCTATGTCCTCCTTCCAAATGGGATGTTAGCCCACAACAGGAACCTCAGGATTTTCGCAGGTTACCTTGGGTTACCGTTTTCAGAAACTATTTATATTTCTGGGTAGAAAAAGTCACCGTGAGACTTAATTGTCTTGCCTAAGAACTTAGCTCAGTTACCCGGCCAGGGGTTGAACCCAGATCTCTAAATCCGAAGCCCAGTCTAGTTGAATAGTTACTAACCGCGGCACCTTTGCACCTTTCCACAGTTAGTTTAGTTTAACCGCCCTAAATTTCACCTGAGCATTCCATTCGGCTTTGAAATTGTCTCACTCAGTCCGGTCTACACACTACTGAAACGCAAACTTTGATGGCGATCAAAGCCTTACCAAAGGAGTTGCTATGCTGTCCTGCAGGCGATGACACACTGAGCTAAGCATCTGTGTTAGGGTAGCTCTGCAAGCTGTCTTGGTGGCGATTTGATGTGCACGGGTGTACGTCTCGATGCATATCTACGAATAGGGAGACATGAGTGAACCTGCGGTTTGGTTTAAGGTCGTGTAAGTATTGTACGCTAGAACTGTCCGTTTAAAAGTACAGACAAACCTTTTCGGAATACTAAAAGTACTTTAACCCTTTAACTCCCAAGATCTGACTGTTATTTCTATCCTCTAGCTGCTACACATTTCCTTGTATATTAGTTGTGAGAATTTGGCGTAAGATTAGGATATTAACTTCTACCTGATAATTTGGAGTATTCTCATGACCTGTTTGCTGGATAATTTAGCGATATTATAGGGAGAAGTTTCATGTTAATCACTTCTGGGAGTTAAAGAGCTAACACTTTACCTCAGCCAGTTTTATCAGATATTCTCCATGAACTTCACACGACGCGGAACAGGTTATGATCAGCAGCAGCTAATGAGGAATAACAACAGAATAAGCCCAAATCAAATGCATACTATCTGAAATAGGGAGGTTATTTTGGAAAAGGAAATGTCAAATTTTATTTGTTGTTAGATAAGCTTAACTCCAGTTGTGTTTTTCACTTCGTAAGCGTTCCGTGATTTATGAACTAAAATATCAAATCAAATCTAACGCGCAGTATTTATTTGTCAAATGCTCTTGGACTCTTCACCGTTTCTTGTTCATTCCTTTGCATGCAGGTATGAAACTATTTTACTCTGACACTCCACTAACATACTGTTGCGGAAACCATTTATGGTATAGATACGGACTGCAAGTGTCAGTTAGGAGCTTAATATATTCAGCGTAGGGGGTCGCATTTAGCGGCCAATCTGCATTTAACTACCACTGCAAAACTTTTACACATCGTAAACTTTGGTGAGTATCTGTCTCAGAGCTCGCCGAGTTTCAGGTAAGAAAAATATAGGAAAATTCTTAGAGAGTTTACCTGAATCAGAAAACGTTGACTAACCTTCATAACTTCGACCTGGACTTCGTCTGCCAGTGTAGGAGTGGACGCCACTGTTGCAAGAAACTGAACCGGAAGCTGACTTTCAGGGTCTTCTTCATTCTCCGACCGAAAGCGGTCATCAGAAATTAACCTCTGAAACGGGACCGTTGACAAACGAGTCAGAACAGTAGTCTTATAATCTATTACCAAGATCCGTCTCTTGCAGAATCCCATCGCTTCTGCCGTGGGAGATTGGACTACAATTTCAAGGTAGTTACCCCTTGATTTAAGACACACTTGATTTAAGCCGCCTTTTTAATTTGAATATAAACCCCAAAGAATTGGATTGCTTTTTCTGATGTTAAAAACAAATGCGAAGGAAATCTAAGCTAAAGGTTTTCGAGTTGGTTAAGGAATTCCCTATACTAATCGTTTTCGGTCACTTTATCATAGTTAAGTTCCATATAATCGTCCGGATGGAACAAATCGACCAAAATAATGCTCAAGTGATCGGGACGTTTAGAGAAAGTTTCAATTGAGAGAAGCAATCCGTGACTGCTTTGGGTTTTCTTAACATCGCCATGGCATTGGTCCAAAAACACGCGCCATCCTCTCAACTAATAAGATTCCAAACTAAAACCAACGCGTCTCAGTCGCTCGCGCTTCAGGATTGTTTTTTTTTTCTTTATTTTTTTTTTTTTTTAATTTTTTTTTTCACCCTCAAAATTGGTTAATAATTTGATATTTTTAACCTAAGAGTTAAAAATGCCAGGCAGCCAAATTGGGCATTGGTTCCTTTTGATATTTTTCTTGCTTCTGATGGGCAGTTGTAATTACTCAATGGTTTACGATACTCAATAGCCTGTGAGCAGGCTCTCATTATAGGTACTTCGGTGCGAGCGTTTCTTTGTCAGCGGGAACCAAGGCGAGCCGGCGACAGGTTAGTGCCAGACCCCCGGCAAACCACTCCCTGACTCGTCTTGAATCTTCCCTGTTGTTATTTGAATTTACATTTTCAAACAAGAGGATAGCTTTCTCCATAGCAGAGAGCTTTTTGCGTAGCGCTATTTACATCGACCATCATGTTATCCTATTCGATATTATCGAGTATCAGCAGTTTTTCGTTCAACAAAGTTAAACGAAAAATAAATTTTGTATTGTTCTGTCCTTGTTAGATAGGCAGAATCTATTGCATACATTCTGTCATTGCCGTTTCAGTCTTAAATTTTGGTTCCATTTACAGCACTGTGTTAGAAATTGTTGCCTTTTGTTATTTTTTCCTAAATCGATTTTCGAACTCCAGAAATACAGGTTCAAGGTACAGGTAATAACACTACGATCCACTGGTGTTAAAAACCGGGTTATTTGGATCTTTTCCTTTGACGAAATCCCTCTCATACCCATGGCGTGCGCTAAGATTTTCCTTTAACGAATATTATATTGAGTTGTAATTCCATTGTTTAGATTTGTGAGTTAGGAAAGTAGCTCTTGAACTAATTTGGTTGGCGTACAGTGGAACTAAACGGCGATTTCGATGAACAAAAGAACAAAGCTTTCGTCCTTGTTGGAGTTCACAGTAAACAGCAGGTCCTAAAACGACAGGAAAGCTTAAAATCAATTTCGGTTCTGGTATCTTACAAGAAAACCTCGTAAAGTTTACTTTAATGATTGAATTCGACCAGGTTTGTTTTCATTCGACCTCTCTCACAGTGTACCACGCGCAGCGCGACTTTTGCAGGCCGAACAAGAATATCAAAAATCAAAACAACTAGCGACAGTTTCAATTTATCAATAAATTTCATAGATTCAACCAAAGTTGCTTTTTCTAAAGTCCATTTTTCCGTCAACCTTAGTAAACAAGAACTGTTTGAAAGAGCATAACATGTCAATATAGCGACAGTTTACTGCTGATCTATTCCACGAGGACGTGATAAATTATTAATTTATGGAGTCAAAGCGAGGGGAGACGATACATTTTTCTCGAAATTTGCCACAGTTTATTTTACCTCAGGAGAAAATCATCAACACTTTGGCAAGAAAATGTAAATGAATATTTTTAATAAAAGGTTTATTTCGCAAAAGTCTCTTCTTGACTACAGAAAGTAATTAGCACGTATAAAAGTTATTTGCCTGTTTTAAAACGCGTCTTAAAAGCACTCCTTGTACGGTGTCAAAAGCTAACAGAAGCTAACATCTAATGAAAACCCATTCAAAAAATTGCTCCCTTACCTGTCGAAGAAAAACTTTCTACTCTGAGAGTATAACTGTTAATTTCTTTTATATACGTAAAAAGGACAGTTTTAAGGGAAGTTTAAAAATTATTAAAAACCAATTTACCCTCTTGTGAAGTAATTATAATTCAAGAAAAAGTGATCGCTGTAAAAAAGCTGTTTTAATGAACATTCTCTGCCTCGAAGATGGCCTTTTTTTGTACTTATTCAGTAAGTACAAACGAAAAGTGATACAGACATAGAAAGAGTGTGTTGAATCAGAATTAATCAGCTGGTTAAATAGTTGCAGGAGAGTCTGTCGTTAATATGCAGTAAGATATTGTGTGGAGAATAGCTTGAGAGGCCACGTCCTTTACGATAATTAGCTTCACATATTTCTGTGTCTACATTCGTATCGCAGTCACCGCTATTTTGTTATGGCAATTTATTGCTCACGAAAAAACGCCAAGCTTAGAGATATCGGCCATTCTAATCAAGGCGCAATTTTTAATTCGCACGCAACTGATTAATATTCGAGATGTTATTTTGCTTTGAATAATTCGGCGTTGTGATCGTAATTAAAGTACTTTTTTTTTTTTTACAGTATGGCGATTTCATTTTAAGAACGATTTGATTTTATCATCCGTAGAATTGCTTTGATTTTTAACTCCTTTCATAAAATTCGCTCATTAATTAATCAAGTCCATCCATCCATTGACCGTGCAAAATAAACGTTTCTACATAAATTGGCCGCGAAAAAAACCGCTAAGCATCCACTAACCTGCAATCCATTTACAGCGTGGAGCGAAAACTTGCTCGACCTCGACTCTAGCGCCAGTTTGAGCGGTAGAAAACACTTTTCCCTGAGAAGAAAGAAGTCAGTGATATTTACATGCAATTTGATAAAATAGTGGTATCCATTTCCTACCAGTTAAAGCCGTTTTATAGAAAAAAAAACGTCTATTCTCTGGGACTTACCGAAGCTCATGGGGCTGGAGTTTACGTGTCCCATTTCGATTGATGAAAAGCGCATCTGAAAAATCCAAAAACTCAATAAATCAGCGAGTTTTTCGTAGCGAATCGTTGGCGACTTTCTTCAAATTGCACGTAGCTTACCCGTCGCCGAAATACACGCGTCTCGTAGGTTCTTTGCTTTACTTGACGTGGCGTCGTGCGCTAAATTAGACAACACTTCCTCCATGACTCTCTAACCCATTAGACAAACTACGAAGGGGGAAACATTCAGATCTGTGGTGATTTTTCCCTCATAAACCGCAAAATCATCTCCTCAGAAGCCTTTGAAGTCACAATATTTTGATTGAGCAGGTCGTTAGCGCGTTCGTGGAACACAATTTAAACAATGGAAAAGAGAAGGGCATAACCGATGCGCCGATTACGTGCGCAGTGGTGTGTGCAGATGAATGGCTTTACTTTTGGCACCTGTGTGCTGTCCTATCAGTCACATCCTTATAAGGAAGGCGCACTCATACCCGTAACTATGGAAAGATGGTGCGGCTACGAGACTGTTGTGTGTACAACTTTGATATTTTTAGAAGCAAGTGTCCGAGTATCTTCCCGAAGGGATGCCCTGCTTCGAATCGCCCAGGATATATGAAATAGATTTCCAAACTGACCTCGTTTATTCGTCACCAACACAGCCGCGTGCCTGGAAAAACAGAGAAGTTTTGCTCGATTGAACTAATTTGTAAAGCAAATTTTCTGATGGCACGATGTCTAGATACACGTTTAATTTTATTTGCAAAACAAAGACAAGAGGAAAGATCTCATTACAACAAATGAGTGTCCATAAGGCATATCTCCGCTAAAGTAAGCTCCCTCTAGTTGGTCTTCTTAATCCCTCTTCAAGAACATGTTTGCATTAAATCAGTTTTTAATTTAGTATCAAAAGTCATACAGGTTGCTTTAGTTTGGCCATTCTTCGCTTCATGATTGGTCTATAAAATTCGCGCCACCATCTCAACCAATCAAATGTAAAACTAAAACCAATGGCGACTTGGTCCCACACGTTTTCCCGCGCCTCAAGCAGTTTGCCTGTTTTTTTGTTTTTTTTGTTTTTTTTTTTTACTTTTAGTTCTAATTGCCTAGTGATGATTCTAAACTTTAATTAATTGGCCGTTGTAATTACTTTGGTTTTGGAAACCGCTTAGTACCTAACCCTGACAAAATTTTTCTTAGTTCCTATAATAGAGGAACAACTTTATGCCAATGGTTCACACATTGATTCCCTGGTAAGTAAGTTTTTTGATTGTATTCAGGTCGGGACCGTTGAAGACCTGTTTAGGAAGACTTCCACAAGAAAATTAATTCTAATTTTCTTGAGTAAAAAAATTTTATCAAAGAACATATTTGCAAAAAAAGAAACAAAAACGAAATACCCCACATTTACAACAAATGCAGATTATTCTGGATTGAACATCACATAATTTAGGAATATATAAATATAATCATCGCAAGAAACTGTAAATTTCTGCAGAAAATGTGAATGGCACGATGCTTTTTTAACTCAGCCGCAGGTATCCTTCATTAACCATTTAACTCTCATGAAGCAATTGTTCGTTCTCCTCTTTAGCTGTTATATATTTCCATGCAAACTGGTTACGATAATTTGGCGTTAGATCAATGTAAATATATACCTGTTTGCTGGTTAATATATGGGTAATATAGGGAAAAGTTACTTGCCAATCACTCCCAGAAGTTAAAGGGTTAACACAACTTAAATACTGGCTCATGCGATTTCAAGCAAATTAACAAAGCGGAAAATTAAATTAGATGTTCTTCGTCCTCCTCCGATAAAAACTGACTGATTGTATATTTTGGCTCTAGAATAAACTTATCGCAGCTTTTTGCCTACATTAAAATTCACCAAAAAAAGCTTCTTGAGCTAATCTTTTTTTGTTACAGGATTTGTGCATTCCTTGCTTTATGGTTTACATGTACTCACTTTTGTTCAAGTCATATTCAACGTTAACTGCAAAGATAAAATGATGTAGGTTACTATACATCAGGTTGAAAACTCATCCTCATTAGAAAATTCTTAACATAATGAACATAATTTTGAATAAAGAAGGTCCGTTTGGAACAGTTGGTTTGGGCAGACTTCTCGCCATGGTGCTCCAAATTAATCGACTAAAATTTTCATAGCACTGCCATAGTACTATTTTTTCTATATATTTTGTACGATATCGAGGTTTGCTGTAATTATAACCTCGAAATAATTTCAGAACTATCGCTAAAAGTTTTTGACCTCACGTTAGGTCGAACGTCTCCGAAAAAATAAAGAACATCATCATCAACAAAATCAATAGGAAAAGTTTCATCTTGATCTTAATCAGTTGATGATTTCTCAGTGTTTGCTGAAAGCTATGACTGAGCATCAACAACTGCATGTTACTTTCAAAATGCCGGCTTAAGTGATAAAACGTATATACACCATCAGAAGGATAGCTAATGTTTTGGATTCGATGAAAGATTGTTTTCGTTGCTCAGTTCAAAGGTATAACACCTTTTATAGGTCCAGAGTGACGTCATCTCCGAGCAGAACAAATGGTGCCCACTCATTGAATCTGTACCTCTTGGAATCTCTCATCCACTTCATGGTCTGTTGAAGAGCCTCACTGGCAATCAGTTTATCGTGCTTCAGATGTCCGTAGAAACGAATCATGAACTCTTTCGTGGCTATGTCATCCACGGCCCACAGAGTAACCAGCACTGAGCGAGCTCCCGCTGCTAAAAAGGCGCGGGAGATACCCACAACTCCCTCTGATTTCATAATCTGTCCCCTACCACTGTGACAACAGCTGAGTACAACCAGCTTCGCTCGGGTACCAACTTTTGCGACATCTTCCATGGTAAGCATGAAGTCTTCCTTACTTGGAGTTCGTCTGGATGGAAAACTTGAGGCAAGAGCAATTTCCCCTCTTTCTGGATCACCATGGGCAGCAATGTGGATCAAACAGACATCTCGAATCCGTCGGAGAACCTGTTTTTTGGTGGCTTCATCTCCTATTGTAGCCGACACACCCAACAACTCTGCAATTTCCAGTGCTTCTCTTCTTGCTCCTGGCAATGACGATAACTTTGTTTGGGGGGGAACAGAGGGATTACCAACGATTAACGCCCCAGTTGCACTGTGATAGTCTTCAGGACTGTCCTGGATCATCCTCAGTGCTGTTAGTGATGGAATCAGACGGATTCGGAAGGTCTCTGACAAGAATTTGTCGTTGCCATCACATAATGCGCAAAATGGCACCATGAAATCCTCACCTTCTGGGATGATGATGATGTCTTGACGATGAACAAGATCAGCAACAGGGGCGAAAATATCATCATACCATTGGTACAAGGTAGTATCCTCCTTTCCATCCTCTTCCTCTTCTTCTTCCATGAGACGCTGCCTGCGTTTGTCTTTTTTTTCACGCGATGATTGTTTTAATCCATAGTATGCCGACAATGAGCGATCTTCACATTCAGGCACAGATTGTCCTCTCAGCAAACTCGTGAGCAAGTCAGTGGTGTCCTTTAACACTTTAGATTCCAACAACTTAAATTGAATTTCTCCACCCTTCAAAACCCAGAAATACTTTTCAAACCGATGCGTAGCCATGAAGAGGATCGTACTTCGGTTCTTGATGGAAAGTTCCCTGACAATGTTCGGAAATAATTCGTGCGAGTTGTTCCTTTGGATGCCATATTTCTTGGACAGTAAGTCGGCAAGAGCTCGAGCACGTCCACGCTCTACAGTACACAACGCCTCAGCAAATTGTTTTTGGCTGATTCGAAGCGAACATAATTCGTAATAGCTAGTGAAGGTTACGTTGTCCAAAGAAAGTTTATGTTCGTCTTGAAGTAGTTCGCGGTTCTTTTCAGCGCAAGTGATACTCTGTGAAAAGCAATCATGTGCCTTTTTTAGTTCTCCTTCCCTCTTATTAAAAATCCCTAGCAAGGTAAGAGCCTCTTGTTCTTTTCCTTTATCTCCAATTTTTCTCGTTATCTTGAGTGCCCTTTTCAGAAATTGTCTTGTTTTCTTCAGATTTCCAAACGTCGTGTGCAGGCATCCAAGATTAATCAAAGCTGTCGCTTCGCCACGTTTATCTCCAATTTCTTGCATTAGAGAAATTCCTAAATTAAAGTTTTCAACAGATTCGGTATGTCGACCACAACACATATAGCAGAACCCGAGTCCTGCGTAGATTGTGGCCTCGTTGCTTTTATCTCCAGTCTCTTTTGTTAAAGCAAGACCTTTCTTTAGATACATCTCTCCTTGTTCAGTGTTTCCTAAACAAACGAACACATCGCCAAGACCTTGGTAGGAATTTGATTCGACTCTCCTATCCCCAACCGCCTGACTGCATTTAATGGCTTCCTGATAACTTTTCATAGCTTCCGTTTTGTGGCCAATTGTGTTGTAAGACCTTCCCAGCGCGGCGAAGGCTCGACCCATTTCGAATCTACGTCCAGTTTCCACTAGGATATTTACCGCTTTAACCTGGTGTTTTATGGCATCAGCGAACTGACCGAGCGAAGTATAGCACAGGCCAAGACCGTGGTGGGCTTTGCCTAGTGCTACTTTGTCGCCAAATTTTTTCATAATTTCATGAGTTTTTTTGAAATACTCAAGTGCTTCGCTGTATTTACCGATTGCATGATAAGTAGTGCCGATGTTGTTATAGGAAACACCCACATCGACTTCTTCTCCATGTTTAATCATCAACTCAAGTGACTTGAAATGGTATTTGAGAGCCTCGCCAAAATCATCCTTCTCTTGGTAAATCATTCCCAGAGCTTGATACGAGTATCCTTCTTGTTTGCATTTGCTCATTTCTTTGAATAAGTCCAAGGACTTTCCTGGGCATCTGGTTGCTTCTGGATAATGAGCGAGGTGTTTGTGTCTGCTTCCAAGCATATCAAGTATCTGTCTTTCCATTTGTCTGTCACCAATCTCTCTGCAGATTTTCAACCCGTCATTGTAACAGTCGATGAATTTATCCGGCTTACCTAGATTGTAATAAGAATCACCCATTTCTACATAAGCTTCTATTTCTGCTCGTTTGTCCTCAGTTTCTTTGACAATTTGAAGAAGTTTTCGTAAAAAGAAAATCGACTGCACGTGTTGACCCATAAAACGGTGCATTTTATTGATGCCTCTGTATGCTTTTACTTCCCAGTCTCTATTCTGAACTTCTTCGTTGATTTTTAAAAGTCTTTCGTAGCAATCCAATGCTTCCTTAAACTCATTTACACAACCGTAAGAAAGTGCTAATTTATAATGCAACAAAATTTTAGGGTCGCTACCATGTTCGACTTTACTTCCTTTCAACAAGACTTGGGCCTCCTTGTACATATCAATAGCGTTGTGGTAAAGATGACTGTTGAAAAGAAAGTCTGCTACACTGCATGTGACGAGGAATTTCTCCATTTGGATTTATCCGAATCTGTGGAGAAGGTAAGAGAAAATTAGCCCTTCACCACACCGTGATTTCCTCAGCAGCATGAGAGTGTGACCATTTACGAGATAAAGTGAGTCCTACACGCCTTTTGATCGGTTCCTACTCATGTTCTATTAGAGGACAGATGCATGGAGGACGTCATTATTAACACATTTTTTTTTTTTATCAAATAAACGAAGCAAGTCAAAATGTAATAAGAACGTCAGTGACACACTTGGCTGCGCCTTGTTTGCCACTTTTATTTCTTACCACACGATTACGTCATCTGTGTTCTATTTCTTAGCAGATACACGGCAACATGGAATCGATTTGTCGACTTGTTAATCTAACAATGTTCACAGTAGCCAGCAGTTTATTGTCTAAACACTTAAAATGAAACACATGGGACTCCACCTCTTGTTTGTGAATAAGAGAGGACCTGGTTAAGAATTATTGCTCGTTTCTGAACATCAATCGTTTCCCTGTTTACCGTCTTTTATCTCCGTCACGAATATAGTAGTAGTCGTTTAGTAACCCTTTATTAAACCGAAACTAAAATATAGCAAGTCACAAGTGGATTATCTGATCATCTGCTTATCACTTTCTTTCCCATGATAGATGCATTATCAGCGTGGGGTTAAGATGGCTGGATATTGGCCGAACTCCACGAGACGAAGTCGAGGTCCACAAAAACGCAAAAAAAGGACGAGGCCAATACCTAGTTATCTTTATCGCAGAAGCTTGGTCACTAAAGGATTTATTTTAGAGCAAAAAGATTTCGCCTTATTAAGAATCAAGAACGACTTGTTATTTCGAGAGCCGGGATTCATGGCATATTGTGTTTGTGGCACATTAGACCACGATAATCGTTTATGTTCTCTTTGTTTTGACTGTCTTCTGCCACTTTTTTGCGACTCCATCGCCAACATTGTCCAAAAAATGTGAGCTTTGAAGGGCCGTTTCACGCAATGTTGAACTTGCGCGGGATCAAAGTGCGCAATCCCAAGTGGGCGAGATGGGCCCATCTGGCCTGCTCGGGTAGCCAATCAGAACGCAAGATTCGCCTCATATTGCCCACGGGCGCTGCTGGCGATATAGTAAATATAGGCATACATACGTCACGTCACATCACATCACGTATGCAAAGAGTCTTTGGTTTCAACCCCTGTCAAGTTTTTTTGAGACGTACTTGGTCAACATTTCTTCTCATGTGAAACTTTTTAAAATGTTATTTTTCAGACGTAGCTAAAAAGTGAATTCGAGAACTTGTTTCCGGAGCTTTGGTAAGGCAAGTTAAAGTGTATCTTCAATTGCCGACTGCAGACAACCCTGTCAAGTCACTCCCTTTTCGAACTTTTTTCCAGTGATACAGACATTGCAATTTTCTCGTAATACAATCATTGAAAACAGGTGTAACGGGATAAATGGTTTAACACGAGGATTGCAGATACTATCTTCGATTTTATGCGACTTTAACATTTTTTTCAGCGAGGGACAAATCAGTGACTCGTTATCAATAGTATTTGCGACTGACGTTCTTCCACGCGTCAACTATATTCCTTAGCGAGACGAACAGCTTCCCGAAAGGTCTCTATGGATAATAATTCTCTGATGCAATACGAAATCCTATCCTATCACAAAGGTCATTTTTCCATGTCTCATTGTTTACTTTGAAAACGCTTTTCCCTTTACTCATTGCAAAGATCATTAAAAAGTGGTACATTCACAGTACATTCACAAGGCACCGTAAATGACCAAAATGCCTCTCGCATCATCATGTCCCTCGACTGATTTTGCAAAGGTTAACAAAGGGGACAGAGAGGCCAGGGAAAATAAATTGTTTATGAATGGAAAGTTTTTGAGCCTGAAGGCTGTCCATTTTACATAGATAAAAAAGACTAACTCGATGAAATTGCAAATAGTTTTTGTAGGGCACTTCCTCTTTCCAGATCACCCTGCCCGAAGATGAAATACAGTTTTTCACCAGCGATTGTTTGACCACTGATCAATTTAAAGGGTATCTGGTGATTTCGCCAACGAGTGATTTCGCCAACGTCACGTTCGCCAACGTCTTAGGTCGCTTCGCCAAAGCCAAAAGTCGCTTCGCCAACGTCCTACTGGTCACTTCGCCAATGTATTAGTTTACTCTAAATAAAAATTTACCGTTACTTCTTCTTGCTTCTGTGTGTTATTTACTTGACTGAGCTGACTTGATTTCCCCGTTCGAACTTAGTTTCCTTTCGTTATTTTGTTCGGACTTAGTTTCCTTCTCTTGTACGCGCAACTTAAAACACAGTGGGCCCACATAAATGCACGGCACGCCACGCGTCACCGGCGCTGTATGTTGCTGAATTTAACTTAGAGCAATAAAGTCGCATGTGTGCAACCTTTTCCTTAAGTTCTTCTATAGGGTTTATTTGTCGATAACAGAGATTTATATAATTACCTTTGAGACTTCTAGAACAGAGATTTATATAAATACATTGTAGACTACTACTACTACTAATTCTATAACTCCAGCGCATATTATAACTTCGATCAAGAGTATATAAGTATTACAAGAAACACAATCAAGAAACACAAATACCAGCAATAATGTTGTTTAGGTGATGCAACTGACCCGTGAGGAAACAGCATTTTTTCTGACGCTTGTATATTACCATATGAATAGACGCGTAAACTCATTGTGTTAAAACTTGTGAATTTTACCCTATTGTTCTAAATAAACTAATCCAATTATTAACATTCATTGCCATAGAGAAGGATCAGTCCCCATTTTCTTTTTCGCGTGGCCGCTTTCTGCCGCTTTTTTATTCTGATATATTAAATCTGAAGTATAGAAGAGAAGATAATTAACAACTTTGAAAATTCATATTGGAAAAGAACACATCAATAACATTTTCTTTTTACGCTTTCTACACACACTGAATTTCTTCTGAATTTCAGATTGATTGTAAGAAAAATGACTTACTGGGTTGTTCTTTTATATCCGGGTGCTCCAGAATCTAGTCCACCTAATGCCCCAGCTCTCAGTCAGGCAGGTCACCGTCGACTTTGAGAAGGCAATTTGGTCGGCCATCAGAGAAGTGCTCCCTACTGTAAAAATTCAGGGATGTGTCTTTCACTGGACACAGGCCGTCTGGAGGAAGGTGTGTATTGCTTACTGAACTAGCGTGAAGTAAGCTGAGAATCAGAAGGTTTTGTAAATAGGTTTTGACTAAAGCATTTTTTTGAATCAGAAGGTTTTGTAAATAAGTTTTGCATTGAAAATATTTTGTGAATCAGAAGGTTTTGTAAATAGGTTTTGACTAAAACATTTTTTTGAATCAGAAGGTTTTGTAAATAAGTTTTGCATTGAAAATATTTTGTGAATCAGAAGGTTTTGTAAATAGGTTTTGACTAAAACATTTTTTTGAATCAGAAGGTTTTGTAAATAAGTTTTGCATTGAAAATATTTTGTGAATCAGAAGGTTTTGTAAATAGGTTTTCCACTAAAATATTTTGCACTTGTAAATATTTATAAAAGTACGTATTGTAATTAAAATGTTGTTGATATTATACTTGTTATATTTTATTTCTGACTCGTTTTGAAGGCTGGAAAACAAACTCTGATTGTTTCTGAAAAATTTTAACTCGTTAATTCACATCGTAACGCATTTTTCAAGTAAAATTTTGAGTTATACATTTTTGGAACACATTTGGAAGCCTTCGGAGTTTGTTATTCAACAGTTTTAAATTACCGCGATGTTAGTGCTCACACGCCGGCCTTTTCTGGATCTGTCAAAAATATGCAAATTGTTTGGAAGTCAGCCAAGCGAAACTAGCATTAATTTAAAATTGTTCTGACCCAAGCATCAGCATTACATCCGAAGCATCAGTAAGCACCCTTTTTACTAAGCTATTACTAAGTTATTACTAGATATTTGGCGTTGGCGAAGTGACCAGTAGGACGTTGGGCTAAACTTCAGAATACCCCGCAACTCATTTCCGCCTCACTTTCATGTGTCGGGAGGCTTTGAAGATCGAGGCATAACACAATAGACGCTATTCTAATTCAATGACATGTAAATGAGTTGCGGGGTATTCTGAAGTTGCTCCGGACGTTGGCCAAGCGACTCATCGCGTTGGCTAAGAGACCAAAGACGTTGGCGAACGTGACGTTGGCGAAATCACCGCAATTCATCCTTGATGTTTTTGCCGACTTCTGGTTATTGGTCTGCTGCAATCGATTTTGAAACGTTAAAATACTGCAATGAGCAAATTTCGTCGCCTACATACCTTTCAGGACCTCTTAGATGTCAGAATTATGGAGTACTTGTGTTCTTATGATGTTAAACTCGGTAATCGTTGCGAGATTTTGTTAAATGTTTCCTTCAAGATAAAACATGAACCAGAAAGCTACGCGAAGATTCTTGATCATGACTTCTCAAACTCAGTAACAATGCATGAGGTATTTAACCAATTGTGTGGCCTCATTTGGGTCACATGGATGCCCCTTGATACCCGATAAAGAACAGATCCAAACACGCGTGATTAGATATCTAAACACACGAGTTAGGTCAAGGTAGTTTAGACACTTTAACACTCTGCTCTAGACTAGGTTTCTCATATGTTAACAAGGCATCTGACCCATGTCCGGTCCTTTCTCGGAGGAGTTTTTCTTCAACGCCTGAATCGAACAACTTTGTTGCACAGTCAATTCTCAAAGAATGAGCTGTTTTCGATGAAATTCCAACCTTGCACATGTTTGGCAAGATTCCATTCAGCGTGTTAATTCCGAAGTTGTGAACACATCAGTTTTCTCGTGTTTGGAAACCCTAATGAAACACTCGCCCTCGTTTATGAAATATTACATCACCGCTCACGTGATGCTTTGAGTTACACGTGTAACACAATACGTGTCGTTTACGTCACGTTTGTTCAGATCAACCGGTTTCGTCAGTAGAATTGCAAAACAAAAAAGCACGATTATGACGTATTTGACAGTACTCTCGATTAATCTGCTTTCCTTAAACTTCCAAATTCATGGCCACTTTCGTTTAAGAATTTCATATTCTTGACCTCTTTGAGAATGATTCATTTCCTTGTTTCTGGTTATAAGACAAACATACTTTGAAAGGTTCGACGACGAAGTTATGATATGTTATGACATGTCGCACAATCTTTTTACTTGACACGATGTCTTAATGTTCTTAAAAGATATTTCGAATTGCCTTGTATTGTTTGAAACATCCCTATAGCTTACATTCGTTGAACCTCTCTTTCCTTTGAAATTCCCAGAGGGCAACACCCTTCAGGATAGCTATACACTAACAGTACAAATGGAAAAAAGTAAAACGTTGAATGGCAAATGAAAATGTCTTTTTAGTGGGCCCTTGATTACTGATGCGAAATTGGTCCAAATTCAGTTTATAAGATTTTTCGTAGTAACTTTGTTTGTTTAACTTTACCTTTACTTTACTTTGAATGATTCATGTATAAACGTACTATGTATGCTTTCGTCCATTGGCTTACACTCAGATGAACTGACTCATTGTACCGCTATTTTTTTCATCTCAATGATAGCGGAGCTCGCAGAGCGTAGTCCCATAATTATACGAAATAGTAGTAACCCACCAAGCCGAAAAAAATTTGGATGTACGACCGTACAAGGTGCTTCTTTCAACATGCATGGTCAACTGTACCGCGGGCACGCCAGCGCCACGGCTTTGTCCAGTAGTCCAGTGGTCAGTGCACTAGGCTCCGAGTCGGACGACCCGGGTTCTAGTCCTGGCCGAGACAAGGTGTTGTGCCCTTGAGACGTGCGGGAAAAAAATGCGAGCTCCGCTTTTAGGCTTGGCTAAATCTATATATTATTTTTACTCTAGTATCGATTTTATTGCAGACTCAGTTCATTCTCTTCCATCTTGATTGTAAAAACTGTCGGGCATTTTACAAGCTTTTTACACGACCTATTACACTTTTTTCTCTGATGCAAATTGTAACAACCCCAGGGAGTAGACAAACACAGTGGATATACCGGTAGTCAGGATACATTGTGTGCAAATCTTTCTCGCAATCTTCAGCTAGTTACAAAGGGCAAATACGATATGAGACGACTGTGAAACAGGCTGAACAGTATTATAAACAGTTTGATTTATTTCGTTCTTATTTATTCAAAAAGTTTTTTCGGTCAGCGGTCTTTATTACTCTACTACGTCACTAACACGAGTGGAAAATCACTAGGAAAATTATGTGCTTTCAATAAACGCCTATGTACTTTGGAACAGTTTTGAAATGTAATTGAGTTTCTCGTATGATTGTATTGCTTCATCACAAGGACTGCTAGGTAGTAAATGCAGCGTGATGTCGGCCAAATTACTTAAATTGCTAGAAATATTTTTAACCTATTTCTATAAAAAAAACTAAGTCCTTTAAAAAATTAAAATGGAAAACGTCACTTCTAGCATTCTTTGCCACAAAACGGTAATAGTCCTGAGCGAGCTATTAAAACAATTTTCTTACAACTTTGCGGATTACTGCATGCTACAAGACTATCCATATTTCTCAGCTACTTGGTTACAATTTACTAAATAGTAGAGTTCAATCAAAGTCATGACCAGTTGAAGGTTTCTCAGTGCTATCTGAACATTGTAATCTAAATATTCCTTAACTGAAACATCATCGAAGTCTTGAACAGTAGAAGGTTTCTCAGTATTAGTTGAGTTTATAAATCTAAACATTTGCCGACTAAAACATCAGTATAAAAAAATTATTTAAGGCCATCGCCAAGGTACCCCATCCATAAACATAAAAAACTATGAACCTCATAATCACTATTTTGTTGCTTACTACAACATTGTAGCATCTCTCATAAATCCAGATTGACGTCATCGTCAATCAGTCAAGTTTCAAACATAGAGCTGATAAGATCCATGTACGCGATCATTAGGATAGAAAAACTTGTGTACCCGATCAACGATTGCTTTGTGGCGCAGCTCAAAGGTATTACATCTTTCATAAGTCCAGAGTGACATCATCTCCGATCAAAACAAATGGTGCCCACTCATCGACTCTGTACCTCTTGGAGTCTCTCATCCACTTCATGGTCTGGTGAAGAGCACCACAGGCACTCAGTTTATCACACTTCAGATGTCCGTAGAAACGAATCATGGACTCTTTTGTGGCTCGGTCATCCACAGCCCAGAGGGTAACTAGCACTGAGCGAGCTCCCGCTGCCAAAAAGGCGCGAGAGATACCCACAACTCCCTCTGATGTCATAATATGTCCCTTACCACTGTGACAACAGCTAAGTATCACCAGCTTGGCTCGGATACCAACCTTTGCAACATCTTCCATGGTAAGCATGAAATCTTCCTTCTTTAGAAGAAGTCTAGATCTGAAAGGACAATTTGAGGCAAGAGCAATTTCTCCTCTTTCTGCATCACCGTGGGCAGCAATGTGAATCAAACTGACTTTCTGAATCCGTTGGAGGACCTTTTTCTTGGTAGCTTCTTCTCCTATCGTAGCTGACACGCCTAACAACTCTGCAATTTCTAATGCTTCTTTCCTGGCTCCTAGCAATGATGGCAACTTTGTTCGTGGAGGAACGGAGGGATTACCCACGATCAACGCCCCAGTTGTACTGTGATAGTCTTCAGGACTGTCCTGGATCATCCTTAGTGCTGTTAGGGATGGAATCAGGCGGATTCGGAAGGTCTCTGACAGGAATTAGCTAGCAAAAGTAATGTTATCCAGAGAAAGTTTATGTTCGTCCTGAAATAGTTTGCGATTCTTTTCAGCACAGGTAATGCTTTCAGAAAAGCAATCATACGCCTTCTTTAACTCTCCATCCTCCAGGTAACAGGTCCCTAAGCAGTGGAGAGCCTCCTGTTTTTTTCCATTGTCTCCAATTTTTCTTGTTTTCTTGAGGGCTTTCTCTTGAAGTTCCTTTGCTTCCTTCAGCTTTCCAAGAGCTTGGTATGCAGATCCAGCATTAATCAAGGCTCCTGCTAATTCACTTTCAGCTCCGATTTCTTGCATGATAGAAATTCCTATGTTAAAGTTGTCTAAAGATTCTTTGAATCGACCGCGAGACATGTAGTAGAAACCAAGGCCTGAGTAGGTCATGGCCTCTTGGATTTTATCCTCAGTCTCCTTCGTGATTTCAAGGGCTTTTGGTAAATATACTTCCCCTTCATCACAGTTTGCTAGACAAACACCACGGAGGGCATTTGCGTCTATTTTCCTGTCCCCAGTGGTCTGACTACATTCAATGGCTTTCTGAAAACTATTCATCTCTTCCTTTTTGTTGCCGATTGCGATGTATAGGTTCCCGAGTAAAATGATGGCACGACCTATTTTGAACTTGGATTTAGTTTTTTCGAGGATTTTTACTGCTTGAAACTGGTGGTCGATGGCTTCTGCATACAGACCGAGCGAGGAATAACAAACACCAAGGCTGTGATGAATTATTCCTAATAGTACTGTTTCTACATTTTTCCAAAATTTCAAGTGACCTTTTGAAATAGTCCAGTGCTTCATGGTTCTTGGAGATTGCATTATAAGTAGAGCCGATGTTACTGTAGGAAACACCTATATCCTTATCGTCACCGTATTCTTCTATCAGTTCTAGTGACTTGAAATGACATTCTAGTGCCTTGTCATACTCCCCCTTAGAGTGATAGGTCCTTCCGAGACTTTGGTATAATTTGCCTTCTTCTTTGAATTTGCCAGATTTATTATATATTTCTAGGGACTCTTCTAGACATCTGATTGCCTCTGGATAATGAGCAAGGTCTCTGTGTGCGTCGCCAAGCTCATGAAGTATTTGTCCTTCAAGTTTTTTGTCACCGATCTCTTTGCAAATTTCCAGTGCGTTATTTCGCCACACGATGGAAATATATAATATCCATAGCATTTCTGATTAGATTATTGTTGAACAAACAGTCTGCTACCGTGCAAGTTACGCGGAATTTCTCCATTTAGGATTGCTTTGTATCTCTGGAAAAGGTCAATGAATTAGCAAATTAGCTACTCACCACATTATGGATGGAACATAAAGAAGAGAGTATAACTATGTGTGCAATGTTCACAACGCTGAGAAGCTTATTGTCTGAACACTTAAAACGACTCGTGTGGGAGCTCGATGCCAATAGCAAAGAGAAGATTTTTTTAACACTCAAACTATGGCAAAACATCAATCGAATTTCATTCCCAAGTGGGAGATCTTAAAAGTTGAAAATGTAGTCCGGTCAAAAGTTGTCTGTGGGTGAGTGACCCAAAAATGGGCTATTTAGTAGAACCTGTGTTAAGCAGCACCGTATTGACCGGTCACCCTGTATTGAGCGGTGGGTTGTCAAAGTCCCAAATTTATTTCCCTTTAATCACTTTAATTTTCACCTCAATTAAGCGGTCTCCTCTATTCTATTTCTATTCAACGATCAATTAAAGCGGAATCACTCAAATAAAACTAAGAATAATTTCTCAAGCGAAATCTAATCTATGTTTATCTCTCGCAATCAATGTTAGCAAGAAATTGTAAACTATATTCTCTTGATGTTAGTGGTATTTGTGAGCGAATGTTTGTACATTAAGTGGTCAATTATGGCATAAAATTGAGTTTTTAATTTTTTCTTTATTACCCCTCTTCTTTGGAACCTGTTTTGCGTCAGCCTTCGAGTGAAAATTGCCATAAGGTTAGATTTTAAACAAATACCAACCTTGAAATTGAGAATCATGTGCATGGAGTGTGCATGGCACACTAAAACCACGTTCCCAGGGACTCCACTTCCTCTTGCGAATAGGGGAGAACCTGGTGAAGAGTTATTGTTTGTTATTGAATATCGGTCGTTTTCCTGTACAACTCCTTCTGTCTCCGGCGCGAGTGTACGATCAAAGTCAACCATAGTTTCAGAGAGTTCGCAACCCTTCGTGAAATGAAACAGCTCGTGATTGTTTCTCCGTAGAAATACACAATCTGCTAATAACCAGCTGCAGGTGAATACATTCAAACAAACCTGCAACACTCCTCTCAGTACATAATCTTGTAGATAATGATGGAAAGAAAAGTCCACTTAAAGAAAAATGATCTAAAAGCTTGTCCGTAAATGCACAGTACTTTTTTTCTGGCAGCATAGTGTCAACTGGCCTTAGCATACGTAATTAAAAACGCACTTCCGCACACCTCCGCCTTTCGCTTCAACAGCGAATGACATAACTTTCTATCGAGTTCGTAATTTAATTTCACAGATAGTGACAGGAACCCATTACTTATTATATTAAGTAATGGGCTCCTGATAGTTAATAGTTATGTATACCAACCTCTGTCAACTCTCATTTAGTTGCACTCTTACAGTTTCATTTTAGTAAACGCGATGCTTCGCTATTTGAATCGAGTGATGTTGATATATTCTTGCCACCTGCCCTTTTGGCGATTCAGCTCGCTTACCTCTTGCATCGCTGTTGCAGAAAATCGTACCGAAGAGATGGGAGAAGAATTGGTGCCGAAGGAATGTGCAAATGCGTAATAAAAAACATAAAGAGAAAAAGAAGGAAATGTTAACTATGGACAAGAAAAGACAATCGAGGAAGTGAAAATAATACTTTAATTTGGTACAGAAGTACTGTAAAATTTAAATCTATGTATCAAGCAATGTCAATTTCTTGAAACAGGATTGTTTATTTGATCGGCTTCATTTTACGTAGTTACAATTAGTATCCGAACGTTGCAGAGTAAAATCAACAAGGATACTGCACAGGCCGAAATCGTGTTCTCCTATCAAACTAATATTTAATTTGACAGGAGAACAATATATAACTATGAGGGGCAGAGAATAAAAGTGCGAACTACAAATGAATCAGCCTGGGTTTGCACCCAGTGTTAGAAGACAAAATCTCAGATAAAATTAAATGCGAACAAACTCAAAACCCACTTTTCCACGGCGTGACATGCACATTTATTTCAGAACAAGTGTTTACATCTATATATACAAACAGAAGTTATTAGTAACTTAATCGATTTTAACACTCACAAGTGTACATGTAAAATGCAATAGCAAGTAAACTGGTCATTATTCACACAAGACTACTCCTACACACTACCCTTGCGAACTGAATTCCCAGTTTTCTGGGAATTCCTAGGAATTCTCAAAAAATTCTCAACTATGCAAATAAGCTCTGATTTGAAAAGCTTGGAATTGCTGGGAATTGCTGGGAAAGGAAGACTCCAGTTTTGTGAGGACTTGAAATTCCTAGGAATTCTCAGCTGTACAAACTACCTCTAATTTAAGAAGGGTGGAATTCTTGGGAATTACTGGGAACAGAATTTGAGGCAATTTAAATACCTTGAAGTCCAATTAAATTCCAAGAAATTCTCAATACCTTGAATGTGAAGGTTTTAAGACAAGGAGTAATTTTAGAGGCCTAAAACTTTGGCTCAATAAAAGGTATGCTACACAAAATTTATCAAAATACATACATGTATGTTTATAACTTAAAGATCATAAAATTTATTATTCAAACTAACTTTTAGTAAATCTTTACATTAATATGGATTTTCTCATGAAGCAGCAGTCAATTATGTTAGATGCAAACTGCCAATTAATCTAATGTACTCATATCACAGATTTGCTTTCAAACCTCAAAGGCCTCTTGGATTCCATGATCATAAAAGTTTTTAATGTGATGCAAAATGTCTTATGTTCACAGATGTGCCAAAATCATCAAACATTCATCAGCTTTTCCTTAGTACACAACTTCCACAATAATTACATTGTTATCTACACTTAAAGAACTTTGTTAGATATAAATATAAGTTACTTCCCTTATCTATATTACTGGTTGCCTTTGTTAGGAGACCTTGGAACAGTCAAGCTCAGTTGCCTCAAACAGTGTCAGAGACTTTTTGTTCAGATCACTTTTAGTAGGAATTTCATGCCTTAGACAAACGAATTCAACACCAAATTAATTCTTTCTTTTTTGAATGTCATAACTTTTTTCTTTTTCCGTTTTTTGCTCTGTTTTCGTGACTGATTGTTACCATTTTTTTTTGCTGTTTTTATTCTTACATAACATTTTTGTAAGTTTTCCAATACATATGGATCATCTGCACACTCCACAAACATTTGGCATGTGGACAAGACAGAGGTGGTCACTGTTCCCTTCAAGAAAAAACACCTCTTAAATGACTCCTTCAATTTGCTTTATTTGAAACTTTGATCTGAAAATATTTTTAAAACAAGACTTGTACAGAGTGAGAAGTACAAACCGAGTTTTCTTTCCTAACTTAATTTCTAAAATGTCCTCCTGAAAAATATTACTTCTTTTTATTTTTGGTGCAAAATACAAATCCTTCTTTATAAACAAATAAGAAGTCACACCTCAATAACAACAGCTCTAAAGTTTACTTGTTGTTCTTCCCTAAGTCTGCTATCAACAAAATTGTTTCATACTTTGGGTCTGTTATAAAATTTTACTTTTAGTATAAAATGACAACCTTGTACCTTAGTTCTCTACACCCCTTTCCAAGCTCGGGAACGCTTCGGACAGTGCATAACCATTTGTGGACCAGAATTCCAATGCACCTCTGTAATCGCATAAAGTTGCTTCTGTCCCTTGAACAAATGTTTCTCCTTAATGAGACGCACTTGACTCTGTTGGCACCATTGCTTTAAGCT